ACGTAACAAGGCGGCAGTAACAGTAACGTAACAAGGCGCGAGTAACAGTAACGTAACAAGGCGCGAGTAACAGTAACGTAACAAGGCGCGAGTAACAGTAACAAGGCGGCAGTAACAGTAACGTAACAAGGCTGCAGTAACAGTAACGTAACAAGGCGCGAGTAACGTAACAAGGCGCGAGTAATACTAACGTAACAAGGCACCAGCAAGCGTGGCCGTGTGATATGATGCAAAGCAAGTACGTATCAATGCGATTTAAGAAACTAGAAACTCAGAATATATTGAATATGATAAGAAATGAGGTAGTAAAATAAGAAGCCAAAAAACCTCACTAACCAACCAACCAATTTGTACGGTACACGATTTTAGCTCGCAGGAAATTGTGTAAGTATAAAAAATAGATCAAGATTTCGAATTTTAAATGGTTTAGTAAATAAGGATTAAACCAACTTTACAAACTTGCAATGTTTAGGCGGTGAATGTCTCTGACCTGCTCGAGGATGCTCTGCTCTCTGAGCAGCTTCTGCCTGAGTCTCTGACCTGCTCGAGGAGTCTCTGCTCTCTGAGCAGCTTCTGCCTGAGTCTCTGACCTGCTCAAGGATGCTCTGCTCTCTGAGCAGCTTCTGCCCGAGTCTCTGACCTGCTCGAGGATGCTCTGCTCTCTGAGCAGCTTCTGCCTGTCTCTGTTGTAGACAGACGGGATCAGCTCGAGAGCGTCAGACTTGTTCTGCTCGTCTTCTCTGCTCGCCACGAAGTAAATGATGTCTTGCAGCAACGTCGTCAGGTATCTGCAACGCAGTCAATGTTACAAGTACTACTGTTACAAGTGTTACAAGGACAACTATTACAAGTACAGCTGTTACAAAAACAAATTACAAGGGCAATAAAAAGAACAAATTATAAGGACATATAATAAGTACAAATTACAACTCAAATACAAGCATTGCCGATGAACGTTTCATCAAAAACATTAAATTCAAACCAAAGAAAATATAAACATTGATGATGAATTTCGAAACTTTTTCCCTTCCTAACAAAAAATGATGAACATTAAATGAGTTTCTAGAAATAACCTTCTCTCGAGCGGCGTTAAAAAATATACATAAGGTAAAAATATAAATAAAGTTCGAAAAAATTTTCCATTCTTAACAAAAAAATGAAGAACGTTAATAAAATGAGTTTCAAAAATAACCTCCTCTCGAGGGGCGTTATTTTGCCAAAAAAAATCAAATTTTCCATTCCTAACATAAAAAATGAATTTTTCCATTCCTAACAAAAAATAAAAACCGTTAAATTGGTTCTAAAATCACCTTCTCTCGAGGGGCGTTATCTTGCCGTCCTCGAGCTTCCGGGCGAGTTTAGCGAGGACTTCGTTGGCATCATTAGCGAAGTCCAAGTCCCGTACCTCCGTCGCCAGCACCGGCACCACACTGAAAGCTTCCTTGTCTTCTTTGATGGGGGCACAGCCAACCTGTGGGTATATGATTTCTTAGTGTCTTAACATGCATCATGCTTTGATGTACATGTTGTCTTAAAAAACATGATAAGCCATATGACCAGTACCGGCACCACACTGAAAGCTTCCTTGTCTTCTTTGATGGGAGCACAGCCAACCTGGTGTATATGATGTCTTAATGTCTTAACATGCATCATGCTATGACATACATGTTGTCTTATAAACCAAGATAAGCCATATGACCAGCACCGGCACCACACTGAAAGCTTCCTTGTCTTCTTTGATGGGGGCACAGCCAACTTGTGGGTATATGATGTCTTAATGTCTTAACATGCATCATGCTATGATGTACATGATGTCTTATGACGTCTTAATGTTGTCCTAACATGCATCATGCTATGACATACATGTTGTCTTAACATGCATGATGCTACGACATACATGTTGCCTCAAGAAACATGATAAGCCATATAACCATTAACGGCACCACACCTTTAAGGGGACCGACTACCCTCCGGAAAAACTTCTAGTTATTATCCGATCATCATGAAACTTCAAATACATACGTAAAATGTAAAAAAATAACATTTTGATTCTATGAATTTTTCGAAAAAATTGATAGAAAATGAGAAATTCATAGAAAACGGCTAAAAAGGGGTACTTTAGAAAATCTATCTCCTCCTACAAATATCATCCTACAACATCGAGACACGTATCATTCGGTTTATAAAGACCATTCCTATCGATTTGATGAGCACTTTTCTTATTTTCCCCTTAGTTTTTTATGCGCGTTTTTCCCATTTTTCTCATTTTTCCACCCTCCCCCCCTTCTCCCCCATATAAAAAACGAACCAGACTGAAATTAAAAAAAGTGCTCTTCAGTTTGATAGGTATGGTCTTTACGAATCGAATGATATAACCCTCATTGCTGTAGCTTGAAAACTGTAGGAGATAGGTTTTCCGTGACAATAAGTTGAACTTTTCAAACTTTTCAGGACGGCGCGACCAAGTCCCGCGCGCCTCGAAATAGGCACTCAATGTAGCATGGATACCAAACTACAGGCTCCTGTAGCTTAATCCACTCAAGTATGCTAGCAGCAACTTGTAGCGCACCTCTCCGTACAAAGTTAGGAGGGTGACTGAGCTCAGATGCCAGAAACACCAATATATGTAGTCTTGCCGCTCTAATTTTCTTAGGTCTATTTAGTGAAGGAACTTCACCCCCCGCCCCCCGTTAAAGCCCGGCCGTGTGCGTCAATATTGCCGTACATGGATCGCAGTAGTATCGTTGGAAAGCTCAGAATGTCAGCTTTAAGATGAGACTAAGCATGTAACTGCAGCACAACTCAAGTAGAAACTATATTCAAAGATTTCAGTCTCGTCTCTGTCTGCCGCCCACCTTGCTCATGACGGGTTTATCCTCGTCTCTGTCTATGGGGATGGACGTGGAGTGCACCCAGGTCGAGGTGCAGAGATGACGAAGGCGGACGTACGAGTTCTGCGGGACGAGGTTGTCTGCGCGCATCAGCGTCGTCGGCTCCATCTCGAAGATGGTGGCCACTTCGTTACTTAGTGGCACGGACACTAGCTGGAAGACGTGGCCGCCGTTCGGGTCTGGTGGACACGAGATATGTTAAGGATATGAAGATGGTGGCCACTTCGTTACTTAGTGGCACGGACACCAGCTGGAAGACGTGGCCGCCGTTCGGGTCTGGTGGCCAAGAGATAAATTAACTATACGAAGATGGTGGCCGCCGTTAATTCGGGTTTGGTGGACACGATAAAAAAAACGATATGAAGATGGTGGCCGGCGTTCGGGTCTAGTGGACACGAATCAAATTATCAATACATGGCCTCAAGGAGATCAGCTACTAGGCGATAACGAATAAAATTATTGATATTAGGATAGCTGGATGGTTGCTGCAAATTCGTGGCCACTATCCCGCAGTTGGCAAGAAGACTGCTTCGATGAGACTGATTGTATGTTTTGATTGATGAGAATTTCGAAATTTCTCGATTACACTCTCTGTACAGGCAAACAAAGCTGTAACGACCAAGAATTCAACACACATAAAAACAGCAACTGATTTAACATCAATAATATCGAATAATAATGGTTGTTATCATTATATAATTGACTAGCATGTTCACTCTCCAACCCTCCAATAAACAAGAACAATATTGTCTCAAAATCCTCCATGCCGCTATTTTACAGGCCACATCGCAACCAGTCAGGAAATTTTAAGCGTGTGAAACTTCAAGAATTTACATGCGGGAAGAAACGTCTTTTCAATATTGAATCTCAAACGCAGGCGCATGCATTTCCAAGTGCCGTATGAAACTTTCGAGTTGCTAACAGGAGGCGAAATGTTCCCTTTATAATTATATAATTACGTCACTTGTCGGGATAGAGAAAAATCTATGATTTCGAAAGTTAGTCCCAAAATTCATATTTTCTGTCTACTTTCATGGCTCGGTGGCAGGAGCTGAGCCCAATATTAAATACTGATTTTCAGTGTAAATTTTCCATTTCAGTTGAAGCTAATAATCTGAACTACGAGCTTTTCAGCAACACATGAGGGGACATTTATTATGTCACTTCAAGGCCCCAAAACTAGACAGAAGAATGTCGTAGCCCAGTTCCTGCGTATACTATGAACATTTAATTTCTTCATACTAAGAACATTTAATTTCTTCATACTAAGAACATTTAATTATTTTACATGCTTAAAAATTTCAGGATCCTAAGATCACCGCGCACCAAGATTCGAAGAGCGCTATAGAATGTAAAATTCCATGTAAAAGGAGGAGATTCCAAGCCAGTCATGAAGTTTTAAGCGCCATACAATGTACAAGTTACTGTTACATCTGCCACTAAGCAGCAGCACAAAATCACCGGATAAAAAACTCCATATATGAAGAATGCATATAGAAGTGAGCAGAATCCGCAATCGTCGAGAAGTTTAGAGCGCATCCAATGTGCACAGTAATGTTTCTTTAATCATCAGCCAGAGTACAGCAAAACTATACCAAAGAAAAGATATGGCCATATCTGCCACTGAACTGCAGCACCAGTACCGAAGAAATGTTCTATGTACAAGAATGCGTATAAAAATGAGTAGATGTAGAGAAAGATTACTCGCCAAGATGTAGAGAAAGTAGCGTCCAATATGTACAGGTTGTTGCACCATCTGCCACAACAAAACAAGACCAAGAGCAACCAAAGAAGACTTAAAGATGCACAATAATGCATATAGAAGTGAGCAGCACTGGTCTACCTTTCTGGAGCTGCTCTCCCAGCGCGTTCGGAAGCCCGATCGCCGCCTTCTTGGCAAGATGCTCTACAACATCAAACGCATTCACTTTAATCTTCACAATTGTAATATCACTGGGCCGTACTATCATAAGTAATTTCGAGTATGTAACTCAATCACTGACGGCTTTTCAAGCTAAATCGACCAATCATTGACAAGAGATCAGCCGCTAGATCTACTTAAGGCTATTTAGCGAGTGCTGATAGTACGTCACCACTGAAGAAAACTTGGGGTAAAAACATAAAGTTAATAAGTTTTTAAAAGAGAATTAGTGTTAGTGTTGAAAATAGGGGGAAAATTTCTACTTTAGCAGTTAGTAAGTATAAGGCAGATTAAACAGGTTCGAGTATCCGTTTACCCATCGAATATGAAACGATGGATGCCGCTATTGACAGAGATATCAGTCAATGAGGCAACAAAAATGGTTAACAGAATACCAGGAAAATGCTTTTAAATTGATTAAAATCACTAATAACTTATTACAATAAGCGATAGGTGTAATAAGCCGATAAAAGAGGTTTTGATAAAAACAGAGGCAGCGAATTAGATAGCAATAAATAATCGATTATTAGATTGAATTTAAAACTTCGGGTCAATTAATTAACTATACGAACATAATGAGAGAAAATCAGGACCGAAATTCCAATGTGATGTTAGAGACACTTCAAGTTTCCACAATATCAAAATACCCGTCGATTCAAGCCGTCTTTGATTTTATTCTCAAGAAAATTCGGTTAACTGAAATGGTAATGAGAAATATCATCAGCCATCATTTGCATTTGATAGGAAAAGGGGAACAATTGAGTTAACGGTAAACTTGGATCTTGACATTTCAGGACATGAGAGTCAACATGAATGTGCCCGTTGAAGAAGCAGGCAACATTCAAGAGGAACATATTCGAGAACACATTCGGGAGGAACATATTCGAAAATAACCATTGAATAGATGGAGTTGGAAAATTTTTCATTATGAGGTTATGTAGAGGGGTTATGCGTATCATAGTCAACATTAGTCGTCATAAGGTTATGCGTATCATAGTCAACACAAGTCATAAAGTTATGCGTATCATAGTCAACATTAGTCGTCGTAAGGTTATGCGTATCATAGTCAACACTAGTCATAAGGTTATGCGTATCATAGTCAACACTAGTCATAAGGTTATGCGTATCATAGTCAACACAAGTCATGAAGTTATGCGTATCATAGTCAACATTAGTCGTCGTAAGGTTATGCGCATCACAGTCAACATTAGTCATAAGGTTACGAGCATAATAGACAACATAAATTTAAATCATCATAAGTTAAGGCAGTATATATACCTCTAAGTTTGTTCCTGGTGGGGTCAGGAGTCTCGTCCTCGTCCACCTCAGCGGCGAGGTACTGGCCCGTCGAGAGATGCTTGAAGCGGAACAGCGAGTCCCAGTGACCTGCGCCGCCCCTACATGGGTCATGCTGAACCACCTGCGGGAGACGGTCTCATGTCAACCCCAGCACCTAGAATGTTAACTCCAACGCCCCCCCCCCACTACATGGGTCATGTTGAACCACCTGGGGCAGCAGGTAGCATGTCAGTCCCAGCACCTAGAATTTTAACTCTAGCGCCCCGCCTAATGTAAATCTAACTGCTTATCAACAGGATTTTCCAATAGAAAACCTGGATATGATAAAACCATAATATATACTAACTAATGAGAAGACCGTATTACATATCATAAGCCCGTATTACATATTACAAGCCTGTATCACGGAGCCCGTATTACTGACTGGCTATATTCAGGCTAATGATGGCTTTCCGGACATATAATAAACCCATATTGCAGACTCATGATAGTACTGACTCGTGATTATTTTTAACATAAAAAATTATTTATTATTATAACCCCGTATTACAGACACGGTAATTTTACCTCGACCTCCCATAGGGCCTTGCTGCTGGTGGCGGCGGTGGCTGACGAGCGTCCCGTAGTCCTGAGGAACACTACAGGCTTCTTACGGTAGTAGTCCATCGTCAGGAACTTCTCCTGTTCCGCATGGAACAGTCGCACCACGTCACCTCCTCGGAGAACACCGTCAATGTTCTCGCGGTGTTCCATGTTCAGGCAAACTTTCCAGCACGTCGTCGAGTTCAGCACGTTCACCTAACGCATGTAATTAAAATTAATTTGACGCACGAAATTAAAATTAATTTGGGGCACGAAATTAAAATTAATTTGGCGCACGAAATTATAATTAATTTGATGCACGAAATGAAAATTAATTTGACGCAAGAAATTAAAATTAATTTAATGTATGTAACGCGTGAACAACACGAGTTAAGATATTGAACGCGTGAAAATATTACGAGTTGTTGCATAAAACGCGTGAACAAAATATGAGTGAAGCATGTAACGCGTGAACATATTACGAGTTGTTGCATAAAACGCGTGAACAAAATATGAGTGAAGCATGTAACGCGTGAACATATTACGAGTTGACGCATTAATCGCGTGATCAAAATATGATTTGACGCATGAAGCGCGTGAACAAAATATAAGTTCACGCAAACATTCAAGTAAACTAGCTAATGATACCTGCAACCGTGATAACAATCATGCGCACAATGTTGAGGGATAAGCGAATTTATTTGTCTGCATTTACAGAAAAAATAAACATCAAATTACTCCGCTGATACAGAAAGAATGAGCGTTTCAGTTATTATTGATATCATTTACGCCTTCGCATTGTTGAGGAAAAGCAGCACCTTATGAGTCCAGTAATTATAGAGTTTCTTGTATGTGACAGAATTTACTTCTTCCTCAAGCAAGGCCTCATTTTTGCAGTCTCCTTTAACTCGTATAACCAGTCCGCTGTAACCCGTATAGCCACACCTCCTTTAACTCGTATAACCAGTCCGCTGTAACCCGTATAGCCACACCTCCTTTAACCCGTATAGCCATACCTCCTTTAACCCGTATAGCCATACCTCCTTTAACCCGTATAACCAGACTCCCTTTAACCGGTATAACCCCACTCCTTTAACCCGTATAGCCATACCTCCTTTAACCCGTATAACCCCACTCATTTAAACCGTATAACCACACCCCTTTTAACCCGTATAAGCCCACTCCTTTAACCCGTAAAACCAGACCCCCTTTAACCCGTATAACCCAACTCATTTAACCCGTATAACCACACTTTTTTAACCCGTATAACAACACCCCTTTAACCCGTATAACAACACCTCTGTAACCCGTATAACCACACCTCTCTAACCCGTATAACCACACCTCTTTAACCCGTATAACCACACCCCTTTTAACCCGTATAACAGAACCCTTTCAACCCGTATAACCACACCCCTTTAACCCGTATAACCACACCCCTTTCAACCCGTATAACACCCTTTTAACCCGTATAACCACACCCTTTTAACCCATATAACCACACTTTTTTAACCCGTATAACAACACCCCTTTAACCCGTATAGCAACACCTTTTTTAACCCGTATAACCAAACCCCGTATAACCCCATACACCAAAATACCTCTTTACAGCCGGGATGGTCGTGGAGATCGTGCATGCTGGAGACATGTAACATCTGTTGCCGGGCGTTGACAGGGTTGAGGATAACTCTGTCACCAACGACCACGTTGTCGCCGTTGCCACGTAGTTTATAGAAAGGGTTAATATAGAACCATGAGCCTTCGTTACCATTACCGTCCATGTATACACGCATGGCATTCTTCTCCAGCAGCGCCGGGAGTCTCTTGTTCACGGTCACGTACTTGTTGGACTTGAGGTGCAGCAACTGCACGCGTCAAGTTATGTTTTATGTTTATGTTATGTTTATGAGGCATCAAGTGCACTATGGCACTTTTGTTTATGTTATGTTTATGTTATGTTATGTTTTTTTTGCAAACCTTGACGCCTCACGCGTCAAGTTATATTTTATGTTATGCAGCAACTGCACGCGTCAAGTTATGTCCAATAGAATAAGTACTGAAGTTCAATAATTAATCTAGAAGATTATCATCCGTTTATTGTAGTTACATTAATCAAATGGCAAGATTAACAACTTATTTTATAGTAATGATAATCAAATGGTAAGATTAACACGCGATGTTGTAGTAACAATAATCAAATGTAGAGATTAACATCCGTTTTTTTATAGAACACAATGATAACAATCAACGGCTAAGACTATAATATTCGTTTTTGCAGTAAATCCTTTAAAGGCGACAAAGTGTATAAAATTAGTACAATATTTTATTCACGTACAAATAAAAGTAAAAGAAATACACGTAAGTATCACTAAAAAACTCTTTGAACTATAAACGATCGAGATGTAGCGAACATTTGCTATATGCAGCAACAGTTTCCTAGCATATATCAAATCTAACATCTTATTGTATCAAAAACTTAAGAATTTCTATAGAAAAAAAAGGCATAGTGAAGCAGACTCGCCTGAATGGAGTTGCCGTACTGGATGACAGATCCCAGCAGCTTTTTATTCTCAGCTTCATTCTGCTTCTTCTCTGTTTCTGCCGCTTGCTGCAACACAAAACGCAATTTTCGATAAAACTTTTAGCTGATCTCATCAACAAGCATCTAGAATTTATAACATACCGTAAAAATTGTAACGAGAAGGGAAAAAACATGGACAACTGCAATCAAGTTTTTCTGGCATTACCCTGGATCGTTAATCTCTGCATTTTTTAAATTCCGTTATCAAGAATCCTGTTGATAAAAATGAATCTTACTTATGATATCATTAAATAAGGTAAATAATAATGTTAATAAAATTCTTATGTTATCATGATAACATTAGAACATTAAACTCAAACCACTCCAGATAAAACTTAAGCTGATCTTATCAGAATTAAATTGCCTCTAATTTATGATAAACTTAGTTAAAATGGGCCGAAAATGGAAAAAAAACAAACAAATACATTACAAATTATTAAAAAACTTTGAATATAAGGTCAGTGAAGCATCTGCAAAAACGATTAGATTAATATAACGTAATTACTGTATATTGCGCTTCTATAGAATTATACAGCATATACTGAGGCGCAATATTTTAAATACTCAATGTCATTGCGACTTACAACCGCGCGTAGGCTTGACGGTACACCAATTTATAAAACATTAGTTATCGTAAGTTACGCGTCACGGAGAAAGATCACATTTTAACTGCATTGGAAGTATAAAGTGGCCCATGTGATGGCTGCAAGTTTCTTCCATTATCGCAAGCAGAACTAATTATTATTTTTTATTTTAATATTTTTAACGCGTAAATTAAGCCAAAACACCCTTTAGTGCACACTCTAACTTGTCTTACTACCCTACTTAATATCTCATAATAAACATACATCACGTTTGCAAACGTTGTCGGCATGGATATACATTAATTTTGACATCCGCCACTTCGAGAACATAATAAATTACTTCAAGGGGTATGACTATCATTCCCACTATGGTAACTACTTCAAGGGGTATGACTATCATTCCCACTATGGTAACTACTTCAAGGGGTATGACTATCATTCCCACTATGGGTAACTACTTCAAGGGGTATGACTATCATTCCCACTATGGTAACCACTTCAAGAGGTATGACTATCATTCCCACTATGGTAACTACTTCAAGGGGTATGACTATCATTCCCACTATGGCAACTGCTTCAAGGGGTATGACTATCATTCCCACTATGGCAACTGCTTCAAGGGGTATGACTATCATTCCCACTAGGGTTATACTTCAAGAGGTATGACTATCATTCTCTTCATGATAATTACTTCATAAAACCTGCATGCTCTCTCCATTCCTCCACAGGAGCCATACTTCAAAATTCGCTAAGTGAACGTAAGTCCTTACGCTCTATTATCTTGTCTATGATTGGTGGTTTTTGCCTGAAAGGCCGTCAATGATTGGCCAATGAACTTACGATCTCTGAACTTTTTTTGAAAGTATGGGCCCAGGTAATTACCAATGGGGTAATATATACACTAGTCTGAGAACCACAGTTCCAGACAGAACCGTCTGAGTAACACTTGAACTATAGTAAGGAAAGCCATGCCTGTTGTTCCTGACGAGACTGCAAGCCCTGGTTGCCGGATCAAGCTTCTAAAATTGAACAGCAGGTTCAGATCGCGCATTAAGAAGTGGACAATCAAGCAGACGGCATTCCAAGACTTTTTACTCGGCCTGCAGTCTGTTCTCCTACGACACTAGTTTGACGTCATTAAACCTAATCACGTCACTCCAGTTTAAATTTTGTCATCGGCTGCCAAATTATTTTTAATTGCTAACAATTATACTACTGTCAATAATGATACCTACTGCAAATTTATTTATAATATTATAATGACAGCCAAGTTATTTGCATCTGCCCAACTTATTTTGTAGTTGCAGAGTTTTTTGGATTTTTTACAGTAAGCCAAAATATTTTGCAAATAAAAAGTAGCCAAGAAATCGAAGCTAGACGTGCAAAAGACATCATTTCCACGTCGCTGGGTTAACTACGTGGGAAAAAGTTCCCGTCTTCATACAATTAATAAGCATCAAAAACTCATCACTCGTGGGAAAAAATTGTGCGCCTTTGAGCTCAAGCAGAAGTGAAGCCCAAGGCCACGACGTCATACATAAAAAAAAAAACGAACCTAAATATTTGTAACGAGATTTTTATCTGTGTAATCGTAAGTAAATATTGCACACATGCAGGGCACTTCTACAACTCAAAGAATGATCGGTGTAAAATTTGATTAATTTAGACCATAATTTCCATGAACCCACGAGTTACTTTGATGAATTCTTGAGATCAACAAAGCATCTACAAGTCTACGTCTTAACTTAAGCCTTTGTTTACGAGTACAATAACACTAGTCAATGATATTCCTACCTAGCAGCCAGGTAACGCAAATTATTCCTGCCTAGCAGCCAGGTAACGCAAATTATTCCTACCTAGCAGCTTGGTAACGCAAATTATTCCTACCCAGCAGCCAGGTAACGCAAATTATTCCTGCCTAGCAGCCAGGTAACGCAAATTATTCCTACCTAGCAGCTTGGTAACGCAAATTATTCCTACCTAGCAGCCAGGTAACGCAAATTATTCCTACCTAGCAGCCAGGTAACGCAAATTATTCCTACCTAGCAGCCAGGTAACGCAAATTATTCCTACCTAGCAGCTTGGTAACGCAAATTATTCCTACCTAGCANCTGTCTCTTATACACATCTAGATGTGTATAAGAGACAGGTATAATATCATCCTGCACTTCTCGCTTGATGATACAAGCGATGGTATAATATCATCCTGCACTTCTCGCTTGATGGTACAAGCGATGGTATAATATCATCCAGCACGCTAACTGCTAAGGGAATAAACAGGCCTTAATTAGCGTAAGCACCAACACCTGAGCAGAGCATCGCCACAGGTTTTTATCTCTTCCTTCTTGGGTTTTTTAACTAACATTCGGGACATGAATCTCATGTAATATTATCAACTAAAGCGCAGTATACGATGCCTGCAGAACACAGACAAGTGGGAACATGGATTCAAATAATGTATCACTCATAATAATGAATGAGTCATATTGTCTTCATAGTGACAATTCCTGCGCGTAGCACCGACAAGTTATTTTTTGCAGAACCAAACTGAGAAAGAATGAGCCACATCATATGTGCCAAAAGTGTAAGAAGTTTCCTCATTTTCCATAGTATATAGACTTGGAATTGTAATAAAAATCTGCAATTGCCATGGAGCAATACGTACGAGGTTAACCCTCTACCGCCGTCTGCCACTCTCCGGGAACATAACTCTCAACTTAAAGTATACATAAACTATTGAGTGTAGCAACCTGAGGACGTTTGTACGCAACAGAGAACATTTTAAAGTTGTCGTACATGGCGGCAGCCATCAGTGCAAGTCATTTTGCGCTCACTAGAACGTATCCTTTTTGGGAAGTAGATGTGAGACAATCTTGTTTGTGCGCAACAGAGAACATTTTAAAGTTGTCGTATGAGGCGGCAACCATCTGTGCAAGTCATAGTCTTTTGCGCTCACTAGAACATATTATACTTGGGAAGTAGGCTTGCGACAATATTGCTCCGATTATTCATGTCAGGCTTTAGAGGGTTAAAGAAGCAAAGCAAGAAGCGCGGCGCTGCATGGAGTCCACATTTAGCAGGTAAGTGAAACTAGAGCACTTGAGGTTGCCAGCTGCCTCTACGGTAAGCCAACTCTGCCGCAAACAATGCATGCCGCCGTTAACGCGGAGTGCGTGAACTTGTATGGCCACACCCAAACTTGAGTTTATACTCGAACTTGAGTTTATACTCGAACTTGAGTTTATACTCGAACTTGAGTTTATACTCGAACTTGAGTTTATACTCGAACTTGAGTTTATACTCGAACTTGAGTTTATACTCGAACTTGAGTTTATACTCGAACTTGAGTTTATACTCGAACTTGAGTTTATACTCGAACTTGAGTTTATACTCGAACTTGAGTTTATACTCGAACTTGAGTTTATACTCGAACTTGAGTTTATACTCGAACTTGAGTTTATACTCGAACTTGAGTTTATACTCGAACTTGAGTTTATACTCGAACTTGAGTTTATACTCGAACTTGAGTTTATACTCGAACTTGAGTTTATACTCGAACTTGAGTTTATACTCGAACTTGAGTTTATACTCGAACTTGAGTTTATACTCGAACTTGAGTTTATACTCGAACTTGAGTTTATACTCGAACTTGAGTTTATACTCGAACTTGAGTTTATACTCGAACTTGAGTTTATACTCGAACTTGAGTTTATACTCGAACTTGAGTTTATACTCGAACTTGAGTTTATACTCGAACTTGAGTTTATACTCGAACTTGAGTTTATACTCGAACTTGAGTTTATACTCGAACTTGAGTTTATACTCGAACTTGAGTTTATACTCGAACTTGAGTTTATACTCGAACTTGAGTTTATACTCGAACTTGAGTTTATACTCGAACTTGAGTTTATACTCGAACTTGAGTTTATACTCGAACTTGAGTTTATACTCGAACTTGAGTTTATACTCGAACTTGAGTTTATACTCGAACTTGAGTTTATACTCGAACTTGAGTTTATACTCGAACTTGAGTTTATACTCGAACTTGAGTTTATACTCGAACTTGAGTTTATACTCGAACTTGAGTTTATACTCGAACTTGAGTTTATACTCGAACTTGAGTTTATACTCGAACTTGAGTTTATACTCGAACTTGAGTTTATACTCGAACTTGAGTTTATACTCGAACTTGAGTTTATACTCGAACTTGAGTTTATACTCGAACTTGAGTTTATACTCGAACTTGAGTTTATACTCGAACTTGAGTTTATACTCGAACTTGAGTTTATACTCGAACTTGAGTTTATACTCGAACTTGAGTTTATACTCGAACTTGAGTTTATACTCGAACTTGAGTTTATACTCGAACTTGAGTTTATACTCGAACTTGAGTTTATACTCGAACTTGAGTTTATACTCGAACTTGAGTTNTCGAACTCAAGTTCATACTCGAACTCAAGTTCATACTCGAACTCAAGTTCATACTCGAACTAAAGTTTATCCTCGAACTCAAGTTCATCCTCGAATTTACACGTCGCAGTCAAACAAGACAAGATTGATTGCATGAAAGATTTAGACTAAAAAATTTTTCACTAGAAGAATGATGGAACGTAAAGCGCATTAATAGGTAAGTTCTATAAAGGCAACAACACATAGAAAAAATAATGGGTCAACATAGTGACCCATTTTTGGCCGTGTCAAACTTGGTCATGATAACCTATACCAAGGCAAAAAAGTTAATCGATATTTGGACAAAGTCACGCTCATTTTTCTGAATGTGGTGAAGGTAACCTTGTACAACTACAAAAAGATTACTCAGCTGTACTCGGTATAATCAGCTGCAGGCGAGAGTTCACTTGTGTAAACATCACATCACCACCACCATGTGCACCATCACCACCATGTGCACCATCACCACCATGTGCACCATCACCACCATGTGCACCATCACCACCATGTGCACCATCACCACCATGTGCACCATCACCTGTCATCATTTCTACGCTTCACCATCACCCGGAATCATCAGCTTTTCGGTGGCACATTAACTTTAACACAGACTATTACACTGCAGACAACTCCACAACAGACCATAACGCTACAGACCATCACACTGCAGACAACTCCACAACAGACCATTACGCTACAGACCATCACACTGCAGACAACTCCACAACAGACCATTACGCTACAGACCATCACACTGCAGACAACTCCACAACAGACCATCACACTGCAGACAACTCCACAACAGACCATTCCGCTACAGACCATTACGAGTCAGGCAGCGTGCATTCGAGCGTAACAATGGCGGCAACCAGACAGCGGTTCGTGCGTAATGTGTTCAGAATAAATTAAATTAACGAATTAAACTAAATGAGCAGCTCACGTCATCCTATTTGGCAAGGCGCTTCCAGTCCTGAATAAAATGATGTTAGAACACCTGGCAATTTGGCAAATATATTGTAACATATTAGGCATAAGCGATTAATAATTAATCTTAACGTCTGAACTAACAAGTTTATTTACGCTTTTGTTCGAACGTTTAGCTAATGCGCGGCGTCAGTAACTTTGTCAGCCCACCAAGCAAATGGCATAACAACTAACGTTGATGTAACGTTGATTTAACGAAACGACGCATAATGTAACGTTGATTCAACAAAACAACGTTAAATTCAACGAAACAACGTTAATGTAACGTTTATTCAACTAACGTTAATTCAACGGAACAACGTTAATGTCACGTTTATTCAACGAAACAACGTTAATGTAACGTTAATTCAACGGAACAACGTTAATGTCACGTCGATTCTACGAAACAACGCCTAATTCAACGTTGCTTTATTGACACATGTCTGGCGGACTGGCAGCACAAGCTGCAGCTCTGTTACATTTGAGAAATTAGAGTATCAAGTCGCATACCTGAAAACTGGCATGAATCAGTCAAGAAACATTCAAACGTAGTAATTTTGACCACAAAAGACTTAAGAACATGAAGCAAACCTCATCACCGCGCAGGTATTACTTTTTTGTTGCTGACGCAAGGAAAGTATCGCGTATCACAAAGAAGGGTCCAGCGCAAGCGCATATCTTGAAAAATAGTAACTGAGGAGCCTTCCTCGTATAGCGATGCGCTTTTGTTGTTATATTGCTCATACTAACCGAGTTTGTCATGATAACATGCCAAATCGGCAGAAATATACAGTTTTCGACTATTATATGAGGCACTAATTTTTCAAAGGGCAGTTATCAGGTCGCCAAATGCAAGTGTAAATTTCTTTCAAGATATCTTTCAAAATTTTATAAGGACTGACTCCAATAATCAATCAGTTAATATATTATACGCAAGATTGCAAACATTTGAAACTTTTTACCACTCCTTATAAATGAGAAAAATACAATACATGTATTGGAGTTTTGGAAATACACGAGAGCAGAAAGAAGAATGATATAACAATTAATGTACGAATAATGCTATTATTAATAGCATTAATTGTGCATTAGCATTATTAATAACATTAATTAATGCATTAATTAATGTTAATCTCTAAGCATCAATAAAAATATTCTCAGTCGAACACAACGGTCCCGAGGCAGTCACGACATGGCGTTAACACGTGCCCGATGAACGTGACGAGGGTAACATAATCTAGACATCAAGATAAAAGTAATTAATTAATTAAAAGTAAGATAATCTAGACAATGACAATACTGGGGAAGAGTTTTAAATAAAGTTAATTAATTAATTATCGTCTACGCATAACAGCAAGCGTAACTTTTTAAAATGTCAAGCTTTACGTATAAATAATTTTGTGGACATAATGCACATGACGATCATGTGAATGAAATTCGTGGGCATGAAATTCATGTGCAATAAATATTATATTCCATCATTGATGCGTGTTGAAAGAAAGATCATAGCCTGGGTTTTAAAAATGGCCTATAGTCAAGCTTGAAATTCTTATGACATTCTCTATACAAACTCGCATCCACTGACATTCGTTGGAATTTCCAATCAACATCAGCAACTCAAAGTTTTCCAAGCTCCACTCAGAAAAATAAGTAAGACTGTGTCCAAATAGTGATGCACTTTTTGTTCAGGTGTGATGCACTTTCTGTTCAGGAGTGTGTCATCCTGACCCAGTATGGCCTGGCTCAACGGCGTTATCATTACATCTTGAATTAGGAATCGATATCATTACTTGTTGTAATGGCTAGGGGGCGTTATCATTACATCTTGAATTAGGTTACGGCCACGAGGTTGTTACATTTTAAGCAATTCATTATTAATTAAAATAATTAATTAATGTAAGAGCTATGAAATATTCAACGTCTAACGCAGGTCTTCACGTAACTGAGGCATGCGCACGTGGCATCGTAACATTCATAAGACGTCACGTACATGAATATGAATTTTCGTGCGTGATATGAGAACAGGACGGGTCACTACTCAAACGGATGTTAATTAGTTTCTGAAGGTTATTAAACTATTCAATATACAGAAACTGAGATAAAAGAGCAGAAAATCGCGTCGCGTTTACGCATGTCATAACGAAAGAAGATGCAGGGTATATTGGTATGATAATTTCGATAAACTTAGGCCATTTTCTTTGAAATTATTTTAGTTCAGTTTCTCAAGCTGTCTAAACTATAAATAAGTTGTAAGTAACGTACTTTTTAAACGTACTCGTCAAAATTACGGATTCAACCCTAAATATACGAAAGTATAACAATAGTGCATAACATTAAAGTAAATAGTACATAACCTCAAGGTAAATAGTGCATAACATCAAGGTAAATAGTATATAACATAAAGGTAAATAGTACACAACATTAAGGTAAATAGTACATAACATTAAGGTAAATGTTGATGCAATATAGGCAACAAAAAAAATAAATAACTCACATGTAGTCGGCTGAGAAGGCTGGCGTCGGTGCCATGTCCGCCGCTCTGCTTAGCAGCCTTCCAGAACTGCTTCTGTGCCGAGTACCGGTTGCTGGGGCAGATCTTGAACATGCAATCTGTGCAGTAATGAACAATCTGTAGAGTAATCACCTTACCAATCTGCAGAGTAAGGTGATTAGCAATCTGTAAGGTGATTAGCAATCTGTAAAGCAATGAGCAATTTGTAAGAAGATTAGCAATCGCATGAGACCAGGGCAATCTGTGGGGTAATTAGCAATCGCTGAGACCAGGGCAATCTGTGGGGTAATTAGCAATCGCTGAGACCAGGGCAATCTGTGGGGTGATTAGCAATCGCTGAGACCAGGGCAATCTGTGGGGTAATTAGCAATCGCATGAGATCAGGGCAATCTGTGGGGTGATTAGCAATCGCTGAGACCAGGGCAATCTGTAAGGTGATTAGCAATCGCTGAGATCAGGGCAATCTGTAAGGTGATTAGCAATCGCTGAGATCAGGGCAATCTGTAAGGTGATTAGCAATCGCTAATTAGTTACCTTACAATTCTCACGAGTGCAGCACATAACGAGGCAGAGAGACACCACAATAAGCGACAGAATATATATGTATATTTAAATAAAGACGGTAATACAAATATATATTTATAATCAAGATAATAAAGACGGTAATGAATGTATTAAGCAAATGAATGCATTAACAAATGAATGTATCAAGCAAATGAATGCAGTAAGTGGGCTGTGGAGACTGACATATGAAAATTAATGGGTTATGTTGTCCAATTAGTGACACACTTTCTTGCCTCCGCCATGAGCAGGGAGCGGACGTAGCACTGATAAGCACTGAGGTCAGGCAGAACAGACAAGAACAAAAAATATCATCTCTAACTGGACAAAATATCACTCATTTTCTTGAGTGATTAAATAATTCTGAATTACATAATGACTTGTTTTTTCACGGTTAACCATCGATGATGGCAAAACGCACGCTGTCAGCAATGGAAATCGGTTTAACTCGTTTGCAGCTTTTATGGTTTCAAAGACATTTTCAGGACAAGATCAAATCATATTTATGTAATATTGAACATGCAATGCATTGCAAAAGTTTCATCAACCGAATCATAGCAAATGTAAAATATTGCAACACAACAGGCTGTTGGAAAGCAGGAATGAAAATTCCTTCAGGTGACGAACAACCAAACGATATGAACTTGCAGTGCGCATCAATGCGCATCACAATGCAGTGCGCATCAATGAGCATCACAATGCAGTGCGCATCAATGCGCATCACAATGCAGTGAGCATCAATGAGCATCACAATGCAGTGAGCATCAATGAGCATCACAATGCGGTGCGCATCAATGAGCATCACAATGCAGTGCGCATCAATGAGCATCAAACACTTGGGCATTTGCAGGCAGTGGGAGACCAATTGATGCCAATCTCTGCTCAGACGACGTCACGAGCCGGGGCATTGGCTACGAATATTAAAAAATACTGATAATAATGCATAGAGAATATTAAAAAGTGACGAAATGTAAATGACAAAAATTTATATTTTTTAAGCGTTTCATATCTGTTGGGAAATTATACACGAAGACGGAATTTCGGTCGTTGGATGGATGTTGCTTCTACGAGATGCAAAGCTTTCCAGCAATATGACACTATTAGGTGAGAGTGAAGTATATGCACGCCTCAGTCAGGATTTTCTCTATATTATATTTAAAATATAAAACATAATAAAAATATTCTACACCTCCGAGGCGTCCTGTGAATGCAAAGCAAAATTTTAAAACATTCAAGATATCGCCTCTCTTCAGGTCAAATTCCGTGTCTGTATTGATGATATAATTATTGAACGCACGCTTTTAACGTAGTTTTTTATCATCATAAACCTTACGATCATATGTATCACGGTTAAAACTACGTAACCGTGAGCAGTTTACCTATGTGTCACGGTTAAAACCACGTAACCGTGAGCAGCTTACCTCTGTGTCACGGTTAAAACTACGTAACCGTGAGCGGCTTACCTCTGTGTCACGGTTAAAACTACGTAACCGTGAGCAGCTTACCTCTGTGTCACGGTTAAAACCACGTAACCGTGAGCAGCTTACCTCTGAATTTCTTAGGAGGAACGCTTAGGTCTCCAGATCCTGGGTTAATGACGACACGATCGTCGACCAGACTGCGTGTAGAAAGTAAATTCATGTAATATTAATTACCTTTTAATATTAATATACAATAATTATACTAACATTTTACATAATGAACATTCATTACATTTACATTAGAACGGGATGTCTATTAGTGCCTCACTATAGTATTCCATTCAGATAATAGAACAGCCAAAAGAAAAATTTATTATCGGTAGTAAGTTTAATAAAAGAAATTGGAGTTTGGAGCTTGATTATTAGAGGGAAACTACACTTGAAAGCTCGGTTTTTGATTAGATAACTTAATTAAATGTATCAATGAACATGAGAGACCAAAAAAAAAAACTTGCAAACAACTTGGAAAATAGTTTCATTTTCTTTTAAACTCTATTTCATGAAGACAAATATACTAACAGTTCATTATTGATACACATTGTTAGTGTGTATCTTGAATGCCGATCAATTGTATCCATGATAAGAACCTAAGTGTACAGACATATCTTTGATACATATATTGGTAGGTATTTTAGAATATCATGTACAATGGAAATTCATTGAATTTAATATTTTTAATACAAATATTAGTATTCTACTAAATTATCTAAACTCAAAATTAATTTTATTCAATGTGACACCATTGAGTGTAGTGAAATACGGTATCTTTCATACAAACAATAACAGTTCACAAAATAATCTACAATGGAAACTCATTTACATAGGTATGATTGAAGACCAAACTATGCATTCTATAAAAAACCTAAACATATATATATACTATGTAATTTTTTGTGTTTTTTATATAAATGGAAAAAACATATTTTTGATCAATAATTTGCTATGGACAAAGTTTGATTGAAGACTAAAGCATGCTTTTTTAAACATAAAAAATATATGTATATACCTATAATTTTCTAATGCTTTTTTATATAAATGGAAGAAATAATTTTTTGATTAATATGAAGCATGCTATGAATGGAAGATGATAGAATGAATGATACGCACCCAAGTGTACTGATGAAGCCATTAACTTTGCCCTCAGCATAAAGGGATACAACATCCCCCATGCGGAGGAGAGAAGCTCCCCCCACCATCTCACTCCCCATCCTGGGGGAGGAGGGAGACGCTCCCACACACTCAGATCTTCACTTCAACACTAGTAACACTTATGTGCACCAACACTTATAAATTCTTGAATTAAACTCTGATGTATGCACCAACTTCTTTATTTTTCAGTCTGAGACTACTGCACAATTATGTCTTTAGTCAAGCTTAATAATACAGCTAATTTTATCCTATGATATTGATATGACTAGCAAATTGTTTGCAGGAGTGATAAAATTATTCTGGAATTCTGTAATAAAAAGGGGCACTGAAGAATTACTATGAAAAGAGTAATTTACACACTGAAATTTTTAATTATGGTAATTTACACAATTTTCAAAAAATGAGTAATTACGCACACTGAAAGCTGTGTGTAATTACTCATATTTTACACACACACAAACTGTATCTGGGATTTTATTACAATGCATGTTAATTAGAGCAAACATTAAATTAGTACATAATTGAAACAAATTTATATCATTAGTCTGCTTATATCGCAAGTTCACAAGGAATTTAAAAGCAAAGAAAACGCCAAGAAAATTCACCATATCGATATTGAAAATTGATTTTATTCATTTTATTGATTTCATTATTCATTATTGATTGATTTTATTCATTTTTAGTTTAGTCGAACTGATGATGGAGCTGGACTCCGAAACGTTTTCAATATCGATATGGTGAATTTTCTTGGCGTTTTCTTTGCTTTTAAATTCCTTGAAACAAATTTTGATCAAAACTTACATTTTGTAATACAATAGCAATCATTTAAATTTTTTTAAATAGGTACGTACCTGTTTCTATGTATGTAAACAATCAACCCTCACACTTTTATTTCAAGCTGAATGCATGAAAATTATTAAAACATGTAGGTATCATACATTGGAGGCTTCATGCCACTGAATTTATCAGGTGCTGAATTATTAATCAAATTTTCTTAATTTCTTTAAAATCAATACTTAATCAAAAGATACTTAGCTGCCATGATTAACCTATAAAAAATAAAAATTCCTTCACAAGCAAAACTAAGATCAATTCATTGTAAATAAATGGGCCTGACATTTCACCAAGAATGCAGGACATTATATCAATTACCCAATGCTATTAAAAGTAATTAGCTTACTGATATTAATGTTCTATTGAGACCACAAACTGATAGTAGCTTCTAACAGCCACATTTCTAAGGTTTGGGAACCTGTGAGGTGAAGAAACCTGCATCCTAATGAGGGTTCAACAAACAAGTTTGAAAAAAACATTGTCATCACAAAGCCTGGCTTACTTGCTACCAAATTCAAATATTTTGAATAAAACATTTGACTTGTATACAACTGATAAATTGCACGAGTTTCATACAACTCATAAATTGCTTTTTTCATGTTAATGAAAAACTGAGAATTCATTGGTCAGAAATCACAGTTGCAGTCAAGACTTGGTGAGTTTGTACCTATTTCTAGCACTGTATAATCTATCAATCTAGGAGAAATTTCTACTTATAGCTAAAATTACACAGCTTCTCAGACAGATCCCAGTGACATATTGGGGCTGACTTTTGTTAGCAAATTAGATTGTTACTTTTGATGCTTGGCAACAATAGTGCTATGGCAAAGAAAGTAGCATTCATACTAGTGTGACAGTAGTAGTGACTAGTGACCAGAACAAAATAACCCTTCAAGATTTCTTGCTAACAAGCAATTTGAAGCAAGAACATGTGCTGCATAGAACTGATACTGATAGAGAGAGATATTTTGAGAGAATGTTCACAATATTCAGAGTTCAAAAGAGTTAGATTTTGATGTTAGTGTGGCTACTAAGATCTTCAAATGTTGATTCACTCTCTGCACCATGCCCCACAGAGTCACAAGGTTCCAGTGTTTGCAGAAATTTCTAATATTGAACACAATTGATTTTGATGACTAAATTTTCTTTTATTAAAATATTATTAACACATGTCTCCATACTCCATAGTTCATACATAATACTTCATAGTTCTAGAAAATATACATATTAACAGACTCTGGTAGTCTGGTGTAGATGCTGGTAGTCAGACTGCAGCATAGTCTGAGAGTGAGGTATTCACATCACAACCATGGTGTGAAATCCTTGTTTTGTCCCTAGTTTCGCCAGTTTCTACTTATGAGCAAGCATGGAAAACTTCTACCATTTGGATGATTAGGGCCGTGACTAGAGCTTTCCAGCAATTTCCTGAACTGCGACATTTCTGCCAGATGAATTACCTCCTATCTCATTGTTCACATAAATGCATGATTTGGCCGCAGCCTGCAAGATTCCAATCATATTAAATATTTGTCACGTTGGAGCTGCAAGATTTCTGATTTCATACACAAGTAGGAAAATTTCAATCCTGCTCATGAGCTTGTAGTCTTTGTAATATGGTATCCAAGCCAGCACATTCTGAGGCAATTGGTGGCTTTCAGGTGGCCAAGTTATGGCCAGCAGCATTAGTGGCAAACCAGTTATTTCTTAGAATCAGTTCATTTTTAATTTTCTCATTTCTTCAAGAGTTAAACCAATATCTTATGTATGATGATGCTGGTATCCACGATACTTTGCTGGTCTATTTATAGGACTTGAAATTGAACTTGAAGGGGAGTCTAAAAAACTCTGCTTTGCAGTTGGCTAAAATTAACTGGTCTTGGCTGACCACTGACACTGTCCAAATATTAATCTTTGCCCCCTCATTGCCCCTTCTTTCTCTGTACCAGTACTGTCCATCCTGGACTGACAGGCAAGATTTACAAGGTCGGTTTCCCCTCAAACTTTCCACAATGCTTAGTATTAGTGCCTAGCTAGTAGCATAGTGGCAATGCAGAGAGTTAAAACTACTAGACTCTGTCTCAAGTTCATTTTTGAGTCCTATAAGTAGACCATCAAAGTAGTATCATGGATACCAATATTATCATACTTAAGAAATTGGTTTAATCTTGAGTAAATAAGGAAATTAAAAGTGAACTGATTCTAAAAATATCAGGTTTGACACTATGGTGCCTAGTCAATCTCAATGTATGCCATGGTCAGGAAGATGTGCCAGGTGCGCGGGAATTTATTTTGTCATTTTAACAACCTGCGCGGTGCGCCGTACTATGCTGGTAAAAAAATGCGCCGTGCGCCTGTCTCTTATACACATCTTTTTCTAATGCTTTTTTATATAAATGGAAGAAATAATTTTTTGATTAATATGAAGCATGCTATGAATGGAAGATGATAGAATGAATGATACGCACCCAAGTGTACTGATGAAGCCATTAACTTTGCCCTCAGCATAAAGGGATACAACATCCCCCATGCGGAGGAGAGAAGCTCCCCCCACCATCTCACTCCCCATCCTGGGGGAGGAGGGAGACGCTCCCACACACTCAGATCTTCACTTCAACACTAGTAACACTTATGTGCACCAACACTTATAAATTCTTGAATTAAACTCTGATGTATGCACCAACTTCTTTATTTTTCAGTCTGAGACTACTGCACAATTATGTCTTTAGTCAAGCTTAATAATACAGCTAATTTTATCCTATGATATTGATATGACTAGCAAATTGTTTGCAGGAGTGATAAAATTATTCTGGAATTCTGTAATAAAAAGGGGCACTGAAGAATTACTATGAAAAGAGTAATTTACACACTGAAATTTTTAATTATGGTAATTTACACAATTTTCAAAAAATGAGTAATTACGCACACTGAAAGCTNAGAGATAAAATGACATGTTTGCGAAGTGCAAACCGCGATTTTTTAATCAAACAAAAATTTATGACATTCGAGCCGCGAGATTTCATACCTACTGAAATTATATGATATTAGAGCCACGATATTTCAGACAAAAATAGGACTTTTCCAGACTAGACTACGTCCAGGAGAAATACACTCTGTGGTACACTGGTAGTCTGGTACACATATGTGCCACTTCGGAGTCAACGTGCTAAAGGAAGCAATGAACTTCAAATCTAGATAATTCATAAAATTGGATTATTATAAAAAAATTACTCGAGAATCAAGATTGCACACAATGTATTTTTTTAATGGTATAATCCAAATAGGTCTATGTCTATCATATGGCTGCATGGCACGGCCCTCGCCCCACGGTATAGAGTCTAGACAATAGGCTAATAAAGATTACGTATATCATTAGAGTCTACCGTCAATGCCACTAAAGTCGCCACCTCATTAAAGTCGCCACGCTGCAGGGAAAAGGAAATATTTATTAAAATCGACCCAATACGAACATTTCGTTATCATAGGAAAATACTAGATCATTTATTAATATTGCCTAAAGATAGTAGAATGCATTTTCGACAATTGATTTGTTATTAGTTTTGAGATTTCAAATCAACATGAAGAAAATTCGTTGAGCGAAACGAATTTTTTCATTCTGCTTGATGAACTGCGTTTGGGCGATACTTTATTTCCGCGAAAATGTTTTCCCTTCGAAGTTGAGGAAATTCTTCACGCTGCATACAAGGAAATTCGTGAATTCTGTTCAGATTACTGACTAGTGTGCCACACTACTATGTAACAGACGAATTTTTTATACGGAACCGCCTATCATTGAAGTGCGTTTTTTCGATGAATTGGAATCGAGGCGGATAAATGCGCGAATGAACAGGCCTCCCAACATCGATATTCGATGCAGTGAAACGAGTTTCTTTTTACGAATTTAAGATTAGTTCGAATCCTCTTACTTATTATAGCCAGGAAAAAAATTTATTCATTGAGGTTACATTTATTTTCGTACAAAAACAATATTTAAAGCATTTATTTATTAATTTTTTAAACAAAGACCGAAGTTCAAGGGTTGGTTTCGCCTAAATTTGAGGCTTTCTCTACTCTACTGTACCTCATGCAGGCGCTATTCACGAAAAGACTGCAATAACCTCGCCAGGCTATGGCGACTTTAGTGTACCCTTCGTCAGTATCGCTGGCGACTTTAAAGCAGGTACTATATACCTCGCCACTCCCGACAGGGCTCAAAAACTTCCATTTTATTATATGATCGAGCAATAAAAAAACCTAGTGACTTTTTTTCTCGAAAGTCTAAACATTAGTCAACCCTGTACAAGTGTTACATTTAATTTTTAGCTGATCGGTGTTTCAAAATCCAATATATTCTATTGCGTTTTCCGAAAGTGGCGACTTATGTGGCATTGACGGTAGACAATAATAGATCTCTATTAGATTTAGAGAGAGATTAATAATATTATAATAGAGATTAGATCATTAAAGAATAACTTGAAATCTCGGTACACAAAAATAATGTAGCCTGTAGCTACGTGAAATTGACTAGGTCCAGAAATTCTAAATTTGATTCTTTCCATTCTGAGAGTCCTGGTAAAATGACACCTCGGCTTCAAAGTTCCAGCTTCCAACTAACGCTGACCTACGAGGTAACAGGCTTCATAACACACCACAATGATCAACAGGTGTGCCAATCGGCTTCCCACGGCACTCACTGATACATAACGGACTAAACGGAGCAGCTCAGTGCTCTTTTTAGGATGACACCGCAAAGTTTCCCTTGCTCCACAAATAATACCCTAAGGTATGGATCATAGACGAAAAAACAAATGCACCATTCATAATCAACATGCAAAGCTTATTTACTACCTTGGGTTATGATAGATGAGCTACACAGATTCCCATAGAAATTTGGTGTTAAATCTTGAATTGCTATGCAGGATCTACCCGACCGCAGTTCGCTACCCCGGTGCTCGCAGCGAGTTGAACTCTTCTGCTTGATCTGGGTATAAAAGATCTTGTTACAATAATTAGTTAGTCGTCAATGATACAAAACCGATTTAAAGTAATATTTTCCTTCATTTTACTAAAATCTTCAAGCTTCCCAAAATTTATTAACTCTCTTATGAAAAAATGAGACTACTAACTTTGATAGCTTGTATTTCTCCCTGGGAGGTGGACGGGAGTTGCTAAATGCATGGTTGAACCATGGCTAAATGCACGCACTTTAAAATTTGTGCCTAATTACGGACCTTAAATATCGAAATAGATTAGGCAACGCTCTAATTTCTACCTAAAGACATTTATACACAACTCCAGTAAAGGGCGTGGTACCCTTTTCTCATTTTTTTAAGAAGCAGGAACAAAATTTGCTGAAAATGATCTAAATTTTATATATTCAATTCCTTTACAGCAATATCTTAATTTTCGCTGCTTGAAGAATCGTTGGTACACACAGACAGTTAGTGAAAACCCTTTCGAATTATAAAAAGTATGTGCGCAGTTTGACGGCGTAAATACATTTTAGAGAGAGAAGAGGTAAGACGAGAGGAGTAGTAAGATAAGTAGTGTAGTGACTCAAATTTTCATCTCGCACTGTCTTTTCTTGCGAAGGTCGTGCTTAATTATATTAAACGTTCAAACTCATTGATCATCAATCTCTGTAACTATATGTAACTCAATTATCTTGAACTCGCCCACCTATTTCGTATATCATCAATTTCACTATTAAATCAATTTAACTATATCGTATCCTACGGTACAACTGAAATCTAGAAGCTATTTCAAATCTACCGTGCGTTGAAAATATTTGATCAAAAGGCCAGCCTAACCAAGAAAAGTACAAGAATCGGCGACAGGCCTATCCAGGCCCATTCTTCAATGCCGAAGATACTATACTATACTAAATAATTTTGCAAATATTCAGTCAGGAAATCTTCTCAATTCTCGAACATGAATAACACTCGTGTAATTTCGGAATAATAAAAATTCAGTAAACGGCGTAAATACTTTCACGTTTGAATCGTCCCATCAAATATTGTGAATTCTATTTGAGTGCCCAGTGAGAAACCAAATTCATAGACAGTCAGTCACAGTCGTTCCCTAGCTCTCCATTTTCTGCCTGACGCAGTGGTGAATAAAACTACTAAGGGGTTAGCTACCAAGTCAACCTTTAGAACTATATTGAGATAATTGTGATTTAATACAGCCAACATAACTGAATTACCATTTTTATTCCCAATATTCTTTTGATATTGTCAGTATTCCAATTTTTCATGTCGTGTCTGTATTTTAATGAACACCAACACCTAATGTGCTGGTCGGCGCCATCATTCTTCAATCCATCAATAAACATATTGAATCTTCATTTTCTTTACCCCAAGCTACATAGTTCAACACCACTAGCGACCCTCTTCTTCAGAGAACTGCTATAATAAAAATTTTACGTGGATTAATAAAAATATATTGGTCACTTTGAATTTAATATCAATATTGTAAAAACATACAATGCAGTTATATTGCAAAATTCGACGGTGAAGCAGTTACTCGACAAGCTTGAGCTGCAGGCAGTTCATCTCAAAGCAAAAAATGTCCGTGCTTTCCTCGATCTGTTAAATTAAATCAGAGAAAAATTCAATTTCAAGTCAACAGATATAGATTCGCTTTGTGTAAAATATAAAATAGTCTCTACTTTTTTGAGTGCAAATCAAACCAAATGACTCATTTCTATGTCATCATCCTAATCAATGACGCAGAAGGGCATAATAATGTCGCCTTCGAAAAAAATTCACCATCAATTGTAAGCATATATATTTCAAAACCTACGTTCACACAATTAATGAAACTAGTAATCAAAAAACATATTAAGGGGGCATATTTTGAAAGGCTGATTATCGATTATTAAAGGGAACTCACCACTTTCATGGTAGGTTTACCGCCTCCATGACCGGCCTTGGTATCAATTCTGATGAGGAGAGGATTGGGCTGCTTGCCCAGTTTGTGCTGCAGTTCACTGATAAGCTTAAAAGAATGAAGCGGCACCACACGGTCGTCGTGATCCGCAGTGAGCAGTAGCGTCGCCGGGAACTGCACAATGTTACACAAAATCTTGTGATCTTGGTATGAATACGGTAACACAGATCGTACTGCACCAACATAATTTACACATAAAAAACGTGCAACATCAACATAATTTGCGTGACCAACAGAAGAGACAGCACCAACGGTAAAAGGAGCTCCACTCCTGGAATTAGTTTCTTACTGTAAACAGACTGCATCTTAAGGTTCCCAGTGCAAATATTCTTGCGGGAACCTTATTTCTAACAGTTATTTCCAGGGAACCTAGGAGAACCGATTTTATTGCACGTATTTCTACTGGGAGCCTTTTTTTCCTCTAGAGATTTGTCAACACGTTTACAATGTATTAGAATTGTAAGTACCACTCCGCTGCTTGGTACGCGGACGTTGTGGTAGGGCGAGAACTTGATGAGATTCCGGAAGTGCTTCTCTTCCTCGGGGTTGCCGTAGTCGGAGCACCAGGCGTAGCCGATGGTGAACTTGTGGAAGCGTAGCAAGTCCATCACGCTGCTCATGTAAAAATTAAATCACGACTGTATTCAGCATTTCATCTTGAGTGACAAAAACTAGTTCAATAATTTTTACGTGCACACTGCAATAATAGTTATGGAGACCAAATTTGACGTCAAAAATAGTGTCGACACAAAAATTAAACGGCGCATTGGCCGATACAAACCAAACAAAATATTAAACGTGTACCGATTTCAATTCTGAAATAAATTCACACCAACTAAATTCTCATACCCTTAGCAATACAATTTCCGTGTACTTATGTATGCAAGAGGAAATACAATTGGTTTAAATTTCAACAAAAAAAAAAGAACTTCCGCTACACAAAACACAAGTGGGACTCACCCAACTTGAGATATCACGGCCCCATAGAGCTCTGGGCGCTGGTTGGCGCAGGCGGCCACCAGTAAGCCACCATTGCTGCCACCCTGAGACGTGAGGAGTCGGCTGCTCGTGTAGCCTTCCTTCACTAAATACTCAGCTGCCGCGTGGAAATCATCAAAAACGTTTTGTTTATTGAGCAACCGGCCTCCGTTGTGCCATGCGTCGCCGTACTCGCCGCCGCCTCTGATGTTAGGCACGGCGACCACACCTCCAAACAGCTGCATGAATGATACCTGCACACAACATTAACATAGTCAAGACCCTCGTCTATGATACATAAATAACAAGGAGCAATAGCATAGGAGTGTAATGCTGTAAATATCCTATGCTATTTCAACACAAAATGGCAATGCACAAACTTAACCCAAATTTAGGAATAAATGCTGACGCAAATAATTAAACGGTATTAAGGCTGAGCTTGACAGAGCAGCAAACTCAGAACGGAGAACATACGGCTCACAGATCAGGCAGATTCTACTTAGCTGCGTGTTTCCTCTATGAACAGATCTCTGAGGCTAGACTAATTTCCTGGCGAAAGGTGGTTTACATATGGACTATGAATTTCCAGGGGTTGCCTGAGCTTATTGGCTCCAGTTACTCTTATTCGCACCAATTATTTTTATTGATAGAATTGTAATCCCGAATCAAATACCACCCATTCAGCTACTAGAAACAAATGAAATACATTATAAAGGTAATATAGACGTAACTAACCTAACACAATAACATTTAATAATGAAACACGAGAACCGTATCCCGAAAAAATGGATAATTCTACTAACGAGTAACAGATAATGGCACTGTCATTCAACAATTCCACACGCGCCTGCCCATAGGAGAAGTACGGCTGCACGCTGATGTTAAAGCCGCCATAGCCGTAAAGAAGCGCAGGGTTGCTGCCGTCTTTTACGAGGCCCTTCTTGTGCATGAGGAACATCGGGATGCGGGTGCCGTCCTTACTGGAGTAGAAGACCTGTTGCATCTCGTACAGGGAAGTATCCAATCCCTTCACCTTAATCTCCCGGAATACCTGGCACGGGAAAGACGAGCAGTTGAGATCACTTGATTGTTTGAACCGTAAAATTGACCAAGAATTCAAAGCAAAGAAAACAACAAAAAATTCATCATAATTTACGGAAAAACTGACGTATAGAATTTGTGTGCCCTTTTATTCGAAATGAAATTTTAGGTTGCACGACTTATAGGAGAGGGGATTGCTGTAGTTAAATCTGCAAGCAATCATTTACAATGTTCAAACTCGAGAAATTTCTGCTCATGAAAGTAGCGAAATGCGGCGCACTGAATTATGTCATTGATGAACCAATGAGCACAATATTTTTGAGCATCAATGTGGAGCAAATCCCATCTACAGAGGAAGGAAGGGGCTGTGTTCTGTAATATATAATGAGCTTTGAAATTGACCGGTTTGAAATAAATTTTACAGTGCATACAGGTTCATCCCGAAAAAATGTGATTTTATAAAGTGATCTTACAGTTTGGAGTTTCTACACATAGAAGTACATTAGAGGCGGAAAAAGTTTACACGTCCAATAAAAAACCTTAATATGTACACAAGCACTAAAAGAACCTTGGGAATATAAGGCTCCACCGTCATGTCGAGATGATAGATGATGCCGGGGGAAAGCTTAGAGGCAAACTTGTAGAAAAGTTCAGTTTGCTTTCGTTCTCCTGACACGCCATCAATTGTACCAATTTCAAGAGGAAGGTTACAGATGAGATCGCCAGTGGCAAGCCAGCGCAGTTGCAACACGCTCTGCAAATATGAACAATATGAATAACATTAGAAAGTCTAGTGCTGAAATGAACACAAAACGTACAAAAACTATAATGTAAAAAATAAATGTCCTAGGATGGAAGATATTACCAAACTTAGAATAGGTATATCATAGACGACCTGAAAAAGGACGGTGAAGCTCAATCTCATGGGAACGCACGAATGACTTTATAATTGAAGAAAATCCAATTTAGTAGAATTGAGAAATCATTGGCTCCAAGAATATTGAAACATCAGTATCAGCATAGCACAGTCGAGAAGTTTCTGTAGAAACCTGAGCAAGGGTATATTGATATGAGCATGAATTAAAGAACAAGAAAAAGCGAAGCTAAATCTGACCACGCTGACTAACTTTGACGTCCTGAATGTAGCAGCAGAGCATCTTGTCGTTGTCTATGGGCTGCACCCAGTCCAAGACATCCTTCTTGTTCTCCGGCAGCAGCACGGTCCACTTGTCCTTTGCGGCGTCGAGAAGGTCTATCTTCACGAGATGGTAGTTGAGGGCGTCTTTGTTGGTGCGGAACACGCACACGCTGCCGTCGTTGCTCACATACTGTACACAACCATCAGTCAATGGGGTACTCCCTTCACACATTTTCGTAGCGAGTTACATGACAATGAGTCAAGAGTAAAGTCGATTCTTCTAAAGAAGAAAGATTCTTTCAAAACTTAATGTTTTCTTTTCAGACAATTTTGCACAGATTTACTCAAAGTTTATTCACAAAAATATTTCATCAAACTCTATACCAGAAAGAAGAAATATCTATTTAAAAATTATGATTGGGATAAAAAATACTTATGAAATGAATTTTGCGAATTATCCCTATCTGAATTCTAGAAAATATTAAATGGAATATCACGTTAAGTTCTAACCTCATACTCCGCTTCGAGCTCATCAACAACAGGCGTAAGCTGGATTTTGCCGGTGATGTTGTCGGGAAGCTCAGCAAAATAAATGAGGTTATCTTTACAGTCCTGCCTGGGCATCACGATGAGGTACTTGCCGCAGTCAGATACACTGGCACTTCTGCACAACAGAAGAGACAGTGAGTCAATGGTGGCGAGCTAACAACTTTCAAGTAGCCACTGCCCTACTCCCTCAAAGAACATCAAAGTATAACGGATGCCAGCATTATCATGCAAAAGATATTGAATTAAATCTTCTGAGAATTAGAAATTAACACAGATGAAGCATCACAATAAGTACCTAATGTTTTGGTAGTAACATTAGCGGGAAGATGGCTTATGGTCTTCAAAAATACAGAAAAAAGTTTAAAAATCCCAATTTCATTAATATTTCATCAATAAAATGAGGTATCGCCCATTCAGTAAGTTTGGAGTCCCACTTTCTGAAGCAGATGATAAAATAATACAGTATAAAATTCCACAAGTGATGACCCACAAGAATACACCAGGAAAAAACATAAATTATCTGAATAAGCAGAAGAAAATAGAGTAAGCAAGCATACGCCAAAGAAACGCACATTCTGAACTTGGGATTTTCCGGGAAGTCGACAACAAGAACGTCTTCAGTCTGTGAGGTGCCCACACGGTGGTAGAACAGCTTCTGATTCTCGTTGCTGGTCGTCTCTGAACCGTCCGTCTTGCCCTCTTGGTCTCGATAGCACTTAACAAAACATTAACATTTAGGCATAAATTTCATGGTCTACATTTGCAATATTAAATCAACAATAGCATCGGGGTAAAAATACGAGACCATCAATAGGCCTAATATTGATAAAAATATATAGATAAAATAACGTTGAACCAGGGAAAATATTATTTATGGACCATTAAACTCAATAAACATCCAACATCCAACGTCAGCCATGATAAATTTTCATCCTTGCAGTATACCAGCCATACTGCTAATACACGATTGAAATTATCTATCAAAACACTCTATAGGTAACAGATATGCAAGTGTAACTCAGAGTGAAGTCTAGGTACTTTAAACAATACAATTCAATATTTTTTCAGAAATAAAACAATAAATAGGAAATTAACACAAAGTAAATAATAAATTACCCCATAAAAGATTCCCTTGTTGTCGTGCGTCCACGCCAGCCCGGAGAACTTGACTTTTTCCAGGACCTCTGGATAGTCTTCGCCGGTGCTCACCTACAATAATTCATGGTTCATTAGATCACATTGTCAAAATCATGACAAAGTAAGGTACACTTATAAGCTCTATCAGACAAGAGCATTGCCTACAAATTGCTCCCAAGAAGACGAATTACTCCTATGGGATAAATAATACAGCTGACCCAAATGTTCTCGAACATTCACCTTAAAATTGTAATTAAAGTTTTATAGATACTTCAAAAAGAAATGCTGTATAGATACTTCATCGTGACGACTACAATTCGTTTAGGATACCAGAGTTGTAGAAGGGAACTTTTGCATGGATATGAAATAAGCAGGACGAGTTGCCTCACGCAATCTTTGAATAGATCATCTTCCGTTAAGCTGATAATACTTTGAAGTTAGAACACATCTAAGCCCTCTCACTTAGAATTACAACTATTAAGTCTAACTGTTAGGAAAAGAACGAGCATAAGAAGGTGAGTAGGTCAGAGCAGCTGCAAATATTTCGCAAGAATGAACACAACAGTTACATAGGTAGCAACAAATATAGTGATAGTAATGCATGTACACAACATTACCAGGCATGTACATTACAATAGTAAGGCAAGTATACAACACTATTAGCCATAAACATGACAATAGTGAAACATGACCAATTACATTCTTCAAATGCACTGTTTTCCAGTCAGAGCCACTCTTGCTGAGCATGTATGCGTGCGTCTCGCCATCTTCAGAGAAGCGCGACCCAGCGATGGAGATGGTGCCATCTTCAGAGAGCTTGTTGGGGTTGAGGTACTCTTGGGCTTCCCCCTCCAGCGAGTCTTGCATGTACAGGATACTGCCAACAGACAGTCTAGTTAGTGACAGACAACAACACTCTCTGACATGAATGGGAACAAAAATCCTAAAGCAAGGCACTCCCGCGCCTTAACAATCTTTACTGGTATACTAGGGAAAAACTCTGCCTAATGAAAAGGAATTTTCCATAAATTCATGGGATGAAATGCAGGAATTGATGATCAACAATGAGAAATTGTAATTAAATGGTTACAAATATGAAAAATAAAATACAATACCTGTATGAAGCATGATGATAAAAATTAACCTGCTCATGCTCACCTTTGGTTTTCCAGTCCTTTATTCATGTAGTAGAAATATCTTTTCCCTCGTTTGTATGGACATGAGTATTTAGGATGGTCATTCATGGCTGTGAGTTTCTCCTTGATGATGTCTCGGGCTGAGCACTTTTCCAGGAAAGGAACCGTGATGGCATTCTGAGCCTCCACAAATGCCTTGGTTTCTTCCGAGTCCACATCCTCGAGCCAGCGGTAGGGGTCAGGCACCTGCAAGTTGGTAGGCTGTCTTTAAAAAATTTCCCAGCACAGCTCAAATATTCTACATGAATTAATGTCGTGTAAAATGGTACTTAACAAAATAAATAATGGCAATCTAACTCCGCCTAAGAGACTCTATTGACATTTACTTTCAAACTATGAAGAAAAATGTAAACTTTTTTATTTTACTCGAAATACTGGTAAGTATACTTGCCACTTGGCAATAAAAAAAATGCGGCAAAATTGAGAGTAAAGGTTGAGTTCCTAATGAGATATATAAAGTACTTGAACAGATTAGCCAATGAAATCTCTGCCATTATCTTCCTTTCATGTTTTTTTTTGTGAACTGTTTTCTTCCACTCTGAGTGTACATGAATATTGAACAAGCTGCAAAAATACAAGGTATGGGCACCACTTTCACAGCATCTGTTGCACAGACTCTTGCCTTTTTATGTCCTATAATGCTGACTGCCATACCGAATAGTATTTACAACAGACATTGAAACTTGACCTGTGTTGTCGAAAATCACTCAGAAATTTCTGTTGGTTTAGTTTCAGGAGCATCAACTTACTGTTCCTCAGGTACATTGCTAAAATCCAGTACTAGATTTTCAACCTTGTTTTATCCATATGCCACCAACAGACCACATTTTTTAGTTGTTATGATTCAAGGCAAGTTGATGTTGAATTTGACACAGTTTAGAGTTGATTGTCATCTACAAAATCATTAATAACATAAGCGATCACATTCTTGTTGGAAGGGACTTTGGGATTGCACAGAAGTTCATCACCTGATGCATTACAGTCATGATTCATAAATGCTTCAGGAGTTTCTTTTCTTCTGGGAGGCTCTATTGCTTCTCTTAACATCATTCTGGTCTTTAGCTTCTTCTTTTAGCCCTCTACTGCTTGACATTAGTAACTGGAGCAATATTGTCAAAAGCCTACTTTCCAAAAAGAATACTGCTTTCCAGTGAGCTCAAAATGACTTGCACTGATTGTAGCCGGCACAAACAACAACTTATAAATGTTCTCTGTTGTGTATAAATGTTCTCAAGTTGCCACACTCAATAGTTAAAATATAATTCAAGTTGAAAGTTATGTTCCTAGAGAACACCTTATGTTCCTTCTACTGTCATATGACAGTAGAAGTTAATAGGTAGAAATCATGAATTACCTCCAATGACAACCTATAATTTGAGTTAGATTAATTGCTACTTATCTTCAATTAGTATATTGAAAAAGCATTTAGTAAAAAGTTATAGTTGTATTCAGTAAAAGTATTCAGTATTGTACTTAGTTGTAGTTAGAGTACATAAGTGGCAACCTACACTTTTTTTTCCTGGTGTCATTGCTAGCTGCAGCAAATTCCAAGGCCAACAGTGCAGGCATGAAGCACAGCACACTTCAGTGACTTGTTCAGTACATGTTCAACACTCTTCTCATGACCACATGAAATACCGTAGTAGCAAAGGAGAAAATCTTTTGTTGTCCTTTTTGTTGCGGATGTTTCTGTTTTAAAAAAAAAGGGCAACAAGTTTTTTTCTGTTTTGTTGTTTCTGTTGTTGTGTTGTGTTGGTCTGTGTTCCCACCTTGCTTCACAGCACAAAGCGGGGCCTAGACCCAGTTCTGAGGCCCACCAAGTTGGTCGCCCCAGCAGGCCAGCAGCCCCGCGGCATTCATGGGGTCTGCCCTAAGGTCACCCACTGACATGGATGTGAGCATTTCAGGGCAGGAGAAAAGATGAATGGTGTTGTGTGTGTTGGATAGGCAGAGTGGGCAAAGTGGAGAAGGGTCTATGGCAGGGTCTATTTTATTTAGATATGAGAGAAGCAGCAGTGATTTGTTTGTGCAAAGTTGTGCAAGGTTTCTGCATGCAGGTCTAGGTAGGTTAATTTCAGATGGGTGGATCTGTGGTGCAGGGTTGCTTAGAATTTTATTGTGAGGAAAGGTTGCAAGGTAGTTTTCTGTGATTGTAGTGTGGATTGTTTTGAGATTTTGTTTTATTGTGTCTTGTGCTGGTGGAATATCTATGTTGGTGGCAAAACCTGAGTTTTGGAAAATGGTTTGTTTCACAAGGCAATGTGGGTGCAACTGTAGGGTAAAGGTATGTAGTGGGTGAGTTGGTTTTTGTGCTCAAGTTCATGAACACACTTTGTGCTCAAGTTCAGCCCTTCCTCAAGTTCATTTATGAGTCCTATAAGTAGACTAGTGAGTATCTTGGATACAACAATATCACTATCACACATAAGAAACCAATTAAAATATTCAGTAGATAAAATTAAAAATGAACCAATTCTAAAAATCTCTGGTTTGCCATTATGAAATGGCCATGAGACTCCATTTTAAACCCCCATCTTCGTAGCTTTGGAAAATTTCCATTTTTCTCATACAGCAAATTTACCTGTCAAGCATAGATACAAACCAGAGATAAATCAGTTCATTTTCAATTTCATCTACTAAATATTTTAATTGGTTTCTTATGTGTGATAGTGATGATTTTAGTATTCAAGAAACTCACTACTAGTCCTATAAGTAGACTAGTAAGTTACTCTACTTATAGGACAGTAATAGGACTCAAAAATAAACTTGAGAAAGGGAAAAAAAATGTTCTCCTTTGCTACTATGTAATATTCCAAGCAGTGTTACTGGGTTGATTATCTAAATGACAAGAAAAATGTAATAAAGCCACATGTGGATAATTCCAGGATAAAACATACCTTTACACCATGCAACTCTTCAACAAATGATTCATCACGTCTCACAGGTGGATAATCCATAATTCAGATGGTATTTTGGGCTGGTTCTCAAATCTGAAATATCCAAAGATCAGACAAGCTTAGCAACCTGTCAAGAGTGCAACATAAATTTTCATTTTTTCAAATGTGAATAAAAATTACAATAATTATAAATGCATAAAGCCAGCTGCCAAAATTGAAAATATGACATTGAGATGCCAAGTAGATAAACTATTTCTACTAGTCCAGTAGTAGCAGCAGCCCTCCACAGTCCACCTAAACTAATTAATGTTTAACTAGCATTGTAACAAATATATATTATATTGAAATATAAATAAAAATATTTCCTATCCATTCAACATTCATGCATGTTTATTTATTTTTAAAAAGGAACCTAAAGACAAATTCAACTATTTCAGTACCGGTATTTCATACAATTCGTAATTTGTATCATGTAAAGTTACAACATGATAATGTCAAAAAATCTGCCAAATATTTTTCAGATTTTGCAATTATGGTATTATAAATATATTGACCACTATATATAGCCTTATATAGGCAGCCTATTTCTTTTGATTCTTTAGAGGGGCTCTTTTCTTTAACGTCAGCCTAGCATATTTTTAGGAACTTAAACAATATTAATGACTATAATGAGAATTATTATGTGCAGGGGGGTCTTTTTTTATGGCTAAGCCATTGATTGATGCTGATGTATATTTCCATGCACTCTGCATGGCATGCAGTATTCACAATCACACACAATTACACACCTTCAGACTGATTGTACAGAACACATGTCGATTGTTACACATACAGAACATCCTTTGTACCCACTACCCAGGCCACTAGAGCACATTACCAATTTACAAGTAAGAAGCAACTAGGTATAGATTTTTGTAAGAGCCTTAACCCTTTAATGACCAGGTATACCATACGGTCGCCTTTCAAACATGCTCTGTAATATTATTATCATGATAAGGAATTGGTGCTAGTTGTTTTGAATGTGTTCAGTAAGCATCCCTGCTTTGTTTTGGAGGTGCAACTTTACTCATTGCCACCAACTATGCAGTGCAGCGATGATCTTGTAGGGAATCCGTGCCATTTAATTTCCGTGGAGCCATTCACTTGTTGAACTTTTAAAATCTTTATTGGACTACCGTGGAAAAATCAGTCAAGTTACAGCATTGAAAAAAATTCTACATGGTTTCTAGTACAATTGAGTGCACATGCAAAATTTGAACATAGAATAAATATTACATGCATATATCACATAGCATTTCTAAAGGCAACCAACCGTTCAGTACAGTTGGACTTACAACTGCATTGTTTGAAACGTGATTGGTGAGTCATGTTGGTCATATGACCATAGTCATCATACAATTAGGGAATTATGATGTAAAATAATTGTGTTTTCATTACTGTTCTTCAATTTAGTGCCCTTCTACAATATTTTTATCACTACCAGTGAGAAACACTAATTCAGTTTACCTATTTTAAGTCTCCATACACTGGCCAAATGATCAAATTATTGAAGTGTATTTATAATATTTTTTGCCTTTCAGAATCCTTCAAGGGTTTTAGCACAAAATCTTCTTCTTCTTCTCCAAGAAAACCTCCCAGTCTATGTGAACAGCATCTTGCTACTTCCTTCTCTAGTGAATCTAAAGAACACTCTGGATTAAGAGGACATATTGGATATGATATTACTTTCACCAATATGCCTGAAACCAGTTCTGAAAGCCAATTTGCTGAAGAAAATGAATCAATCATGATTGAAATTAACAGAATGGAAAGTGGAAATCTGGCCTCTAAACCTGGACCCTGGCTTCTCAATCTCCACCCTCAGTCCCTCACCTCTCATCTCCACCCTGGCTTCTCAACCTGGACCCTGGCTTATCAGTCTCACAGTCTGTACCCTGGCCTATCAACCTGGACCCTGGCTTCTCAATCTCAACCCTGGCTTCTCAATCTCAACCATGGCCTCTCAACCTGGACCCTTGTTTCTCAACCTGGACTTTGGTCTCTCAGGCTCTCAGCCTCCACGCTAGCCTCTCAAATGGACCTGGACCTGTCAGCCTGGACCCTGGCCTCTCAATCTCCACCATGGCCTCTCAACCTGGACTTTGGTCTCTCAGCCTCCACCATAGCCTCTGAAAATGGAGGTCAGAAATCAGCCTGAACCCTGGCCTCTCAACTTGGACCCTTTACTCTCAATCTCAAGCCTTGCCTCTCTACCTGGACCCTTGCTGCTCAACCTGGACTTTGGTCTCTCAGCCTCTACCGGGCCACCCTAGCCTCTGAAAATGGACCCCAGCCTTTCAGCCTGGACTCTCAACCTGGACTCAGGCCTCTCAGCCTTAACCCTTGCCTTGCAACTTGGACCCTGGCCTCTCCACCAGGACATTGGCCTTACAACCTTTGCCCTTGGCTTCTTAGGCCCAACATCCTTGATGTTTTCCCAACATCAAGGATGTTGGAAAAACACACAATTTCTTTGAAAATTTTAATCTCAATAAATGAAGTAGGCTAGCAAGATGCTATTCAAATGGGCTGGGATGTTTTTGGGGAAGAAAAAGTTTTTATGCTAAAACCCTTGAAAGATTCTGAAAGGCAAAAAAATATTACAAGTAGGCCTACACTTCAATAATTTGATCACTTGGGTGATTTGGCCAGTGTAGCCTATTGAGAAATAAAATAGGTAAATTGAATTAGTGTTTCTTACTAGCTGATAGTGAGAAAAATATTGTAGGTAGAAAGACACTAAATTATAGAATAGTAATGAAAACACTATTATTTGATATCATAATTCTCTACTTGCATGGTCGTAGCCCATGGGCATGGGCCGTAGCCTGTAGGTAGGCCCATGGTTGAACTACCTAATTGTGTTTTCAACCATGGGTAGGCCTGCCACCTATAGAATAGAAGTGTTGGCATTGAAGAAATAGGCCCATGGGCCTGGGGCCATGGCCATAGTGGCAAAGCAGAGAGTTTTTTAGACTCTTCCTCAAGTTCATTTTTGAGTCCTATAAGTAGACCAGTAAAGTATCTTGGATACCAGAATTAGCATAGCGGACATAGCCTACATAAGAAATCTGTTAAACTGGTAGTAGCATTTAGAAACACAATGTGATACCTATATGCAATTGCATGTAACTTTTATTTTATGTTCAAATTTTGCATGTGCACTCACTATGTACTATACTACTAGGCTCACTAGGCTACTAGCTAGAATAGAAATCAAACAATGTTGATTTTTTTCAATGCTGTTAGCTGTAACTTATCCGATTTTCACACCATAGTCCAATAACTATTGGAAAAGTTCAACAGTGAATGGCATTATGGCACCACAGAAATTAATTTAAATGGCACAGATTCCCAACAAGCAGCCACTGCGTACGTACTTCTAGTTGGCCGCAAAGAGTAGAGTTGTACCACCAAAACGCAGCAGCGACGTTTACTCATACTGAACGCGTTCACAACAACTACCTAGCGCCAATTCCTTATCATGACAATAATATTAAGAGCATGTTTGAAAGGCGACCGTATGGTACACAGGTCGTTAAAGGATTAAGCAAAACGAAATTGAAAGTGAAGGACGAAAATAATACAAAAAAAAGTTTAGTTACATTTTTTAATGAAAAAATGTCTCAAACGAACAAAACAGCCAAATAAATTTTGTCAGGCCAATGCATTTAACAAAAGGCCACATGTGAGAAATTTGGCCGGAAAAAGGCCTATCTTGCAACCCTGTTAATCCCGTAGGCATTTTCGTCCATTTCGGGTGGCCCAGAGGTTAAAGTTCAGAGTACCAAGATATTGGCGCAGAGAGGCGCGGGTTGGCGGCAAAGGGTACGCACAGAGTAGAAGCAGGTTTGCCCGCGCGGGCAACCAGCCACAAGAATGAACATAGGATAATAATGTAAGTGTTCACAGTGAAAACCTGTACGAACAGGCTTTTGTATTCTATGGTTGCAGGTGCCAGCCTGAGCAGGTCAGCAGAGTACCAGGATATTGGCGCAGAGAGGCGCGGGTTCGATCCCAGCTCCGTGCGCCAGTTTCTGGTCAGAATCGGCAAGGAGGCCGGGGGGTTAAGCACAGCAGAATTGTAGCAACGAGTTGCGAGTTGGAGACCGCAAAATGCTGTGAATGTTCTGCGATGTTATGAATCGGCAACAGGCCGACGGCCTAATAAACGCTGAAACCGCTATTATTTCTTATTATTTGAAAGGATGAAAACCATGATTGAACTAATATATTAGTTCAACCATGGATGGGAACAACCTTAAATTATTTGCTATTTCGAAGCAGGTCACATTGGAAAAGCGTACACTCCACTTAGAGTACTATATTTATTGTGAAATACAGCGGATTCTTATTGCGGATATTTTCGTACTCAGAGATCTGTTAATTTCCGCGTACAATCGTGAATCTTAAATTTTTCCAATGAATCATAATAAGCACGAATTCATGATATCTGGATTTTCTTTTTATCTTGGCAATGAACTTTTCCATTTGGATAAAAAATAAATATCTGGACAGATGTAATTTGAAGAACTAAACTTACAAGGTTTCCTCCAGAAATACAAAATTTTTGTAACTGCTACGGCAAGATATTGTACAAAACATACAAATTAATAAATAAAGCCTTATTTACACGTATCTCTTCACGAGCAAAATAATCAACAAGTTAACTGACATCACAGTGTGCTTATTATCCCTAGACCAGCCTAGCAGGCCAAGACAGTAGAGAGCAACTACCATCACACTGGCCACCAAGCATCGTCTTGAGATGTTCACAAAAAAAGTAGCTAAAATATGGCTCGAGCTGCGCTGTTTTTCTTACAAATATAGGGGAAACAGTGCAAAATTATCCTCCTCGGTTAAAAAATTCTAATTTGATGACAGAAGAACTCAGCATCATACAAAAACGTTCACAGATCGTGATTCACCCAGCTACTTTTCCTACTCTATTTCTTATTAAGTTGCAATCTGTATAAAAAATATATAGACATTTCTTACTTAGTAAGAGGCGTCCTTAAAGGCACTACGAATTTAACATCTTAGATTTTTATTGGAAAAGATATTGCAACTATTTACGTATGACACTGAATTTCTCTATTAATTTAACTCATAAAATTGAAGAATAGTTACAATTATAACGTTTCAGTAATAAAATCAAGAATAACTTTAATTTTTCCTACATTCAACATATTTGCTCAGAAACATCCGCATCATTTGATGCTTCCACAATTCAAATGTTTTAAGTGCTGTTCCGTGGGCGAATGTTATTTGAGAACTGCTTTTTGGGGTTATGCCAATGTAACTAATTACTTCAGAAAGTAATCACTGAATTACAATAGAAGTATTTTAAGTAGTAAATTATTCTGTAATACATATTACTTCGAGAATTGCTTTAAGTCATTATAATGTGAGGATTTGAGGCCGCTTGCATAAGCGACTGATGAGTCGAAGCTCAACGAAGGCAACCGCGGCTCTAGCAAGAGTTCTTGTAGTAAAGTCAACATCTCTGCCTGCTCGTCGGTCAGTGCATCGGATCCCTGCAACAATAATAAGAGTTCACGTATCATGTAAATAACTTACGATAGAAATATTCTCATATACATACTCGTATATACAATATAATAACATACTCGTATATACAACTATATAATATTCCTTCAATTGAATTAGATAAAAACAATTCAATTTAGAACTCAAGTTCTGTAGTAAAATTGAGAAAGCGGCATGGGTAGGCTCTCAACTCGCAGATATAAGTAGGTATACATGAGATTTACTTATTCAATAAATATGAAGAAATCCTAGGCTATAGCAGAATTCATTAAAAAACAGCTAATTCACCTTAACACGTTTTTTTAACAATGGGCTGATATCAGTTCAATTTAAGGACAAAAATAGGTTTAGATAATATCTTCACGAGTGACAACTGTAATATTCCGTCTGTCGTATATAATTTTGTTCTGCAAATTCAATGCAAAAATACCGATCGAAAAAATAAAAATAATGACAAAAACAACTACAAAAAATAAATCCAAAAAATTTAAACAATTTTTAACAAGGTATTTAAACAATTTTTGATCGTGAGACCTGCATTAATCCAAGCACATGCTGCTGGGCCCGCTCGTTGGCCTCCCACTGATGCGGTGGCAGGCTGACGTTAGCTCTGCGCACGACGGCAGCGACGCTCTCCTGGTTCTCTAGCAGCGCACTGCGTAGCCATGAACTATCAGGCAGGGCGACCATGGATGACAGGTGCCACATGCCCTGCACCACCTGCAAAGTAAGGAAGTGAGGTGCCACATGCCCTGCACCACCTGCTAAGTGAGGAGCTACACGCCCTGCACCACCTGCAAAGTATGGAAGTGAGGTGCCACATGCCCTGCACCACCAGCAAAGTAGGGAAGTGAGGTGCCACATGCCCTGCACCACCTGCAAAGTATGGAAGTGAGGTGCTACATGCCCTGCACCATCTGCAAAGTAGGGAAGTGAGGTGCCACATGCCCTGCACCAACTGCAAAGTAGGGAAGTGAGGTGCCACATGCCCTGCACCACCTGCAAAGTAGGGAAGTGAGGTGCCACATGCCCTGCACCACCTGCAAAGTAGGGAAGTGAGGTGCCACATGCCCTGCACCACCTGTAATTTATGTTAGTAAGGCGCCACATACCATGTGCCACCGGTAAATTCCTCATTCCACGAGATGATATGATTTAAGAATCCTGTCAACAGGCATACAAAAATCATTACCTTTTATTACAGAGTAATATCAAACCAGCAAAAAAAACGAATCGTTAAATAAAGCCAGAAATAATTTCCGAAGATACTATAAACTGTATTAAATTACTACATAACAATTACAGCAGCATTCTCCATACTTGTCTGATGAGGTCTTCACGGTGCAGTATCTCAAGGTAATCGACGACGTTCTGAGAGGAATTAGCAGCAGCAAGCAACGACTTCCAAGCCAGGCAGTAGTGGCTAGTGTAGAGCTCACGACAGGGCAGACTGCAGAGAGCGCCACAAGCTTGGATGCGCACTTTGAAGTTGTGGAACCCGCCTATGAGGTCGCAAAGCAACGTCACAATTGGGTCCTGTAGGTACAAAAGAATTAAAGAAGGCTTGAATAAGGGAGGTTTGAATGCGGGAAGGAAAGAACGACAAATATTTCGTGAGCCCACAGATTTCCGAGTTACACAAAAAAATTAATTGGTTTAAAATATCTCAAATAACAGGCTTTCCATATAGTATTTCCAAAGGATTTTATTCTAATGCATTCTGAACAAATTTCATTGCCATGCATGGTACAAAATGAATATTCTGGGATGTTTTAAATTGAAATAAATGAAAATGCTCAACACAATCGTAAATATACTGTTTTTACATGCCCTCCATTTCTGGGGCACTCATCCAACAGGTAAGTGGCACTGCATAAGGTGACCACAAACTGAATAAAATAAATACGGACTAATATCATCAACAAGGTCACTGTTTTATTATTACCAGTTTAAAGGCAGACCAAAGGACCAGCAGCATGACGGCTGCAAGCAATGCGATTATAGAGCCGAGATTATATTAAAAATAAAATAAATACGGACTAAATCATCAAAAAGGCAACTTTTATCATTATCAGTTCAAAGGCAGACTAAAGGACAAGCAGCGTGACGGCTACAAGCAATGCGATTAAACATACCCTCCATTTCTGAGTGTGTTCAATAGGTAAGAAGCACTGCAGTAGGTGGCCACAAACTAAATCAATTAAATAGGGACTAATATCATCAACAAGGTAACTGTTTTATTATCATCAGTTTAATGGCAGACTAAAGGACAAGCAGCATGAGGGCTGCAAGCAATGCGATTAAACATACCCTCCATTTCTGAGTGTGTTCAATAGGCAAGGGGCACTGCAGTAGGTGGCCCAGAGCGTGACAGGCATTCCAGCGCATCTTCATGTTACTGCCACGGCTGCAGCAGTCGACGAGTGTAGTCAGGGCTCGGCTTATTACAGCAGACTTCACGCTCCACCATGTTGCTGCATTGCAGTTATTCAAATAATATGGATTGCATATTATGAATATTCGAATAATATGAATAGAACTAGGCAAAGAAGAAGCAAATTAAACTGAACGAAATATCTCTGATGAAAATGAAGAGACCAAATGAAGTAACTCTCCATTGCAAGACATAGACTCATCCAGAGATTACATTTGATTTTGTTCAGAAATGCACATCGTCTTGCTAAAATTAAATTGTAAAATTTAGTCTAATTTTAACAGTGCATGCATTTTTTGATTATAAAAGAAGGGATCAAGGCGTGCTAAGGGTTATAATAGAAGGGATCAAGGCATGCTAAGGGTTATAAAAGAAGGGATCAACGCGTGCTAAGGGTTATAAAATAATATACATTTAAAACTTTTCAAAGACAACACTTCTAGAGAATCCAGTGTCTCCAATGTTAAAGATGTACAATGAATTTCTCATTTTATTTTCGATTATTAAAAAAAATAATTTGCCAAATTTTTTTAATATATAAATTTTTTTTCAAAATTATTTATTGTCAATTGATTAATGCATTGCCTCTAACTTCACACAAGTGTGCAAATTTTCAGATCAATTGGACAGGTAGAAGTGTGTCAAATATCAGTTATAAGATTTGTAGCTGACAAAATTATTTTTTCAGTTTTTTTATAATTGAAAAAAAATTTTAATTTCAAAATAATTTATTTTGTCATTTGATTCATGCATTGTCTCCAACTTTACACAAGTTTGCAAATGTCAGATCGATAGGATAAGTAGAAGTGTGTTAAATCTCGATTATAAGATTTGTAGCAGACAGACAGACAGACAAACAAACAAGAAGTGAAGTTAAAGAGAAGTGTTGTAAGAAGGGATCAACGCGTGCTAAGGGTTATAAAAGAAGGGATCAAGGCGTGCAAGGGGTTATAAAAGAAGGGATCAACGCGTGCTAAAGGTTATAAAAGAAAGGACCAACACGTGCTAATTAATATACAGGCAACCAAGGTAAGGCTGACCTCGTTGAGGCGACAGTAGGTTCCCCTGCTGCTGTTGGTAGGCCACGTCTCGCAGCCAGCCTATGGTGCTACCCAGACACCGCACGCCGTGGGGCTGACAACAAGCAGTGAATTATAACACGCATGTGAAAAGCAAAATATTTCTACGAGAAGGAATTTCTATACTATACTATACTCATAATGATGGTATGCAATTCATTAAGCAAAAAAGATGCGAAAAAAAGCTGTGATGTTAAAAATATGCGTGAAAACAAGCTGAGTGTATACTATAACACGCATGTGAAAAGCAAAATATTTCTACGAGAAGGAATTTCTATACTATACTATACTCATAATGATGGTATGCAATTCATTAAGCAAAAAAGATGCGAAAAAAAGCTGTGATGTTAAAAATATGCGTGAAAACAAGCTGAGTGTATACTATAACACGCATGTGAAAAGCAAACATTTCTACAAGAAGGAATAAAATACTGACACTCATAATGATGGAATGCAATACACTCAGCAAGAAAGATCAATAAAATTGATGTAAAAAATATGCGTGGAAACAAGCTGAGTGTATACTATAACACGTATGTTGTAGGGTACAAAGTGAAATAAAGGGGAAAGTGAAGTGAAAGTAGGGGAAGTGAAATACAAACACAGTGACGGAATACAGTACAGTAAGAATGTAGATCAACAAAATTGATCTGAAAAATATTCGTGTAAATAAGCAAACCCAAGTGTGGTTCATTCTTTCTTTCAGGAACAAAATTAGCTTTTGTGACATGTAAACGAAAATTAAACTTACCCGGACTTTGCTTTTGTCATTGCAGGCAGCAATCGCGACCTCTAGAAGCTGCTCCACCAGTTCACACGGCAGTAATTCTTTCTCGGGATGACCGGGACTGACAAAATATTGAGCTTAGAAATGGAGTCCTATTCTAGTTAAACAACTTATCACTTGAACAACCTATAACCTAAACTATTGATAACTTGAAAACTTATAACTTCTATTTGAAAAACTTATAGGGTGATATAATTATTTTTTAAAGCTCGTTCTCTGAACATAATTTTTTCTTTCATTAGAACACATTATTTAATATCATTATGATTGTTAAGTATAGATGTTGGGTAACTTCTGCGCCTAAAATCCACGTTAGTCGGACTATATTTTATAAAAATGAGCTAGACAAACACGCGGTAAAACTATTAGTTTTGAGAGTATAAAAAATGATGTATTCGATGAGAGAGTATTAAAAAAATGAAAGTATTAAATATGCTGTATGTGTTCGATGTATTCAATGAGTGTTTGAGTTACAATGTAAATGAGTATTCGATGTATAGAGTACACAACAGGAGATTTACCTGTAATGCTTGAGAGAGGAAGCGAGATTGGCTAGCGCTGACATCGCCATGAGGCGCGTCTTGTTGACAGCTCCACCAGCAGACACCTCGTCATCAGAGCGCTCCAGCCTCTCACACTCATCTGAAACGTCAGGTGGTGGTATAATTTTACCATTTACTGGGTCTTTAATAATGGAATATCAAAGAAAAATTGCATCCTCAGTTCACGTAGCGGCCGTTTTCTCGTCTGTAATTAGTGGGTTTAGCTTGAAAAGCCGTGCGTCGACGGAGTTAGGAACTCGTATTTATTTTTACTCTCAAGACCTTAGATCTTTACTCAAACGAGAGGGTGAGACTAAACTCACCAGCAGCAGCAAGAAGCGCCGTGCCCTTAGTGACGGCAGCACAGATGAGGGTCACCGCCAGCGGGGAGCGCTGCACTGCGGGGTGCTCACTGATGCACCCGCACACTCGCACTCCCCACACGCTCAGGTCCCTCTGTCGCAAACCAACACTTATTCAGAGACTTTATTAATTGGCTAAGAATTCAATAGAAATGTAGAAAGAGAAATGGTTATATTTTTTGATAGTGCGATAAGTTGTAATCTGACAATTCAATAACACAAAAATTGCCAACAAAAAACCTCATATTTTTAATGCAAGCCTTCGGGAACACCTACCAAATGGTTTAAATTTGAAATGTGGGTAGTTTTTGGGTACTTTTCCACATGAAAATACTGATTGATTTGCGATAAAAATTTTCGGCGATACTAGTTATTTGTGAGCGAGAGGCACTGAATATTTATTTGTCCCAACTCTCACACAAACCCTATAATGTATCCGTGTGTGTACATCATTAACATGTATTATTTCCACTGAGTTAGGTAACACGCTTGAGGTGACAAGTGTCTGTAACAGTCCCTGTGCAGAAGTGCAGCGTGCCAAGTTTTATTTCATTTCATTGATTGCTTACCTAAAATTGTTAAAATTGTAAGAATAAACACAAGATCATTCATCCGCGAGCGGAGTTGAAGTCTTGATAAATGTATCAGGTATCATCTGCTGTACAGATAACAATATAAAATAATTTTATGGTCAATCGTAAACAGAAACCGAAGCACGTGATAGCTGGAACCAAAGGTATACAATGTTGGCTATAGAATTATACCGACACACAGCAACATCTGCATGATATATATAAATGCAACGAAGAAAACTATCAATATTTTACGGTATCTCACATGTGAGTGGCCGATGAGCCACAGGACGAACTGCATCACGGACTCCAGGAGAGGCTCAGACAAGTGCTCCGTTACCTGATGATAATCAACAATATTGAAGAGCATTGAAAAATTACTTTACTTACAAGTTACTTAATTTACTTTCAAGTTACTTACTTTACGTACAAGATACTTACTTTACTTACAAGTTACTTACTTTACTTACAAGTTACTTACTTTACTTCACTTACAAGTTACTTACTTTATTTTACTTACAATTTACACTACTTACAAACCCACTTGATTCAAGTGCGCTACGGTACTACAAAAATTGATTCCAGGCACAGTCCACAAGGAACGTTTTGAACTGAAATTGTGAATGACTCAAGGTCCGCTTACTTTTACAGTTGAACCCTAAAATAATTATTGAATTTGAATTATACAATGAAAATGGTAATTTTAATTACACAATAATTATTGTAGAATTGTTTCAAATAAATTTTACAAGATACGGAAGGAGACTGTTCTTGTACTGCCATTTTGAATTTTATGCGACGACAAACTTGAAGAAGCGAGGTTCTGTAAAACGATAATCTTTGAGCCAAAATATTCTAACAAAATAAGCACTTCAAACAAATAAAAAAAAAACAAGTAAATCAAGCATATCGCATTTTTGTTGCTTTAAATTCCCGTTGAACAAGCGATTTGAACAGACAAACTATACAAATATTTATTTATAACTACAAGAATGTATTTTATTTGCACGATTTATTTATAAGTACGGGAATGTATGGGAAGTGATGTAATTTACTTGTAAGTACGGTAATTTGAAGCTAGTGATATCGTTTACTTATAAGTACGGTAATGTAAAGTAAGTGATGTGTGCAGATCACACCTCAGATGTGACGTGCGTAAGTACGCCGGCAGCAGCCACGAGCTGACACCGCGCCATGTCGCCCGCATCAGAGGCGCTCGTCAGAGCAGCACGCCACCGCAACACGCCTAAGATAAGCACGCTTTTTAATCTGCTTTTTAAGTCAACATAAGTTAATTTAAACAATAAGTAAATTTAAAATTTCGGAATTTGAGTTAAGAAAAGGTTATTGAGACTTGTAATTAAAGAATGCATGATATTTGAATAAACAAATAAAATATAATATAAATAGGCAATGTCTAAAACAAATATAATAAAGTTTCTTCAATTATGAGATTATAGAGTTGAAATTCAAAAATGAAACAGGCAGAAGACAGCTCCATGCGCACCAGGATTGCAGGAAGATGCTGCAGGATCCACGGCAGGGAGCTGCAGAAGGCCTTGCAGAGGTTCCTGAGGAGATCAAAACGACGTCACCAATGATCAATTCTATGTTAGACTAGAAAAATAAAAAAATTCCAACGTTCTTTCTAACGGTACCTTTACTCGAGTTGCAAAATCAAAAAGTTGCGAGAAGATAAACCGTGAATCAGCATAAGAAAATCAGACGAGTCGGCTGTGGGTAATTGTGCTGAATAAATTTATTAAAACGTATTGGTAAAACTACATCAACTGGAATAGATTAGATACATAGCAACTTGTTAAACACATTAGGAATTTTCTATTTTTTCTTACATCTCTTGTGATTAGATGTGAATCAACCAATTTCTCGTAACCAAAACGATATAATTAGCAATAATAATAAATTAAGTGTGACCTGTAATGTCCAAAGCCACACATCCAGTGCCAGACGTCGCCACTCCGAGGGAGAGAAGCTCGTCTCTATGGCGCAAACTCGGTCATCCTTGGCACTTTCTTGTGGTACTGCCGAGTTGCCCGAGGCCCGATGAGTGCAAGGTGATGGCACTCTAGGTGCCGGTGGTGGTAGAGGATCTGACCTCAACGACGCATCGCATTCCTTCTTCAGTAGCGCCACCAGCGAGCTCAACAGCGGGAACACGTGCTTCAGCACCACTCCTGAAGGAGAATATAAATGTTTACGCGACGGTACGAGGGAAAAAATAGAAATGTTTACGCTATGTTACAAGTGAAAGAAAAGAAGAATTTAACAATAGCACGTCAAGTTAAGTATTTAAATGGAACTGCTAAGTTTTTCAGTTTCTGTAGTCACCTTTGAAAGTTCACGAGTCTAGTTCGAAATATTACGAATCATCATGCAAAATATCCCATGACAGCATTACATTTACGTAGCATAAATAATATTACCAACCAGTTAAAGTATAGTTATGAGTTATGAAGTCATTATGCAGAGATAACACTTCATATACCAGAGCGTAATAAAGGCATTAGTTGATGTGTTAACTGGAACTGCAGAAGTATATTGGAACTAATTCAAATACCATAATACTGGATAAAGCCTAGAAAGGAAACAATTTATTCGGTATTACTTGAACACTGGTAATTCAACGGACCAGTTTCAGATGGAGGATGGCAGGCCTCAGAGCTAAGTTGACCAGCCCGGTCAGTCGTCTGCAGGAAGAAGGCGCAGTGGTCGGCGATGACGCGTTGTATGAGGCCGAGTTTGAAGTAAACAAGACAGAAGTGCTCGCTCAGCAGAGCACTCAGCACCCGCAGTGACTGCAGTAGCACCTGTAATTGTACTGTTCATTAGAGCTCAGCGTGGGGCACAAGCATGGAATTACAAAACTGTAAGGTGTATTCTTCCTTTTGAGGATACCTCTCGTCGTATTCTATAGGAGGGCATTAAGTTCCTCTAAAATATAAATCGAATAGCCATCGCATGTCAACTTCATTTAAACAAAAAAGTAACCTCCCCCAACTAATCTCCGTCCGTGAGACGATGGTTCGTGAGAACACCCATCAGATAACATGCGACTGCTCACAATCTTGGGCTTTTTATCCATTTAAGCAGACAAAAGTCAGTATCACGGTCGTTCACATTGTACAACCCACCTGGACATGGACTCCCCGGGCAGCAGCAGGCGGCAGGAGAGTACCAATGCACACGTCCAGCAGCCAGTAGAGGAAGCTGCGTCGGCTCGGTAAACTGCGACGTTGAGGAGGCACTGTTGCGGTTTTCATTTCGTTCGCAGCATTTATTTCGCTCGTTTTTGTCATGTTCGCCGCATCTATTAATGCAGACGTTGATACTTCATTTGCGCTTCTCGCCGCAGCAGCACCAGCTGACGCTACGTTCCCTATAGAGTGCAGAACGGACCCACGGTCTGCGGTTCTCCCTGTCACGTAAAGACATGCAAAATGTCAAAACCTCATTACACACGCTTGTTTTCTCAAGGTTTGGTCTAACTTGATTTCTGTTAATTCAGTCTCGATAGAATCTATAGAATATTTTGCAGTTAAACTAAGCTCAATATGGACTGTGTATTACATTGGATGAAAGTAGTCTCTAATTGACAGCATATAAATTTGACGATTACTAAAGTATAGGGAACGTAATGTTCACCATATCAAGAATAAAAACCAATCGTGCTCGTGTCAGTTAGCACTTAGCAACTCATTTCAGCACTTCAAACCTGAAGATAACATACCCGAGATAGAGGAGCCTGATAACGCTTTGCTGACATCATCCAGCTCTGAATTCGTCTCTTCATCAGGCGTCTCCTCATCCCACTGATGCGGTTCATCACAGAGCGTGACAAACGACCCCTCGGTGTCGAGGTGCGAGGGGCGGCCGTGAGGGGCGGCGTAGTGCAGCAGGAGCAGCCGCACCTCCCCCACACTCGGCTTAACCAGGAGCACCGACACCATCACTGACAGCGCGTTGGCTCGCACCACAGCCTCTGCACACGTAACAAAGGCTTACTGAATTGGAAATGTGTTTTAAGTTCGCGCAATATTATTCCGCATAATGGGTTTTTCCATTGTGCATTAATAGTTCACACATCCGTACAAGATAATAAGGAAGTGATCTAAATCTAACTCGGAAAATCAAATGCCAAAGAGCAACAAGTTTTCGCAGTGAAGGCTATCAGAACTCTTCCTCAAGCTAGGTTCAAGTCCTTTTAAGAAATGGCACAGTCCTTTCAAGAAATGGCAAAGCAATATTTCTTGTATTGTTCCGCTAGAAAGTATAATATCGGACCTGTGTGCGTGACAAAAGGCTTAACACAGGAGGCGACGCAGGACAGCAGGCCGGGAGCCAGGCGGCTGTAGGTGACGTTATCAACGAGCAGCTCGAGCGTCTTGAGAGAGCGCACTGCGCCGTCGGTGCTGCGCTCACTCATCAGAACCTGCACGTGAGAATTTTCGACGATTTCAACAAATCTTTGGTAAATTAAAAATTATCACTAATATCCCAATGGATCCTCATGAGAGCAGACACATATTTTCGATCAATTTATTAAAAGACTCAGACTGAACAAGATTTCAGTAAAAGAACAACAAGAGAACAAGTCTGAGTCTTCAGTACATGAAAACAAGACTCATATCAAGTAACGGTAGTGTCAATCGGTATCTCAGCAGAAGTGGTACAGCGTAGCATTAATTACTATAAAGTACTGAATTGTTAATAAGTGTACACAAACATTGGACAACACTCCACTCCTCTTGATAATAATCTTTGATGAAAATAGACCCTCATGCCCCCATGAATTAAGTATAAACTAGCAACATATCCTTCAGAGAAAAGTCTTAGGTACAATAACTTTCATGCGCAGTAGGAGGCAGGACATAGCTGCCAAGAAGGGCTGAAGTTGGTACCATGAAGGAGGACACAATAAGCTACCATGAAGGAGGACACAATAAGCTACCATGAAGGACACAATAAGCTACCATGAATGCCATACCTGCGTGAGCACGCGGTGCAGCTCGCGGACGCTGGTGCCGAGCTGCTGACTCAAGCTGCTGTAAGCTGCCCGGTCAATCCTGGCAATCATTTAAAGTGTCTTAAGTTTTCAGGTCTGGATATAATACCAAATACACATTTGTTGCATTGTCAAAGCTCACTGATTAGTGGCGTTGGCAATGTACTGAGGTTTTCTGCATCATCTATAAGATCTTGACAGCATACTGGTCAGTGGCGTTGGCAATGTATTGAAGTTGTATCATTTATAATATATGATGGGTCCTTAGTGTCCTTAGTAACCACAACATCTGTAACATCATATGATGGATCCTTAGTGTCCTTAGTAACCACAACATCTGTAACATCATATGATGGGTCCTTAGTGTCCTTAGTAACCACAACATCTGTAACATCATATGATGGGTCCTTAGTGTCCTTAGTAACCACAACATCTGCAATATCATATGATGGGTCCTAAGTGTCCTTATTAAACACAAAATCTGCAATATCATATGATGGATCCTCAAAGTCCTTAGTAAGCACAACATCTGTAACATCATATGAAGTATCCTTAGTGTCCTTAGTAACCACAACATCTGTAACATCATATGATGTATCCTTAGTGTCCTTAGTAACCACAACATCTGTAACATCATATGATGGATCCTTAGTTTCCTTAGTAACCACAACATCTGTAACATCATATGATGGATCCTTACTATCCTTAGTAAATGTTACGGACGTATCAGTCCCAGGCCACGCAGGAACGTAGCTTCAAGCAATGTGCCATGTTTTTCGAATGTATAAATCAAGAAAGAGAATGACAATAAATTGAAATTGAGACTCATCTGAGATGTCCCAATGATAAGAAAACAGGTTAAAATATTTTTTTTTTTTGTTACACAAAAAATTTTGGTTGCGATTAATTCAGACATTAGAGCATCAAACCAGAGGAGACACTCACCGTGACCAATGAAGAGAGAGCAGCCAGGGCAGCTTGTCTCACCCTGGCAGTGTGGTGGCTTGCGCTCCACACACCTTCTTCGTCTTCTGTCAACTCCTCCCACTCACTTCCACTAGTGACCACTTCTGCAGGAGTCCCACGACTACTAGTGACCACTTCTGCAGGAGCATCATGACCACCAGTTACCACTTCTGCAGGAGCATCATGACCACAATCCCCTCTTTGGCCATTAGATAAGTTCCTTTGTGTGTCTAAGGCCATATATTCATGGGCATCAACTTCAGGGTCTTGAAGTAGCACCTCCTCGCGTGGGTTTTCTTCTGATTTGGAAGTTACTGTTTTTTCCATAGATTCTGAGGTGAAGAAAAATTCTAAACATTTTCTTTCTTTAGCAGTGTTGGTAGAGGCACAAATGTGGCTATGAGTATCAATTTTGTTACTTTCGGCTCAATTCAAGTAAAATAGATAACTTTTTATATGTGAACATTAGGCTTTACTTAAATTATCTTCTTATCAATTTCAAACGCGAATGAAATAAAATAATGACCTCGCTAGCTACTTGCAACTGCTTTGATTTCAGTAACAAGACTAGAACAAGTATAAATTATTAACGCAACTATCAACCATTAACTCAAACAATTGGTAACAGTTGAAATTCTTTTAACATGAACAATTTATAAGATCCAGCAACGCAGTTCTCCCTTGAATCAATCCTTGCCATCTTAATCCAAACATTAATTCGGCATGATAATTTGGCCTCACCAGCACCAGAAGGAGCCTGGGCGCACCTGAAGCCCAAAGCAGCGGTCATCTCTGCCGGTTGAGGAGGGCGCAGCTGCACGGGCATCGCTCGAGACGCTGCACTGAAAGACGAAAAACGGCTTCTGGATGCGCAGCTTCCCTCACTCGTGGAGCTCAAGGGCGCGTGAGGGCCATGAGCAGGCTGATTGCGGCCTGGATTGGTCTTTTTGCGCCGTAAGCGCTTCCTACGATTGCGGTTTGTGAAATGGTTCTGTAATATAAACAAGTTTTATTGAAAAATTAAGAAATTATACTCTTTATTTTAGTGAACTGAATCGTAGACGACATAATATCAAGAAACTGAACGAAAATAAGGTACTATTAAGTTAGCAGTAGACATGGTTTAGGAACAATATCAATTATTTAGCTGTGCACATTAGAGTAATTGCGTTCAAAAAAAGGCAAAAGCGTTTCACATAGTTCAAAGGACATGGTTAGAATGTAGTTCTGACGTGCTATGTAAACCTTATAGCTTAAGAGCCTGTGGAAGCATACCTATACCCCGAGCTCAGTATTTCACAATATCATAAGCGAATATCATTATAAGAAAAGTTAAGAAAAACTCCAAATGATAAATCACAGATATTTACAATTATTGATAAAAACTATCGTCTAATAAAATATCCAGCCGCTCAAAAATGTTAAACAAACACCATATGAATATGGAAAAATATTATTTTTTAAACGCAGTAATGAAAACAATATTTAGAAACCAACTGCTTTTTTTCATAATTTTATTGAGTAGATAATCTGATCATTTCGAAGTCAGATGTTTGACTATATTTTATTTCCCAAAAGAACTACTGTACAAAACAAGGGATATTCACACCATACAACAGATGAGCATAACTTGAAACTTTTAATGCCTAACATAATATTTCAAGGTCTCAACTTAAATGTCTTCCAACTAAATATTATAAGGCATTTCTTTTAACTATTTCAATGCTTTTACCTAAATCTTTCAATAATCTACATAATTACGTTATAATAAATAACATTTTCATATACAGTCAATGTATTTGCTTAGAATAATTCATGAAGCAGATTAAATGATCAAACAATGCAATATAATGTCCTGGCTTGCAGAAAATATTAATTTTATTTATATGATAAAGAATTCAAATTCTTATCCTGAACAATGCTTGTCTTTTCGCATCAAAAGCCAATGCCACCTACTTTAACAGAACTTTCTGGGTCACAGTGACCTACCTTAACGGAACTTTCTGGGTCAAAGTGACCTACCTTAACAGAACTTTCTGGGTCACAGTGACATACGGTACCTTAAACAGAACTTTCTGGGTCACAGTGACATACGGCACCTTAAAAGAACTTTCTGGGTCACAGCAACCTACCTTAACAGAACATTTTGGGTCACATTGACCTACTTTAACAGAACTTTCTGGGTCAAGTGACATACCTTAACAGGACTTTCTGGGTCACAGTGACATACCTTAACAGAACTTTCTGGGTCATAGTCAGAAGACATGAGGAGTTCAGCCTCATCTTGAAGCCTGTCCATGGCATCCAAGTGAGCGCCAGCATCAACAAATGCTGAGCGATAAGCAGGCAGTCCGTAGAACATGTAGGGCCTAAACAAATATTTTTATTTGATGTTTGCCACTAACTTTTGTGGCCTATACTATCCAACAAGCAAGTTTTACATATTATAGTAGATAACATGTAATAGATATACTATACAATAAATAATTATTTTCACACAATATATTATGTCATAAAATGATACATAATCATGAAATATGTTTAAGCAATAAGAAACAAAACATGAACAAGAAATTTAGTGTTATTGTGGCAAAGAACATTTTTTTATTAACATATTGGCAAAACAGAGTTTTTAGAATGAGAGAATTGCCACTATGTAATGAACCAACATAGTGGCAAAGCAGAGAGTTTTTAGACTCTTTCTCAAGTTCAATTTGGAGCACTAAAATTACTAGATCAGCGATGTATCATGGATACCAGCATCATCATTCCCAAGATATTGATCAGTTTAAATCTTGAGTAGATGAGTAAATTAGAAATGAACTGATTAAAAAAATGCCTGGTTTGGCACTATGTGTGGAAAGAAAAATCATCAATAATTCTGCCCTTCTTGGCTGATTGCTTAAATAACTAAAGAAAACATTACCTGCAAACAGTAATGAAGGAATGAGGCAGGATTGAGTCCCGCAAACAGCTCTGCAGGATGAGTTTAGCCACACGCAATAGACCATACAAGGCTTCACTGTGACAAACATTCTGGGGGAAAATGTAACCTCTATGTAAAATTATGTAAATTGCTCTAGGGAATAATATTTACATGATGCCTGTCCATATTATATCGAAGAGTGAAAAAAGTTTATGAATATTAATTCAGTTTGTGAATTGTTTTAGACAAGTTGCCAACATGACAACATTGATCTGATAGACAATTTGGAAATACCGTAGTAGAAGAAGGTAATAACTTAAGTAAATACATGCATAAGTTATCAATTGATTTAATTTGAAAACTTTTCAAGAATTTCACTGCTAAGAATATTTTCTTACAGGAATAGGGTAGCGCGTTTGAAGCTGCAATGTAAGCAGCTGCATTATATCTGCCATTGCTTGGGCTGCAACAGAACCAGGAACTTTCTGAAAAAGTTACTTTATTTCAATTTATGCTCAATTCATAGCAATCAAACTAAAGTTATTAACATAATGAATTTTAAATGTTAATGTTAAAATTTTCTACTTAACTCTTAAGGTGATTATTAGTTGATATTTTGCACTTTATCAAAAGATCTAAAGTTATTAACATAATGAATGGCTTAACATAATCTGTTAAAATTTACTTAACTCTTAACACATTGACTACGATTGCTTCATCTTGTACTAGGTATTATTTCATTTTTTGTACTTTTTTTTAAAGCAGGGTTGCCAGACGGTCATTTTTTCCAGACAAATTCCGTGATTTAGTTTTTCTCAATTACGTTGGCCGGCTAAAATTTATGATAGGGGTACTTCCTAATTAAATTTAAAATACTGCAACAAGAAAATAAATGGAATTTTTATAGCGGAACCTACTACAAATAAACTTGTATACATTGAATTATTGGCCTTTTTGTTCTCGAATTTGGCTGATTTTAGGCAACCGGAATTATGTACCACTACCTCCTGGAGAAATACATTTCGTGGTACGCATATGTACCAATATGTAGTCAACATGTCAAAGTGATTATTAGTTGATATTTTGCACTTGATCAAAAGATCTTGTTTAAAAAATTATCTAAATGTTGAAGAAAAATATTAAAATCATATAATTTCTTATTTTCAATTAAACATCAAAACAATACATTTAAATGCTAATGACACAGAGCACAAGCTGAATTCAACAGTTAAGACTCACAGCAGTTTGATCCACCACAAGATGATCAACGAGTGCCTGAATGCACTGCACAGCAGCAACAACAACACGCCACCGCAGTTTTGCAGCAGCACTGGACAAGCATTGAAGCAAATGGCTGCTGCGTCCACCCACTGCCAAAATAACCTGCAATAAATGATAATAACATTGTCATTCAACTAGATAAGCCTGCATTACAACTTCATTGTCAATAAATACAGTACACGCAAGCTACATGCATGTACATTTTAAAGTTTACATTTCTTTTCACCAGGTAATTAAACAAATTACTTACGTCATTGGAGGGCTTGTGAGATGACAACTTAGATGCAATTTGGTGTAATGTTTGTATGCAAGAGTTCTCCATTTCCTCTGTGGAGCCTGTACAAAAATGGTCAACTGTTAAGACTGAGGAGTAAAATTAACATGCATATTCACAGTACAATGGATCAAAATGTTCTAAAAAAATTCAAAACAAACCAAAATTAAAAATGAAAGAAATATTATAATCAACTAGAACTCAACTACTCAAGCATAAAAAAATATATAAATGAGATGCTATAAACAATTAATTAAACATGAGAACTATTCTTGCTTCAATTCCTAGGTTACTACTCACTTTCTGCATGATAAGAAGATAGCTGCTTGCATAACACAAGTACAGTGTCAGTATTGTGGAGCTCCATTCTTTGACAGGTTTCAGGCATCTTAATCCTAGGGCAAAGCAGAATTATGGAAATGGAATATTTCATCCACAAAGAAAAATTTTCTAAATTTAAAAAATTTCAGCTTCTAGAATCATCTAAAAATAAAACCTTTTAATTTTTTAAATAGCTGACTTTCAAGTCTTGACCATGCAGGTAGCAACAAAATGATCACCAATCAAAGATACCACAAGAAAATTTAATTTTCACTGGTTGCCGGATTAATGTGATTTAAAGGCTGAAGGAAGTCAATTGACAGTAAGGACTAGCATTTAAAATCCCTTGAATTGAAGCCTCAATATCTCTATACAGTAGAAATTTAGAAGCGAAGAAAAGACCAAAAAAATTTAGCATATCTCTATTGGAAAAGTTTTGGAGACCAGCTCCATTGTCAGTTTGATAAATCTAGAATACAGAAAAAGGCAGAAAATTAGTTGGGAGTTAATAAAAAAAAAACACAGAAGTTAAAAACCTAAATTTACAGACAAAGGGCAGAATAATAAAGTAAGTACCTATTTATTCACAATTTCTAATGGATAAGAACTATAGGCAGCATTTAAACTAGGCTTCTCTTTAAAAAAATGATTCCAAAATACGCAGATCGGAAGCACCAGAACTATAAGCTAAAACCTTAAAGTCTGTGTCGGACACTGGAACATTGCACTGTTTGGCGTGAGTGCGCACAGCCAAATGAGGAGGGCGCGATAGTAACTGCCCAGTCCTATAACTCCTCCCTCTATGCTCAGTGACCCTAGTGCAAAAGTTGCGTGCCGTCATCCCAACATATGCAGATGCACATAGTGCACAACTAAATTTATAAACTAGGGACAATTGCATATGAGAAGAAAGGATATCTTTGTACCTAAAAAACGAACCTATTTTGAAATTATTCACCAGTAAGATACGAAGATTAATGTCCGGGAAGTTTTTCATAAACAAAACTTCTAATTCTCTTGACATAACTTCGGACGCATGGCCGAAGTATGGAAGAGAACAGTAACAACGCTTCTACTATCAAGCTCTGGAACAACTTCACTGTATTGCTTAGACATGAATTTCTTAATCTGGGTAAACACCAAGCCAGAAGAAAATCCATTAAGCAAGAAGATATTGCGCAAAAATTCAAATTCAGAATGCATGGAATGGAAAGTCGAGCATATACGAAAGCCATAAATCCATTAATACTGTACGGATTTCATTCAAATTTAAAAAATAAATAGATATTATCAATGTGCTATGGAGATAGTTATTTCAGATTTTTACATCAATTCTTTTTTATTAATAAGGAAAACCTAACTCCACGCTCAACTCACCCAGCCTGAGTTAAAAATGCTACCCATTTTTTTTTCAAGAATTCATAGCTAAAAAACGCCAACTTGCAGGTTAGGTTAAGACAGCATAGTTTTTTAAAAATACTACAAAATACTGAAATTTGACCTGACTAAGACCTAACCTGCAAGGTAAACATGAAGTTAGGTTTTCCACATTAATAAAAAACTAATTGATTTAAAAATCTAAAATAATTCCATCCACAGCACATTGATAATATCTACTTATTTTTCAAATTTGAATGAAAACCGTTCAGTATAAAGGATTTATAGCTGGCAGAGTTGAACATTAAGTTAGGTTATCGGTATTAATATAAAAGGAATTGATGTAAAAATCTACAATAATTACCTCCACAGTGCATTGATAATATCTACTTATTTTTTAAATTTGAATGAAATCCGTTCAGTATTGATGGATTTATGGCTGGCAGAGTTGAATGTTAGGTCAAGTTTTGCATTCAAGTGTGCACGTGGGTTCGCTGGCAAGTTCGCTGAAGTATCGATTTGGTTTATGGAGCGCTGTCCATCAAAGCGAGTGTGCCGGATACAACAAGGTTTTCTTAGAAACTTAAATTAAAAATAATTGTTGGGAGTTGGATTGGGTTTCTGCAGTGGCTTCTGATGGACGAGGCCACCATCTTGCATCCTTTGCTCAGGGTTGTCTCCAGTCGCATGGATTGCCTGTCATTCTTGCCATGTTTCGGTGGTCTTAACACGCCTTCGACACTTCGTCTGGGACATGTTGGGGTTCGTTCTTACCCTCATCGGTTTGGGATGGCTGACACTCCTATGTGCCTGCAGTCCTGCACCCTGCAATAGAGCCTGCATTGTGGGGTAGAAGAAACAATTGAACACTTCCTCCTGAATCCTGATATGTGCCCTATATCTATATGAGTAATATGACCATAAGAGACAGCCTGACAGGTGCAAGTGACAACTTGACAAGCTTGCATCTATGCCCTGGGGGCTGGGAATCCATCTCATCTCTCATGATCTCTGTGCGTGTGCTTCTTGGCAGAGGCAATTACCCCAGAAGAGTTCATCACTGCATAGTGCAAGCAAGCAGAGCAACTGCTGCAAATCTAACACAAACCGGTCCTCTAAGGCTCTAACAGACTACCTTATAGCCAATGAAGAGCACTGGATCCAATGACAATTTCCCCTCTCATCGCTTCACATGATCACATCATAAGAAACTGATGACAACGCGGAGAGAATGCACCAGCGGATAAAGAAAGAAAATGAAATGAGAAGATGAAGACAAGAATAATATAAACATTGCCAAGTCGCGAGTCCAACTGTCCAGGTGTTACAAGTGGTCAGTGCATGACTTCTTCACCTTCAAACTGGCATCAAATAAATCTAAATTAGAAAATAAGACTCGTGAGTCGTGTCCACAAAAAAGTTTTAAACAGCCACCATAATACCATTCAAACTAATTGGCCCTGATATGGAAATCCCAATTACCTAGGGAGGGAGGGGCATAGTCATAGTGGCAAAGCAGAGAGTTTTTTAGACTCTCCCTCAAGTTCATTTTTGAGTCCTATAAGTAGACCAGTAAAGTATCCTGGATACCAGCATTATCATACATAAGAAATTGGTTTAAATATTAGGTAAATGAGGAAATTAAAAATGAACTTATTCTTAAAAATTTCTGATTTGTCACTATGGGGAGGGGGGAGGTACAATTCCAAACTATCACCCCCCATCCCTTAGGCCCCCCCCTCCCTAGTTGCCACTGCCAGGATAGGGCCGATAGGCTATTACAACAACAACTAATTGGCCAATTCATGATAGACAAGTTTTAGCTTAGTCATAGATGATAGACCCAAAACCTTGGAATTGTACAGAAAAAATCAACAAAACTAGCTTCTAAACAAATTTCTATAAATTTCGTAGTTCGTACTGTCTCCCCAAACCTTGGCCATTTCTTCCATGACCCCAATAAATAATGTCTATAGCAATTGTTTTGACTTTTGAGGCAGCAGGATTGGCAGACCAGCTTTAGGCAGGATTCAGGAACAAATTCCCATTTGTATTCCAAGCAAAAATACCTACTCCCAGTTCCAGATGATGGGCCAGATCTAAATTTGACATTAGCATTTAGCCATGGGCCCATGAAGCAGATCTGCTTATAGTTATACTGTTATAGCCTACTAGTACTAGGTACTCCGTACTAGGTAGGTACTAAGTCTAGTAGGTACATAAACTTACATCCTGATTAAGGTGTACTGTAAGCTCTCTCATAATTTGTTTGACAGGAAAAAGCCACAAAATTAATTACTTAATCAAATTCAATATTTTTCTATTTTGCATTAGAATAACTATTTCCAAATTTTTCTTACGTCTAGGTAGCGTTAAAAAACGTGGAAATACATTTTGACAGCGCTGAGGTTCCTTCAAGTTGAGCTACCTATAACCTGTTCACGCTCCACTCAAATGACGCAATGTTCTGGGCATCTGAACTTCTTCTTTGCAGGGTGTCCACTTGGAGTGGACTTAAAGCCGCAGGTCTGCCAGATGGATGACCGTTGGGCCTGACGCCTGAGAGCTTATAGCTTGTGGTTTTCAGCTTCTTTGTATATGAAGTTAATTGCTGTCATTTAGTGAGGTTGGCTGATGTAAGCTCAGGGCATCTGAACAAAAAAAAAAAAACGACGAACGTTGTTAACGTTAGCTCGGCAGCAGTTGTACATAGTATAGCTACAGTTCGTCTATATACGTTACAACTTGCAGCTACGGGAATAAGGGTAGAGTTGATGGTAAGTGTATCTGCCGCTATCCAAATGAGTGTATCATAATAATTTAGGCAGTTGTAAACACTCGTCACTCAATTTCTCGAACTTAAATTCAAGTTGAAGTGAAACGAAATTAAGAACACGCACTGGCTGTTTTATTTGATTAATTCTACTAATATATCACATTGTCACAACGTCTCGCCCTCAGGCTGAGGCCGGAAGTTCGAAACTATGGAGACAATTGAAGAGATTTTTCTCAAATATGGTAGTCACCTCGAAGATGAACAAATTGTTCGACAAAATATTGCTCATGAAACGAAGTCACTGGAAAAAATAAATAACTCGATGTTTGTATTAATTGAGAGGTTGCACCATGAAGTCACGGATGCGGTGAGTTTTAGGCCTATAGTTGAAATTGAATTATTTGTGCTGCCGTCCAGAGTGCATTTGTCATGATTTACAGATGTCCCAGTCAAAGTTGGAATAATTTGATATGAAAAGCACTTAATGCTAGGTATAAAGTTAAAGTGAAAACTAATGTAGATCATTAGATGACACCATAGCCTAGTTGCTACTAAGCAGTAACTTCACTGCAAAGTGGCAAATCAGAGATATTTTTAGTCATTTAGACTCTTCCTCAAGTTAGGTACAACTGTACAACACTTCTCTTTAACTTCACTTCTTATTTGTTTCTTTGTTTGTCTGTCTGCAGGCAAATCTTATAATCAATAGTTAACAAACATTAACACACTTCTCTGCAGTTCTACCTTTCCCATGCCATTGATCTGAAATTTTGCACACTTGTGACTTGCCTAAAGTTGGAGACACTAATCCCAGGCACAGCCGCACAGGCAGTGACTATTGCATGAATCAATTGACAGAATATATAATTTTTAAAATAAAAAAAAAATAGTTTTTTTATTTAAAAAAAGTAAAAAATTAATTTTTTCATCTAGAAATCTTATATATAATTGATATTCAAGTTCAACACGCTTCTATCAGCCCAATTGTTCTGAAATTTTCCACATTTGTGTAAAGTTGGAGACTTGGCGACAATGCATGAAATGATGAATCAATTGACAGAATAAATAATTTTGAAAAATTTATTTTTTTTCTCATTTTCAAAATAAAATTTAAAAATGAATTTTTGTAATATTTGATAATAAAATTTGAAATTCATTGTATGTGTCTAACATTGGAGACACTGGATTCTTTAGAAGTGTTGTCTTTAAAAAGTAATTTTTAAATGCATATTATTCATTTTTATAAAACTTTTTTTTAACTTCACTTCTTGTTTATATGTCTGTCTGCTACAACTCTTATAATCAAAATTTAACACACTTCTACCTGTCCTATCGATCTGAAATTTTGCACACTTGCGTAAAGTTGAAGACAATGCATGAATCGATTGACAGAATAAATAATTTTAAAAATAATTTTTTTTGTAAAATTGTAATTTAAAGAAATTGATGAATAATTTAATCTTCTACAAGCCTTATAATAACTATTTAACACACTTCTACCTGTCCAATTGATCTAAAATTTTGCAAACTTGCGCAAAGTTGGAGACAATGCATGAATCAATTGACACAATAAATAATTTTGACAAATTAAATTTTTTTTCATATATTAATATTAAAAAAGTTTTAAAAATTAATTTTTTTAATATATGGAAATAAAAGTAGAAATTCATAGTAGATGTGTAAGCGTAACATCAGAGACACTTCTCTTTAGAAGTATTGTTTTAAAAAGTAATTTTTAAACGCATATTATTGAGTTCTATAATGAAACCAGCAAAGTATCATGGATACTACCAGTACCATAACTGCATTTTCATACATAAGATATTGGTTGAAACTTTAAATCTGGAGTAGATAATGATATTAAAAAATAACTGATGCTAAAAACCTATGGTTTACCACTACATAAGTTGCTGCCTGAAAATATCCCATGAAACATTTTTTAAAAGTCCAATTAAGGTACTGTCAAACTCAATGTGTCAATGTCACTCCACACTTGCCACATGACAACAGGAGTTGCTAGTGTTGCTACTCACTACTCAGTAGCATCTGCACAAAAGTTGCCACTTGGCAAATAGTTTCAAGACAGTGACTTTTTTTAACTCTTCATTTTTGAACAAATTGAGTCCCTTAGAGTAGCGCAGTAAAGTAATCTGGCCACCAGCATTACCATGCATAAATAAGGAATAACATTTGAACTACTTATAAATGAACTAGTAGTTTCCAAAAGATGTCTTGTTTACTACTGCAAGCATGGAGAACATCTATCTTTAGGGCCGCAACTAGAGGTTGCGGCCCACCTTTTCCGGAACCGCAAGATTTCTGCCAGATGAATTACCTCCTGTGACCTATCCAATTGTTAACAAAAGTGCACAATCGGGCTGCAAGATTCTGAATGTAATAAAAATTTTGTCATGTTAGAGCTGCAAGATTTTAGAAACAGGTAGAAAAATTCCAATCCTGTTTGCTAGTTACCACTAAGCTTACCAATAAGAATTATACCTGGTCAGAATTAAGATTTGTGGGGTTCAATTGCCACATAATAACCAAAAAGCTTCTTCAAATGCAGTAGGAAATTTGAGCTGTTTTGTTAACAAAATAGATCAGTTCTCTTTGAAGCTGGTGACATATGCTCTGTGACAAAATTAGTGGCATTGACAGGACAGAGGGGTAGAGAAGAAAGCATTGTAAAATCAATCGTATGCAATTGCCAGGCATCAATCATGACAAGAAAAATCATATGTTTTTTAAATATTGTGTCTCAAAAGCAAAAACTTCAAAATTCCTAAATTTTTTGTTTTGGTACATTTTTAATCATCTAGCAAATTGTAGCACTTACTAAGTTTTTTTTTTTTTCTATTAGATAGTATGAGTCGTTAAGAGATAATGTAATGTAGCTATTGTAGATGGCTGAGACTGAATATCATGGTAGCAAATGGTGAAAATATGCATTTAAAAATTACTTTTTAAAGAAAACACTTATTAAGAATACAGTGTCTCTGATGTTACACATCTAAAATGAATTTCTAATTTTTTTACCATATAATAAAAATTTTTTTTTAATTTTCAAAATTATTCATTGTGTCCATTGATTGTCTTCTACAAATTGTATCCGACTGAGTCCAACTTTGTGCAAGTGTGCAAAATTTCAGATTGATTGGACTCGTAGAATCGTATTAAATATTGATTACACAGTATATTGTGCAAATTAGTTTGGATTGTGGTTGAAATAACACAATTAATTGCCCCATAGAAGTTTATAAAAAACGTGCCAATGGTACAAAATATGATATAATTAACATGAGATACAACCTCCTTTGGCTTTTACAAGCATTTGAACATGATTTGGCATGGGGATTTGACCAAAGTTGAACACATTTTATCACTTGCTCATCGTGATACCAGGTCCTAATTATGGTACAGCACTAATTAGCTTTGCCATTGGCAAACAGTCTTCTTTCAGGAGTCTTTGTTTGATTATAGCTCATAAGTTTTCAATGTAATTAATTTCTGGAGAATTTCCTGGCCAGTGTAAAATCTCCAGTCCCCTTTCTTCAAGGAATGTGCACATTATACATGAAGTATGGCATGGTGTGATCCTGCTGAAAAATCACATCTCCCAAACATCCACCTAAGATGTTTTGGGATAGTTTTAGTGCTAAAGGCCTTGGACGACTCATTAACATAGAGGGAATGATGAATAGGGATACATACAAGGCTATTTTGGAGAGTCATTTGCTTTCTAATATGACAAGGGACATTCCTGATGTAGATGGCATTCTTCAGCAGGATCCATGCCACTTTGGTTGAATCCATACCAAATTGTGTTCAAATGCTTGTAAAAGCAAAAGTAGGTCATATCTCCTAGTAATTATATCATATTCTGTACCATCAGCAAGTTTTTTTTTAATAAAACTTCAATGTGGTAAATAATTATTGTGTTATTTCAACCACTGTCCAAACTAATTTGCACAATACTCAATACTGTAAGATTTGTAGCAGACAGACAAACTAACAAGAAATGAAGTTAAAGATAACTTTAAACTTTTGTTGTAATAATAGTATACAATAATATACTATTATTACAACAAAATAATAATAATATTCCAACTGTAATAATAATAGAGCTTTTTGTTGTAAAAATAGAACTTTAATTTTGGTTGTGTCTAACCATGCCTGCTTGTCCAGCAGACAGCAGCCAATATTGGATAATATTAACACTTTGACTGCGACTCACAAAATAGCCTGTTGTCCTGTGGTGCGACTCATTCAAACTTAAATAACTTGAGTTACAGACAAGGCAGCGAGATCAGGGCTAGTGCGCTGCTCTTGTCTGAGCGAGCTCTACAAGCTTCTGACATAAAAACCGTGAGCCTCTATTGGTGCATGTCGCCTGGGATGGAAACTTTCATATTTCTAGGCAACGTGCGCCATATGAGGTACACGGTATTTATTATTCAACTACAATAAAAAACTTGCATCACACGGGTACTAACGCTTGAAAAAAACATTTTCTGTGCAAATGAAATCGGATTGTGACTGCAATAATCAAACTACAAATCATTCTGGGGTAAAATGCTGCTAAATGGGAAGTTTATAATTCATTTAGATGATTTCTTACAAAACTGCTCTAAGCATAGCATGAAGTGGTACCAACAACTGTTCAAGTTATTGGCAAAAACTGTAGCAAATGCCTGGGTGCTTGATCAGTTCTATAGTCAGTAAAAATCGATGTGAATTGCTGAAGTCGTTGAAGATTACTGAATGTATTTTCACTAGTAATAGGTCAGACACGTGAAGAAATGTTTCTATAACCAAATCACAATAATTTTAGATGTTGGTGTTCCAGCTCTAAAGTATTTGAAGCTGAGGATCTGAACTTCATGCCATGACGAGCTACTGATCTGAGTCTTGCTTTAACATAATTGCAAAAAAAGGAAGTTAGTTGGTGCTAAAGTGAGATTAAAAGCTAGAAAAGTAACTATCAATTGCTAGCCCAGTACTCGGAATCCGTATCACTGTTTATCTTGCTTTTTACAGTGCCATTCTGTTTCTGTGTGAGCTTAGGCAACTTTCGAATGACTAATACTCGATTTTCTACTGCTGTAATCCATACCAATACCAAAAAAAATGATTTTCAACATATTGGAACAGGATAACCCCCTTTATTTAATACTTTTTCTTTTTCGTATCCACTCATTATTTCAGGCTACATTCCAACTACTAAAATTCTTATGATTCAATTGCACGACGTTCATATAGGTTTTTGAAAACATTATTGTCAATTATCCATCATATTTTTCACAAGTTTATGATCTGGCTGATATTTTAAAGAGCTTTTTCTAAAAAATTAAATTTTTCAAGCGTGCGCCATATATGGCGCACATCGCAGTTTGGGACAAGCATGCGTGTACCATATATGGCGCACGTCGCAGTCAAAGTGTTAATATTTCGTTGGGTGTAGGACATTCAGCTGAATCAGCTCACATTTTGTTGTGTAAAAAAAACACAATTATAAAAGTTTATGCATGATATTGAGTCATCTTTTTTGTGCAGAGCATCCAAAATACTTGCTGTGCCATCAAACATGAATTGGATAAAGCAAAATATGCATTTCATAACTTGCAGCAAGTCTTGCCTGCAGATCAGTTCTACAGGTAAGTTTTTTAATTGGTTAATTTGCAAGAAATGTAGTTTTTGCTTGAAACTCTAACCATACATACCTGTTTTTATCAAAAAGGTTATTATTTATGATGTTATTATTCATCTTAATTTTTAAAATTTATTTTGAAATGTTGCCTTCTTGTGACAAAAATGACCTAAAAGTAGCGGTTAATCAATCACATTAAAGTAGGTTAAAGTTGCCATTCTGTCAACTTGATTGATATCAATTTAAGTTTTAAGATGACAGTAACCTATAGTTGTCTCAGGTTCCTATTTGATGCCTAATTATTAGTCTACTTATTTAAGGATGAGCTATCAAGGCTTGATATTAGCTTGTAAATTATTGGCACATTATTAATACTTGTTTTATATTAGGACATTTCATTCCTGCAGAATTTTCTTAAATTAGGCATAAAGTTGCCGAACATTAGAGGATTAAATCCTAAAGATATTCTCCATCCAGGTACAATGGCCTCTTCAAAGTACCCACTCAACAGCTAGTTATGGCCACTGCTCTGATGGTGTACCTCTCAGAAGAAAGGTTATATATCAATATTACATTACTAATTTCTTATTTGTTTTCTAAATTTAGCACTTGATTAGTTAGCTTAAAGATGAACTTGGCTTGATTTTTGTGAAATAACTTTATTAAATGATAAAATATGTATAAAGAAATAAATTGCTGAATGCAGTTTTAATTGTACTACCGTAGTCTTCTCTTTCAGACTGGTTAATTTTGAAGAGGCAGCAAGTATACTTGGTCTCCAAGTATTTTCATCAAAAAATGTTGAAGAAAAGGAGCTTCATGCTTCTGTGGACAAAGATCACAGCACTGCTGACAAGACAAAAAGCAACACTTTGACAAATGAACTGGATGCTTGTGAATTTGGTCAGCTACCAGATGTTGCAGAAAAATCTTCAAATCAAGATGCAAAAGCTCAAGTGCCAAAAGCAAAAAAGGGCCCTGAAATTATCTTGGCTCCACCTGAAATTATCTTGGCTAGGGTTCAAAGCAATGAACTTGACTCTGATGGTGTAACTGAATCAACATCAACAGCTAGTTCTTTTAGTAATTTCTCTGATAAAAAAATAGAGATTTCAGATAACAAGCCAGATTTGACCACTACAAAATCTAGTCGGAATGAATTTATTGACAGAATCAACCATATTGATGCATTGTACCTGGATTTAGAAGACTTTTTGATCGGAACCCTCAAGATTGGGTCAGAGCTTGCACGTCTGTCAGTCAATGCTGTTTCCTGTGGTAAGCTGCTTCACCAATAAAGTGCCCAAACATTATTATTAAATATGTTGTTTTCTTGTTTACAATATATATTTTTTCTTAAATATTCATTGTACTGTTTTTTTTTACAGAGAATTTCGTGCTGCCATTCAGAGTAAACAAATTTCTGCGGGAGCTGCATGCTGGTTACACACTCTTGCAACTGCGCAACAGTTATTTAAGGAAGACCTATGATGAGCTCAAGTATTCTCTCAAGAAAACTGAAGACATTGTTTATAATCTCAGTGTGAGAGGTCTCAAGCCTCTTACTTTTAATAAATAAGGAATTTATTTTAAGATATTCAAAATGCGTGTAGCTCTTATGAGTCCAGATTTTTTTCTCCGTTGTTGTTTCCGGCTAAAAGGCAATGAAGTAGCTGCACAATGACCACTTGTTACACCTGGGCCCAGCAGAATTTACTTGGGAAGTTTCATCATTATGTTTCAATGACCCTTGGAGGTTTATTCACGTGGGCCTACGGTTTTAGATCGGAGCTCAAACCAGGATGTTACTGGCATATTACAGAAAAGCCAGGAAATTTGTCTGTGTTAAATAGGTGATTGTTGCTCTTATTATTGCATGTTGAACATTTCTGCAGATGTTGCTTCCTCCAAAAAGTATCCAAACCAATAGATGGGGGATACCAAGGCTTGAGTAGTAGGTATTGATCAGCACCTGATGCTCCAGGCGAAACTGCATGCATGCCAGGAGAAAATGCTCTACGGCATCCTCCACCCCATAATGCAAGCACAGTGTATTTCTAGAGCATCAGGGTGCATCACATATGCATGCTCATCTTTCTTCGTATAGTCAGTTCATTGAAATTTATCATCAATCTGATTCATACAATTCATATCAGATTTTATTACTAGATTTATATTATTATTACTGATTATCGACTGATTATATATAATTCAAATGAAATTTTACTTCAATATCCTTAAAATTTTGACGGACTTGAATTGTTTTTGAACTCAAATTTATATACCTACATTCACTGCTAATGATACTAAAAAAACAAGTGTGGAATTTTTCCTCTCAATTGAAAGACTGGTTTCCCCATTAGGACATAATGAAAAATTTTTCATCTATTCTTGTTTTTGGAAATTACTTTTCTTGGTCTTTTACTTGATGTGAAACTACCTCCAGGGAGCCCTGGTGTAACATTTTGCTATCGCACATCATGTTACCACGGTTTTTCACTGCTTTTTTTCAACCCCTGCAGCACAGGTTCATAAGTACCGTATTAGAAAAACTTTTCTTTTTTTGCAATTGAATGTCCATGACATGCCTATTTGGCATAGCCATTTTTAGTTGATTACGGGTTGTCAGCGGTTACCAGAATTTAATAGTTGAAGACTAACACTGGTAAGTTATGGTTAGTGTGAAATAATGCCCATAACGAGATACCTGACCCAGTAAATGTAATACCGGTACTATAATCCTGAAGCCACTTACCCATATAAAATCACGTTTACAGGTCATAGTCTTTGCTATTATTTGGAAATTATTTTACTTAAAGCTACAGTAGCAAGCCTTCTACTTGGTTAATTCACAGAAATAAAAAGGAGCATCTAATAAGTTTCTAAGTGGTGTTTTTTACACATTTTAGCAGTCCATGATTTTTACCAGTTTAATTAATTTTGTGTTCTGGGAAGCAGGCATATAGTTCAGTTTTTCTTGAAGGATTTTTATTTATTTATAATTGTTATAATACATTTCTCCTTTTGTTTTAACTCAAACAGGTATGTTAATTTAAAAATTAGCAAAAACTGATTGAGAGTTCATTGAAAATCACCTAGATTCTCGGTGAATAAAAAAAAAGAAATTGCTGTTGTTGTAGGTCCTAGAACATAAGCAACTTCTATTTATTTTAGTTTCACACTATTCTCTGTGAGGAAATCTTGAGGTTGATTAAGTTTTATGTTTTGGTGTAATTGCTAGCATACATACACCGTACATATTTTTTACAATGGAATTAGAAAACCCTCATTTATGTTAATTATATAATAACCTAAAATTGTATATCACAAGTGCCACAATTTCAAGCCAGACAGTTGGTACAGCATCCTAGAAGTATTTAATGTTGACAAGCAAATAATGAAGGGACCAACATAATTTTAGAATACACTGTCAATTTCTCTGCTGAAATTTCATTTTACAAGAATGACAGTCTCAATTAATTTTTAGTCGAATAGTAAATGAATTATACTAACATGAGAAAAGACCATGGAATTAATTGGAGCAAGAATTTGTATCATTGGGTACATATGTATAGTTTCTGCCAATAAATATTGTAGCCATTGTTGAGATGCACTGTTCAACTTTATGACAGTTTATGTATATAAAGAATTGAATAGGCAGCAAGTGTTAGTTTTGCTTCCTATGACAAATCCATCTCCAAGTTAAGATAAGCCAAGCATGGGTTTCTACAATTAGAATCTGCAATAATGATTATAATATGTAAAATCATCTAAAAATGCAATTACAAAATTAGAATTGAAGTAATGAATATAGATTTTATTATGTGATATAATCTAGCAAAAATTAGAAGAGTTTTTTTAATTTTATATTATAACCAACCAAAGCACATGCCAGTAACTGGTCAATAAATTGTCAGAAAACTCTGCTGTAATTTGAGGCTGTTGTACATATAATTCAAGTAATGTGTGAGGAACTTGGCTCTTCAACCAAACTTAAAACAGAGCTTTCATATTTTAATACCTACAATGTACAGAACATTTTTCATTATAAATGTGCCGGTTTTTAAGGCTTTGCCATGAAGTATTCTACCCTTTTGCAATGATTAATCTCAGCTATGTTAGTTCTGGGAAAGTAATTTGAGGTCCATTTAGTCACATGCATTAGATTGAGTTGAACCATGGTACTGCTAACAGATGTCTGCTATTGCCACTTAGTGGAATGGAATGTTCTAAATATTCAACAGCATTTCCAAACAGCAACTGCAAGGTTGCCACCCAGGAACATGTAGAGCAAATGCTTCATTTCATACGAGACATCCATGCCAAAAGTCTCGCCCACCACACAGTGCCATGTAGCCCCATATCGCTTGTCCAAGCCTTCCTTGATAATGCGAGCAGCGCTCTGTAACAGAGAAACTCAATTTAATAACAAATAATGTAAACTAGAAAAAGTTCTAAATTTAGCATTAAATTCCTATATCCAAAAATACTGGAATAAATGGATTTCAATTTTTTTGCTGAATAAAATGACCTGCCACGTCACCTAAATTGGGTATCAAGCTACATCGCCTTTCTATATCACCAATTATCTGTCTATCATTTTATAGAATAAAACACTAATTACCATGCTTGATAGAGCATAAGTTTTGACTCAAACAAATTTAAACAATCCACTTCTTGCTTTTTTTTTTGCTTACAATTCTATTCAACACTTAATTGGTAATGCCACTTGACATTTTCCTTTCTATTAGAACGTTATGTTTTGCAAGTCAATAATTTTGACTGAAGTGACCTTATATTTATAACAAATTTGTTAATTGCAACTTGCTACTTTTGATGTCCAAAATTGTAACATATTCTTATTGGTATACACATCAAAGTAAGGATCTTACTTATATATGTTGTCATAACATTTAAATTTCTTTGTATTAATATTTTTGCTAACAAAAGCTGTAATGGACAACACTGACATGGATAGTATAGTTCAGATTAATGGGTATAGAATATTTTGATGCCCATTAAGCATGCTATTCATTTAATCTAGAAGATACAAAGTTACTCAGATCTGGGTAGGGTGAATAAAAAAATTATTATTTAGAAATTTTAAACACAATTGCCATACTACTGTCTGACACTTACTTGACAAATTGGCAAAAAAGAATTACCACCAGAACATTAGTAAACATAGGTATTCATAACTGATATTATATTAAATGACGATTTTTGGTGCTCCATCATCCACAAGTTATGTTAATTGAGCTGGAAAAATTGCAAAAAAAATTATAAAATAATAATTGAGTTCATTATTTTGTTTGAGAACATTAAAATGTGGTATCCAATTTCAAGCCAAACATGGGACATAATTTATTTACCTCATTGTTTGCACTGTACTTCTCACAAGCAGTCACTATTAGCTCTATTGTTTCGGCTCGCATGCTCTCTGGCATGTCTGAGTGCTGGAAAAATTATTTAAAAATTAATTTTCAAAGCAGTATATAACTATATTTTTCACCATCATACAATGAACACATCATTTTAAAACATCAAAAATGTAAGTTCACAAACCAATATACTACCTACTATTGTTAAATATTAGACCAATTAAAATTTCTGTTCATATTCTTGCTATCTAGTCCATGTATTTATGGATGAGAAACACAGTAGAGAATTATTTATAGGTAAGCTGATTTTAAATTTAATGTCTACAATTTTTAAAAAATAGAAATGTAAAATTTTGACAACAGAAGTTTGTAAGTTGCTAACTACTTTTCATGACACTTGAGTTACCACAAATTCAACTTGCTACTTTGCAATAGAAATGATGTAATACTAGTTAAAAATAAGTTTAATTTTGATTGAGTAAAGAAACAAAATGGTCATAAGTTGAAAATATTAACAGAACATTCATCCAATTTTCAATGCAGGTAATATTCTATTCATTGGAGACTGGAGAGCAACTACTCATTATTCAAGTACAGTTGCTGGCTTGCTGCTCACATTCTCACAAGTCATTGACAATAGATTATGGTAATGATGCCATTAAATTAAGACTGGGAGCAGGAAAACTTTGGCAAATATTGGCTAAATTAACTTCTAGTATGACATAGGTACAAGTTGCCACTGTCATTAAGCAACTTAGGTAATAACATTCTCGTAAGATTTTAAGAGCTCATATTTCTAATAATTTTTAAATAGAACAAAATACTTTTATGACAAGTTTATATTATTGGCATTTTTGCATAGTCAATAAGAATAACATGAAGTATCAACTCAATTCTATCTCTTTTAAATAGCTTAACTGATTAATTTTCAAATGATGTAGGTGTATTGTCAGTACTCAGTATGGAGAGGCATTGCTAGGTCTTAAGGATAGGGCATGCTAATCCTATGTGATTCAAAAACTGGATGGATGTTGCATGTTGGTTAAGCATCTAAGATTTATGATTATATCCAAGTTAGCACAATAGCACTTAGAAATGACCCATTTCCTATGAGCCAACATCTGATTGTTTATTTTGAATTAATTGATTACTTTCTCTATCCTGTCCAGAGATTTACATATATGTAAATCTCCTGTCCAGAGATTTACCTGTATGCTAGTATGGAATATATCTACTTGGTGAGCCGCGACTGAATTTTTCGAGCCGTGGTTTTATGGATTTGCAAGCCGTGATTCCATTTCTACGAGCCGTGATTCTATTTCACCGAGCCGTGAAAATTTTGGTTAGCAATTTAACTAGCTATTTAAATTAAATATTTTAGCTTACCCTCAAGAGTGGGTATGTATGGATGATTTTATGTGTTTCTTCAGTGCTCTCTTGTTTCTTGATTTGATCCATTGCAGTTTTTGCAGAAAGGCCATTCAGCAACAGCAAAGAAATAAAAAATAACAGAAAAAATATTGATTAATTCAACTCAACGTTACACTGATTTCTGGCAAGTAGGTTTTCAACAGCCAATATGTTTTAACTTGAAAGTATATAAAATTTTATGTAAATAAAAATAAGATAGAATACTAAAATCGAATGCTTTTATCATGAGTAAACACAAAGAATGGCGTTGCCTGTTCCCATGGGAACTGTCTCCAAGGTAACGAGGGAACTTGAGAACTCCTTCCGGCGCGAAGGACCAAAAAACGGAATTAACTTGAAATTTTGTCCCACGTCCATCGACTAAATTATTCAACTGGTTAATTATTTTAAACATCCAAGTTTCCAGCAAAAGGTTTTCGTTCGATAGAGCGCAAGATTTAATATTGCGTCATATTATGTTCAAAAAGTAATTAACGCAACATATTATGAACTAGAATTTTAATATGCAGTTTAGCAAAAATGTATGATCACCTAGAATAGAGGAGTCGGCGCTGAAGAAATAGACCCAAGGCCTGTTACCGATTCTTGTACATTTGGTGACTTGATTCACGGTATTTTTTTTTTCGTTTCAGATTTGTGGGAGCCTCTGAAAACTTGTCCAATGTGGCCCCACGACAGGGTTTTAAGTTATATTTGCCTAAGTAATTTCTTCACGTGCTGCATTTTGGACTTCACAGTTACTCTTAATCAGTACGCAACCCTGCCTAACTCCAGTTGATTCACAGTAGATCGAAAAACCGGATTTTAGAAAAGAACAGATGTCGGCACTGAAGAAATAGGCCCATGGCCTGTTGTCGATTCTTGTACTTTTCGTGGCTTGATTCCACAAGGCTTCCGGCCTTTTGAACCCGATTTCCACTAACTGATGATTGATCGAGATTGCTGCTGGACTTATTGCAAGACACGTAAGGTTCTAGGCATTTCAAGACTGAACATATGCTCATGCACAGCTTCGTCTAGTCTGTTCTTGAAGGCGTTCAGTTCATACTCGGAGCGTCAACGATGCTATCAGGGAGGCGGATCGCTTCGGTGATTCGAAGCGAGAAGAAATGTTGTCGCATGGATGTGTTACATCGCAGTTTTTTTAGTTTATAGCTGTGGTCCCTGGTGTTGGTTCTTGTTTCGCATTCTAGTAATCCTTCTGGGATCTTGTATAAACCGTGGGTGTACTTGTATACTTCAATGAAGTCACCACGCAGACGTCAATAACGGAGGCTTGGAAGCTTAATAATCTTTAACCTTTCTTAATAAGGCTTGCATTTTAATCCCGGAATTATCCTTGTTGCACGTCTTTGAAAACTCTCGACTAAATTTTTGTTCTTTTCTAGTTTTGGTGACCACACGGCATTTCCAAACTCTAGGTTCGAACGCACGACAGTGACAAACAACAGTTTCATCGCTTCAGCATTTATGTACTCGTAGCAGCGCCTTATCAGTCCAAGTAGTTTATTGGCTTTATTAACTTGAGTTTCAATATGTTTAGAAAATTTCTACTCATTGTCGACATTAACTCCTTAATCTTTTTCCATTGTCGACTTCGACATCACCACTCAGTCGTTGCAACCATGTCTACTTATACTGTAATCTTACTGTTCATTGTTCTTATCAAGGTGAATTACTTTATACTTTTCAGCATTGAAACGCAGCTGCCACTTATCAGGCCAGTCAACCAACCTTTCAAGATCACCTTGCAACTCTACTTTTTGCGACGCATTCTTCGCTGTATTATAAACTTTTGCGTCGTCAGCATACATCGAGCACACGCTAGACACAGCTTCTGACAGATCGTTTATAAACGCAAACGAATAAAACAGGTCCGAGAACGCTTCCTTGTGGCACGCCGCTGCGCACTGAAGCCCAATCCGATGCGGACACATTAATACTGACACGTTGTCTGTCGTCTCCCTACTAGAAAATCTCAGCTCCATTTGAGTACATTACCCACAATTCCCCAAGTCTTCAATTTAAAATGCCTTCAATAAAGACTTCAATTTAAAATGCCTTCAATTTCAAATGCCTTTGCAAAATCGAGTTACACTGCATCTCCTGGCTCCCTTTCATCCAGCAGGCAGGTCCATTCATTCAGAGTAGGCGAGAGGTTAATGGTGCAGGATCTATCGGCAATAAAGCCATGTTGACAGTCTGATTATTAACAGTAAAATGATCGCTCAATCGATCCCTCATAACAGATTTCATTACCTTTCAAACGACACTTGTAAAATTGACTGGATGATAGTTGCTCGAGCAACTGTGTCACCATTTTTTAACAATTGTGTCACTTGCGCTTCTATCCAGTCCGCCGGCAAGATCCCTTCCTTCAAGGTTTTAAAAAAAATCTGATGCATCAGCATCAGATTTTTCTTCTTTCCGTTTCAAAAAAATCTGATGCATGATGATGCATCAGCATCATCATGCGATGCCTCGACGCTTGCACCAGTATCGTCATGCGATGCCCCAACGCCTGTACCAGCATCATCATACGATGCCCAAACGCTTGCACCAGCATCGTCATGCGATGCCCCGACGCTTGTACCTGCATCATCAAGCGATGCCCCGACGCTTTCACCAGCATCATCATGTGATAGAAGCAAAAAATAAAAAGACACGGGAGAAAATAAAAAGGCACGAGAAAGATTGAGAACGGATAAGAATTACTAAGCACTCGATTCATAGGCTCTACGAAAAAGTTCCGTCTTTAAATGTCAACGAAACACCGTCAACAAAGGAGCCGATGTTGGGGAAGTCGGTAAACTGTTCCAGGTTCTGGCAGCGGCGACCGCGAACGCTCTGTTGATGATGGTAGATGGGCGTGTAGATAGTACGGCAAGGTCCGCTGTTGATGACAAACGCCGTCGTCTTCTAAAAGGCAGATCCGACACCCGCTGCAGACCTTCATTGAGACAAGGCATTGGTACGTCAGAACACCGACTTGAACTGCGTTCGCTGCTGCATGCGCAGCCGGTGAAGGTCGCGCAATATCGGCGTCACGTGGACGAGTTTATGCTTATTGCACACGAGTCACGCAGCAGCGTTCATTACGAAATGCAGCTTATCAAGTGCCGTGGTCGGAAATCAGTAGAGTCAGGCATTAACACGGTCCAATTTGGTCAGAAAGAGCGCCACCTCGAGGGTCTTGAGGACCGGCCTAGAGAAACAGTGGCTGACGCTTCGTACTCGTCGCAGAGCACCAAAACAAGCCGCGGTAACTTTGGCAATGTGCCTGTTTACAGAAAGTTTCGAGTCCAGATGAATGCCGAGGTTTCAAACCAAAGACGCAGGCATGACGAACTCGTGGCCCACGCGAACAGGGTTGGCCGGAAGCTGATGCTGGCGCCGTCAGCCGCAAATCAATAAGTCGGTTTTTGATGCATTGGGCTGGAGCCGGTTGTTACGCATCCAGTCTAAAGGCCCGTTTACACTAGTGGCAACGACATGCGCTTTGAGTCGTTTGCTGCAGTGCCTCACCGCGCACAACCGTTCACACTACGTTTGTACTCGGTAGTTTGAGACCGCGCGCTTTGAACACTAGTTGCCACCTAGACGTCAATGAGGATGGATGTAACCGAATTTGAGCTGTGGGCCATTGTTCTCGGGTGTGCTGCGGTCCGTCATTCTTCGCACTATGCCAGTTGTAAACGAGAATTTAGCATAGGCATCATAATTAGAGAACTAGCACATTCAAAAAGATAGTTTATAAAAAATATAGTCTATTCTTAAATAAAAAGTTCCAATATTCGTACCGATATTATATCATCCTTTGAAATCGATAAACGGTATTGCATAAATTGTCAGGAGTTGCTAAAATCACATAAACTAAACACGTCATGTAAAAATAACTTACATCATTTGTATTTCGATTTTTGTACTCCTATGACCGAACACTCCATATGCATTCATTTTCTCTCTAAAGATCAATTAGGCTCTCTACTAGAGAATGACTACAAACGAAAGTGATGTTATTAGTCGACATTTGGTGTGCCGGATCAGTGTACACAATCAACCTTACTAGACCACAGCTAGACAGCTATCTACTAACTAAGAATTTAAATGCAAAGAATAGTCCACAAAAATTCATATCTTGATAGAAAACGTTTCGGAGACCAGCTCCATCGTCAGTTCGTAGAATCTAGAATCACAAATCAGAAGTCACAAATTAATACATTGTAACCATAGAACGAATTGAATTTATTTAATTAATTAATTAAGATTTTTAATTTGATTTACATTTTTAATTTAAATTCTTAGTTAATTTGCGATTTAAGCATGCAAGTGATATTAATTCTTTAATAGCTATCTACTAAGTGCCGCGCTTGTGTTGCATGAGGCCTGGCCCCTGTCAATCGCTAGCTCGTCAATCGGTCAAGAAGCGCATGCAGAGGCTGCAAAGCGCCTCTGCATGCGCTTTGAGGCACTTGATTCTCGTGTGTTGCCCCTAGTGTGAACGGGCCTTTAAGACGGCGTCCATGCAGACAGACATCCGGTTCTGTAGCGCTGCATCGTCAGCCGGCGCCCCATAGCCAGAAATTTGGGTGTTGTCGGCGAACATATGCGGATTCAAACTATGTGAATCAATTATGTGTAAGACCTCGACAGTATATAATAGGAAGATGATCGGGCCAAGGACTGCTCCCTGTGGCATGCCGCAAGTGATCAACGATGGCGTAGAAGAAAAGTTCTCGCATCGAACGCATTTGGAACCTATTGCTATTGCTGAGACAGACTCGACACCGTGAGGTAGACTCGAACCACTGCTGCACTGTACCGCGCAGGCCGAATGATACGAGTCGACTCAATAAAGTGGTCAACCGTGTCAAATGCGGCTGACCGGTTGAGTAAAGCCAGTGCCGCAATGTCACCGTGGCGCGTGGCCTGCTGCTTACAGAATGTCTGAAGTCACTTTCAGCACAGCGGTTTTCGTCGAGTGGAGATGATGGTATGCAGACTGGAGGCGAGGCATGAGACCGGACTGCTGAAGATGGTTATTTAGCTTTCGAGCCACAGGCCCACAACGTCTTCCAGGAGTTTCGACAAAATCGACAGGTGGGAGATGGTTTGATATCATGATATGGTTTGGGATCAGAAGCGTCACGGTCTGTTTTTTTAATAGAGGCGTAATGCAAGCCGATTTTAAGTTCTCATCAACACCACCGTCAGTAAGGCAGCGTTTGAAAAATTCTACCAGAAAAGGTGCTAGGGTTACGAAATTCCCCTTAAGTAACGATGCTGGTAGCGCACCGCTGGCACGTACACTGCTGCGCGCTTTACAGCGATGACATCGTCAGCTGTGAGGTGACGCAATTGAATTCTTGGAGCAAGCAGTCGAACGGGCACGGCACAAATAACACTCCATCTGCAACACAGATGGAGTATCGGCTGACGACGCTCGCACATTTTGTTTGCAGGCACCGAATAGAATTCCTCCACACTTACGTCACCCGCAGCAACTGTATGACCTCTTCCCATAAGTTTATCCAGCGAAGCCACAGCGCTCGAGCGTCTCTGCGTTGAGCGTCAATTCTCTGGCGCAAAATTGACTCTCTTTTAGATCGAAGAAGGTCGCCAGGTTGAGGCCCCAGCAGCTGCAGCAGAAGGATTGCCGCTTCTGTTCTCCCGGTAGACTAGACAGCCCGCTACGTATAGCTGTCGAACCCCCCGCTTTGAACCAAACATTCATCGTCGAACTAAGGGTTGGGGACTCATTGGGGTACCCGAACTGTCTTTTTAAATGTCTTTCGAAAACCTACTTAGCGATGTACACACGCCGAATAGGATTTCCTTGCGATGTATTGAAAATAATAAACGAACAATGAAATTATGAATACAAAGAATTCTCTGGGCTTTAATCAAACGTCTATGAATTCTCGAAATAATACATTCGTAGCTTTTCAAATAGTCACAGCTTTTATCCTTATTCAATCATAAATTAACGAAATAAAACGACACATAAAAATCTATGAACCCAGCTAGTTTTAAACGTTGTAATTTATAACAACCAATCGAATAATCATCAAACATTTAAATGCTATTACGTATGTTCAATCCGCACAAAAGATTTTTTCATATTATTAACTGTAATTTGTTGGCGATGTATTAGAAAAAAACATACTTCGACGCCATCTTCGACTGCTAAAAGCAAAACTACCTGATCTGCTGCGTCTTGCGATGCTCTTCTGTTCTTTGTTTACATCAAGTCGTCGTCTGCGATGATTGAGTATTTTAAAGTGACACTATCCTACCTGTGATGAGTGAGAGCCCTTGCAGCGCATCTCAGATTTGCATCTCTGCTTATAACTATCAACATCTGTCGAGGTGGGTTATCGACCGCTGCGAGACCGACCGAGATCAATAATGGACTCCACGTTGGGCTGCGACAGTCGTCAGTAGTCGGTCTCGGAGGTTGAAGTTTGTCCGTTTTTCTTTCGCAAGTTTACATTACCTGTTTACCTGTATCTTCTATGAACTAATTAGAAGGCTCACGATATAAAACTTGCAGGTAATAAATATATATCCGGTGCTTGTAGATTTCCAGCATTCAACGTGAGGCAAAGTGTGTTTTAACATTATTTCATCCCGAATATGAAATGAACGAAGTCAAAGTGCAACACTTCATTCCCGACATATTGTCAACAACGAGAGGTGAGAATGTAACGTCAGTTATCTCTTAACATTAAAAGAGAAGTCATACATACCATTAGGTACATGGTCCGGCTGATGTACAAAAGTGAATCGTAATTAAGTAGCCCTACTTGAAAATGTTATTTGACGCCGACTACGTTTCAAATACAGCGTTCTAAAGGTTGCCAGCAAAAATATAATCTTTTGTAATAATTTTTAATTTATTGCAGGAGCGATGAAATTATTATGGATGAGACACAAGCATGGAGAAGACTACGCATTAAATGCTCTGTATCGTTGAATTTTCCTTAATGCTTTAAGGAATTTCTAAAAAATTCAATCCTCTATTCTAAATGACCTAGCGTTAATAAATTTCTCGACCTTTTAAGCATCATGTGCTTCCAAAGTTCTCAACGCATTAATTTTTTTACGGATGCATTCAACAGACATCCCAATTTATTGTTAAATTCACAACATTAATAGCGATGCATCATGCGCAGCGCAGCAAACCCGAGCGGCAAGTTAACTTGAAACTTTTTGATAAATTAAGGGACAAAATTTTTTAAACTTTAAAACCCTTGCCGATTTGGCGGCCGTCGATAAAACGGCCAAGATTTCAATCACGGTATTTGCGTAAAGCCATGAAACGTGCCTGTGCGCCGATGCCGTTCAGTGATTAGACTTACGAGAGCCACTTCTCCCGATGCTCTAGTGTAGTTTTAAACTCTGCCATCATAATGTTTTATGAAAAAGAATATACGCTAAATGTTGTACGCTATGTATGCTAGCCAATTCAACAGTCTGATGTTCTGTGCCGCTAGCTCATGTTTCTCACTCAAGGCTTTAAAAAAATGAATAATTGCTCCGGTGATGAACGTTGCTTAATTAAACATGGTCGTTTTTGTTTATGATTATCTTGTTTTGACAGTGTGCTGAGGACAAATTCTGAACTCGACGTAGAACCTGAACTTCGATCTCCTCTAAGTGAAAACAAATCAATTTTTCAACGTTACATATAAAGAAAATTAACAAGAGTTGTTTAAGCAAATTCAAGTCAGATAAAAAAAAACACAGAAAATAAATTTTCTTTGTGCACTATCATCTTCTGTTAGATGGTATCTATGCCTAATACATCAGCAAGTTTGTAACGGAGTACAGCGATGGATGCTACTTTAGTCTAATGCATCAACAAGTATTGAGCGGAGTACAGCGATGAATGCTACTCTAGTCTAATGCATCAGCAAGTATTGAGCGGAGTACAGCAATGAATGCTACTTTAGTCTAATGCATCAGCAACTATTGAGCGGAGTACAGCGATGAATGCTACTCTAGTCTAATGCATCAGCAAGTATTGAGCGGAGTACAGCGATGAATGCTACTTTAGTCTAATGTATCAGAAAGTATTGAGCGTTGTACAGAGATGAATGCTACTTTAGTATAATGCATCTGCAAGTATTGAGCGGAGTACAGCGATGAATGCTACTTTAGTCTAATGCATCAGAAAGTATTGAGCGTTGTACAGAGATGAATGCTACTCTAGTCTAATGCATCAGCAAGTATTGAGCGGAGTACAGCGATGAATGCTACTTTAGTCTAATGCATCAGCAAGTATTGAGCGTTGTACAGAGATGAATGCTACTTTAGTCTAATGCATCAGCAAGTAGTGAGCGGAGTACTGCGATGAATGCCACTGTAAAACATCAACTTTTCTTGAATGTATTAACGAAGAAGAAGCAAGAAGGTAATACGTACTTTTTGTAATACGTTCAAGGTCTTGAACAACGCAGCCTGATCAAATGTCCAAGTGCAAATTAACTACGTTTATTTTATACAACACATGTGTATGTTTCATAAAATTAACGTGTTATTATATAATTATATTTAGGAAGGACTATTGGTGTACAGCTAACACTGTTAGTTTATTGATTTCATCGTCTATTTCACTGATGGATCGGAATTTTAGCCGCCTATTATGAAACGTTCTCTTCTGTCTATACAGATGTTTATTGCGTCATGAAAAATTTAGTCCATCTCGAACTCAAGAACAGTTAAGCTATGAAACTTTTATAGGATTTATATCGAAATACGCTTATCTAGTGTGCCATTAAGATGTCATTGTATTTTTATTCTATGTGGTACAGTATAAAATATGTTTTAATCCGGTTCAAAGTGATACCTATTAATTTAATACAAATTATTGTATATATTTTACGGATGACAAAAACACTAGTGAATATCATCGTAACTCGCAAGATTTATAAAAAAAAGTCCAGTCGATATGGCTGATGATATCGGGTAAGTTTTGAATTGAATCCCAAACTTCGGAAAAAGTCTTGAAATCTCCACTCGGGCCAATGAATTATATAAGCACTTTTTAAAAAGTCCTCAGAGAAAAAACGCAACCTAATCGATTCGAGCTGCTCGAAAAAATCGTAATGAGTTTCGTCTGTCCTCAAGAGGCTCGGTTCATTGACTTCAGCTTTTATTTCAGTTCTGGTAAGAGAAATTCTATTCTTTAGTTCAACTGAGCGCGAGGTTCAGTTGGCTTTCAGTCGTGGCATCGCTAGCAGGTCCTAAAACATGGCTGCTGCTCCCCGTAGATTTTTGTGTAATTTTGTACGTGATCTGTTACTCGCGCTGATTAACATTAATAAAGATTAATTAAAGTGGTCTGCGACTTTGTAATGTATTCTACATAGCACAAGGTTTGCAACATCCGGAAGAAAACAGCCTCGCAATATTTTTCAAATGTAAAAGGCAAATAATCTAACAATGAATATGTGGAACTATACGAAAGAAATATATATCTTTGTAAACCCTATGTCCGAGGACTATCAAATTCAGGCTTCTAACAATTGATGCTCGATAATAAATTGCCCAGAGTCAAAATGTTGTGAAGGAGACTCAGCCTTCTACAGCAGCTCAATAATTGTTTAAAGTTTTATCGTTAACGAATTAAAACCTGACACGTTACTGCAAAACGAGGACGAGAAAATTTTATCTTATTCTAGTAAATGTAGACAATAAATTAATAAATAAATTCAGTGCCGGATTTGAAAGAATGAATTTAAGCGCCTTTTGACACTTTTTGCGCTGTGAACTGCACAAGCAAAGAAAATTTTATTTTGAGGCACGAACGTGGCTTTCTGTGCCTCGGTTTCTCAGAACGCCTTGGCTTCCCAGATCTATTGAACCTATAAGCGCACGAGTAAACCATTGTCTGGCGCTCTTCATCTGTCGTTAATGCGAGGAACAAATGACGATATTTTCCGTATGCGGAACTTTCTTAGATTTAGCCAGATAAGCAATTCAAATTTTTTGTAAGCCCATTTTAAACGTTCGAAGGAACGCAATAATAACAAAAACCTTAATTGATCATTAACTTCACTAGAATCTCAGGGCTGGGAAGCGCAAATTCTAAAACCAGTAAATTTATATATAAATATTATATAATATTATATAAATTTAAATATATATATATATATATATACCTACTAAAATTTATCATAGTATGATGCTAAAAAAATTATTAATTAAAGTCGTTCACCCCATCCCCCCTTCCCTCACAACGGGTATATTAACAAGCAGAGTTTCACTTTATAATATAAAACTCGTACTTTCGGACGATATATTAACTGAACTTTTTTTCATTTTTGGCTCATCCGTTCAATTGAATGAGATTACTGGAGTACTTCTTCTATTATAACAAACGACTTCAATGTATACTTGCATTGATTGCTCATTATAAATAACGTTTCTATTCTAATTTTTTTATTAATTATTTTGATTAACTAATCCCATTATCACTCCTCCTTCACCCAAAGTGACTATCTTTTATTTTGTAATGTTTTATGAAAATTGGTTTGATATTATTCTTGAAAATGTTAGTGAACGAAAAATATTTAAACTTCAATTTTCTAATGCTATTGTTCGTTTCGAGGCAACTGACGACGCAAAAATATCAAAAAATATCATAACAAATAGAAAAACTTCGATGATTGCTGTTATGCATCGTTTGATATTTCTAATCAACCTAATAGCTCGAGGCCCTTGACTCCTAGCAGGGAATGAATCATTTCTCCACATCTGATGATTCAAGATCCATTTTGTGCTTACACACTCACTCACGTTATTAAAAAACCGATGATATTCGACGAAATCTGATGTTCGTGAATCACTACGTACAATTTTTCAATTTACTGTATAAAATTTGTTATGATGACGTGGACCCAAAAAAATGAGTCATTTTGCATTATTTCATAAAACTTAATTGTCCCTTGGGATCTCTTCCAATAATCTCAGAAAATATTTAAACTGAAGGCTATTATATTTATGAGTAATAAATAAAATATGCAACGTCTAGATATTTGTTGCATTAAAAGTGACATCGTATGATGAAACGAGTATTTTTAACTAAAATTAAAAGTTATTCTTACATATATTGAACTATTTGCGCAATTTAAAAAATGCAAAATGAAATTGGACGTATGAAACGAACATAAATTTCTATTACTGTTAGTCGTACAACCCGTGTTTGTAAAGTTGTTGTTCCTCCATCTGAAGATCGCGTTTAATCAAAGAAAAAAACAACTGGACGTTCTGCTAGAATAAATCGGCCTCTCTAAGGGATACATTTTAGTGCTGATGATATAAGTTCTCGGTCCTATTATTCATCGTAAAAATATTCTTTGGCAAATTTTGCGATAATGCGTGCTAGACGACGGCGCAGCAGCCTGCCGGAATCCGCGTCAACGCCTCCTTTGAACCGGTCGGGGGGCTTCGACAGCGAGGGCGCTACTTATGGCAAGAAAAGACGAGCGTCTACTGGCTTTATGAATGCAGGTATAATGCAGGTACCGCGGCATGTTGCTGCTGAAACCACGATGTCGAATTACCAAATGAATAAATTCAAAATCACAATCCATGCATTCCAATATAATTTTATCTCATATAATTATACATCCCGAATTCAAATAGCTGTTTGACGAATTCTGAACGTTGCCGAATTCAAAACGCATCCTTTGCGGCACTGCTACCTTAGTCTGCCCGAGAATTGTCTTGATTCGTTGTTTTCAAACTCATTCACGAATATCGAGTTATGCAACATATCACCGTCCTTATGTTTAAATCAGGCTTCTAGATATTGATTTCAGTTACTTTTTCTCAGCACAATAAGAACCACAGGGAACTGAATAGATTACGAAGAGCTATAGTTGATTTGACATCTTACGTTACTTTAATCGCGGTCCAATAACCTCCATATAATTATATAATACACAATTATTTTGAACGATTTTTAATTTCCATGACCGTGTGAATTTGTTTTCCTAAGCGATTGCTTTTAAGCTAATATATGTTATATATCCGATGAAAACTATTCCTCAACTCAAGCATTACCGTTTTTAAAATATCACAGCATTGATTCGATGTTTCAATTTTTGGAGATCAAATAAATCCAGATTTTTTTTGTAGATCCAGGTCTCGAGGTTATGTCCAAGTCTCGCGGTTATGTCTTGGTCTCCTGGTTAGGTCCAGGTCTTGAGGTTTGTCCCAGGTCTCGAGGTTAGGTTGAGGATCCAAGTCTCGAAGTTTAGTTCCGACCTCGTTGTTGGGCCCAGGTCTCGAAGCTAGATCTAGGTCTCGAGTTTTGGTCCAGATTTCGAGGTTAGACATCATTGTTGGTAACATGTTAAACACATGAATTAAGTTAATTAACAATCAGTGCAGAAGGCACTGAAAATCGCAGCGTAGTGTTACAGCAAATCAAGATAAATAATTATCAAAGTAAACAATTTTATTTCATAGTCAATATCCACATCAAGAACTCATTCATCTCAACAAGCAATCGATGAGCTTGACAGCTGAGGCAATAAATATTTTCTCTGCGCTGACAGAAAGCATGGAGGTGTTGGCGAGTCGTCCGGAGGTGCGGACGCCAGGCGTCGGCTCCGTCAAAGCAGACCTTCGACATCCCGGTCTCGACGCCATCCGCTTTGCATCGTACCGCACTGCGGCCAAGCTCCGATACGTGCAGAAACGCACCAATAGTGAGTCTTATTGAGTGTTGTGTATCTCCGTTGAAATTTGGGGTAAAATTAATTAATGGTGACAAACACAAATTAGACGTAAACAGCTTTCTTAATGCAAAGGGACTTGAAAATTAAATTTGTATTCATAGTACGATATGTGCGTAAACGCTCTTATACTCGTACAAGGGCGTGACTAAATGTACGTGTTTGGTAATTAATTTGTATCTTGTTAATTAGCTTACTTTTAAACTAAGAACATTCGATTACAAGCTAATGATACTGAGCTACTGCAGGACGTTTCTAGTTGGCGAGCGAACGCGATACGGCGAACCAGTTTATCGGGACAGAAAAATAGCAAGAATTAATAAGTTAATGTATACGTGTAAACTGGTATAACGTTGACGTGTTGCGAAAATAATAAATATTATATCGGAAAAGTTTCACTGCGATATCTTTGCTGGCTCTCATCAGCAAAAGTATAGGATAATGTCAGTGTATAGGAGCGTCAATGTTCAAATAAAGGCGCCGCTATGTAACGAAGCCATTCACAGAGCACTTGTCAAAGACGCTTAAAAACGAGGAACGCAATTACTTAGAAGCTTCTGATAACGCATTTTCAGCCGATAGGGAACGAATAAATATGTAGTCATGCCGTCAGTGCAGGTTGGTATCTATGAAAATGGAAAAGTTTTTAAAGATTGTCTCTCAAAATTTAATATCATTCTAATGTTAGTTTATTTCTTACTTACCCAGAGAGTATTTTTAACGGACATGAAACTGATGAGCAGAGACCATATATGCTTCTTTCAGACTAGTCTTCCTCTTATATTATCTTTTTCATGACAAGTCAGCCTCTTCACTGCACTCGTTGCCATGGCATCGGCGCTGAGGATGAATCGGCTAAATTTAGCCGATCACTCTATAGAGACAGGCACATTTCTCAATGTAATATCGAAAGCAAACTATAAGCTTGCTTAAACTTACTGTATGCAAAATTTCAAATAAAGTTTGGTTGTCTCTTAAATTAATGATTAATATGCCACGATGCCTGCTTGATTATACGAGTACCTAATTTACACACCTCACGAAAATCAAGCTTACCTGCTCTTCCGACAAGGAACCTATCACAGGTACAACGTACGACGATGTTAAACATAGATTTGTGGAACGACAATTTTTTATTTCGCTCTCCTCGCTCACCGTCTGATTTGTTTTCGTCCTTATTCGACTTATCAATACAATTTTGGGCTGCTATTTAAAAATGCTTGCGTCGTAATCACTTTTTTTTGCATGAAATTCCAGGTGGAACGAACTAATGTCTCGTTTTTGCACATAATACGAGGGTTGACGAGACTGATGTCTCGGCGGCGATATACATTTGTCTTTCATTAATCCTTCTTTGATGCAAACATTCTTCCGGATACCCATGAAGTGAATGCTAAGATCTCAGAGAAGGCCTTTTTTATAGCCATTTACTTTTGTGCAAGCGATATTGTGTTTCTATAAGCCACGCAATGTGTTAAAGATGCGCTTGTATGTTTTCTCTGCAGTGCACTTGGTGGACATCTGGAACATCATCGAGGCCTTCAGAGAGAACGCACTCAATACACTCGACCCTTACACCGATGTCAAGGTATATGTACATGTTTATTATAAAGTTTAGGTATTTTTAATATATTTATTTTAATATATTGATTGCAATAGTGATTTAGCAGCGAGAGGTTACTCTGTTCAACTTATTTTTAGCGAACACTTCGAACAGTTCACTTTGTTTGTATTCCTAATATTAACGGTAAACGGAAAAATTAATTCTGGGACGGTAATGTTTTTGATGTTTTTGATGTGATGTTTATTGAAAAACAATAGGGATATAAGAACTTATTTGGTCTTTCGCGAACACGCAACTTGATAATACAGTAGAGTGCACGCAGTAAAATGTGTGTTAAGGCGTTACATTCCTCAGTGAACTCGGAATATACAACCCAATAGAAAAACTCAGGCCTCTCGTATGACTTGTCTCAACTCAGGTCTCTTTATGATTTGTCTCGACTCAGGTCTCTTTATGATTTGTCTCGACTCAGGTCTCTCGTATGACTTGTCTCGACTCAGGTCTCTTTATGATTTGTCTCGACACAGGTCTCTCGTATGACTTGTCTCGATTCAGGTCTCGTATGATTTGTCTCGACTCAGGTCTCTTATAATTTGTCTCGACTCAGGTCTCTTTATGATTTGTTTCGACTCAGGTCTCTTTATGACTTGTCTCGACTGAGATGTCTCATATAATTTGTCTCGACTCAGGTCTCTGTATGATTTGTCTCGACTCAGGTCTCTCGCCTCGAGACGCTGATCTCGACGTTGTACCACAGCCTCAACAAACGTCTCGCTGTCGAGAACAGAATCAATGTCGCCGCTTCGACTGCCATTCTCCTCAACTGGCTCCTAGCTGCTTATGATAGGTAAAAAATTGAAAATTAACTTTTATGGCCAATGTTAGGCAAACAACTTCAAAACAATTCGCTATCCTCACTGGTAGCTTGGGTAATGTGTATAAAGCTTAGTAAATATGAAAGGTCGGATTGTTGAAATATGTGCTTTCTCTATTATTCTATGCTATGCTATGGGAGAAGCAAGGAAAAGGAGTTTTGTTTTTGGGAATTAGATTAAACGCAAAGAGTGCGAATACTAGATTGTGAACTTCGGGGGTTTTCATGAAATTTGTAGATAATTTATAGATTAAATGAACATCAAATTAGCAATTAAATATTCTCTGTCTTCCTACATGTTAACCATCCTACGTTGAAGCACTAAAATGATTTTCGAATTAGATTTTATTGAGTTCTTAATTAAATAGTTAGAAGTGAATCTTTCATGAAATCCAAGTTTGTAATCCTTCATGTGGTCTTCATTTGGCAGGAAGAGTGCAGGACAAGTGCAAGTTTTCTCGGTGAAGGTGGCGCTCGTCACGCTCTGCAACAGCAAACCTCTCGACAAGCTCAGATGTAAGGACACGCTAGCTTTAAGTATTTTAATCGTGGTTATAAACCGTTTGTTTTTCCTAATTTCTTATTTACAAAGAATGTGCATTAATTTTAATTTATGATTTTCGTGTATTCTGTAGGTATTAATTGTGAAAACCAATGATATTTTGCTCTTGACAATGCCAGTTCAAGTAATAGTTGCCAACGAAAATTTTCAATGACTTCATTCACAATTATTGATTAATGATGCTGGCTAGCAACTAGTGTGTTATCGCAGCAAAGGTCGTTTACCTAAAAGATTATTTTTATCAGAAAATGAGCGTATTTCAAAAGTTTGTGTTCGCAAATAAAAACATTTTATATCATTGAGAAATTGCATACGTTGATAAGAAAAAATCGTTCGTTAAAGGTCTGACAGTTAAATTTTCATTCAGAATTTGTATCTGCGAGTAAAACCTCAATGAAGTCATTTTGAACAATAATTTAAATATTATTGTACTTGAGCAACACAATTGTCTTCCGCAGATATCTTCTCGCAAATATCTGACAGCAACGGACACCTGGGACTGTCTCGGTTCTCAGAGTACCTGCTGGAGGTGCTGACGCTGCCCGCCGCCGTCTACGAGAGCCCCAGCTTCCCGTACACTGAAGACCTCGCGCACACCATCTTCGACGGCGTCAGTCGTGCTTAACAAATAAGCGACCTGTTCATATTTTTATATCTTTTTAATTTTTATATTTATATCATTTATATTTATATCATTTTTATAATTTTATATCATTTAAACTCGTTATTATTATAGTTAGGCCTTAATTCAAATCGTTCGATGACTCGTCTTTGCAATTATGAGTCTGTTTTTTGAAACGATGGATCGTTGCGTCAAATTCGCTACAAGATTATACGTCAGTTTTTGAATGACTTCTCAGTCCATGTCAACTGACACATTCGAAGTTATCACAGGCTCGGAACATAATTTCACATCAATAAATCATTCGCAAAAAACATGATTTCAACAGATGGAACTCAGGTATATTTACATGAAGCGTGGTCTTGGGCTGATTCGTCTGAAACACTATCCATAAACACCAATGATGAAAGAATTACTATTGTTCATGATGAAATTGGTGTTGCAGGCGTGGCCAGATGCTGATACGGCTGAAACACAAACCATAAACACCAATGATGAAAGAATTATACGTGTTCATGACGACGTTGCGCTGTTGTAGGTGTGGCGTATCAACGTGAACGACTTCTTGGACGTGTTGCTGAGCGACCCTGGGCCAGACTGCCTCACTTGGCTGCCTCTGCTGCACAGACTTGCGCAGTCTGAAGCAGGTCGGTTTTAGCTATTATCATAGTAATGATTTTTAACGTATGATACGAGAATATATAACTACACAATACACTCGTGCAAAATCATGCTCTGAGTTTCGTGCCGTACATGTTAATAAAATCTAATGAGTTATTGGCCTAATAAACGCTGACACCGCTATCATTATATTTCTGCAAACCTGTATGGCAAAATAGGGTGTAGTTTCTACCACATAGCTTTGACAGTCATTTTTTTGTAATTTTTCATTGAAGAATTCATTTCGCACCGTGGAATTCATTATCGCTGCTCGCATGCAAATTTTGTCAGTTATTGAAGGGGGCTGAAAAAATTGATAATAATTATACGGAATGTGCCGAAAATCAGAGCCGAACATTTTTTGCCAACATTTGATTTATCCGCAGAACAAGAAGTAATACTCATACATAAGCTACTCCACATAAGTGGATTATAAATTCTAAGTTTATAAAATTACTGACAAACAGCAATATAAGTAGTAAATGTTAAGTTTAGTTCTCACCGGAAATTTTAATTTTGCACTTCACGATTTATTTATTTGCATTGCGGACCATTTCTCTCTCTGTTTTTGTAACTTACATGGAATTGTTTCTTCATTGTCTTGACGCTGGCACGCAAGGCAACGATTGGTCCAAAGACCTCGTAGACGACGCGTTCAGAGAGACCTGTGAGTGCACGCAGCGACCGTCGTGTTTTACTAGTCAATGTTCAATGTTCATAGAGCCCTGACTTCGAAATCTGTGTTCCCACTCCCAAATTTATTTAATATGTGCCCTTATGAAGCGTTGAAACTTTCAGTCGAATTTTTTATAAAGTCATTATAGAATGTTTTGATTTTATTTTGTAAAAATTTACTGTGAGCGGCAAAAATATAAATAGCGTACAATAAAATTAGTAGGAGCTCATGTGCTCACATGACTAAGGTTAGAGTGATAGTTAGTTTTAAATTGTGTTGAAAAAAAAATCACTTTACGGATAATATATTCATAGACAACGCTGTTATTTACACGATTTTGTTGTAAATACACTGGAGTGTAGAAAAATTGTCCTCTGTGTTTTGTGTGATGTAAATTCAAAAGTCAGAAAATGCAGCCTTTCATGTGTAAATAAAATACACTCCTGCCTTCGTAATTTGTGTGAAATAAGAGTCGATGTCTGCGGAACAAAGTCCGTGGACTTTGACTTTGTTCCAGATTTTGTTGCTCCAAATAGTCGACCGGTTTCGAAGCCAGTATTGAAATATTTAGACATAACCATAGTTAACATGGCAACGTTAATGATAGAAAATCTTTACAATGATTTTACTAGTATATCTATGACTCTAATTTCATAGATTTGTGATGATGTGAACGATAATCAGAGGCGGCGATCCATCGTGGCCTGGGACTGCTATGTCCCAAACAAATACTAAGGATACTAAGGACTAAGGATGTATATATTGTATATTATACATACGCCACACGCGAACTCATATTTATACACTTTCTTATTTGAATCGCATTCGAAGAGTATATATTCAAACTTAAAACAAGCAAAATTTCAAAGGGATTAAAACCGCGAACTAAATTACAATTCCGCTCAATATAATTAGGGCTTCATTCCATACCTGTGAAGCAAAGAGCGAAATTCCCGATACGCTGAACAATTGCAACGCATTAAGCATATATTGTGATGGCCAGTTAGAAATTATTCTCAAGGTTGATAATCGTAATTATAAGCTAGTAATTGCGGGAAGGTAATTCTATAAATAACGAGGTATTAATCGTAGGTAGTTATCGTAGTCAAAAAGGTAGTAATCGAAGACAGGCAATAACAACCAAAAAATAGTTAAACTAGTGGAGCTGGTAAGTAACGAAACAACATTCAGTATTAGCTACTATATTATCATACTTTAAATTATCAGCTGAATGCGGCACTGCTATGGTAAGGCTGTGAGCGTTATCATTGCAAAAATGTCTGCGAGTGGCAAGAATATAATTCACCATTAATTATATCAGTATCGTAGTTACAAATATAGCATGGTTAAATCGGGAAATTTTCCACTCAGCGATGATGATCTGATGGAATCAGCGATGATGTCATCATCGCTGAAGGATCCGTGATGATGGTCACCATTATTGAATGGTTTGCAGAGATGGTCACCATTATTGAATGGTTTGCAGTGATGGTCTCCATTATTGAATGGTTTGCAGTGATGGTCTCCATTATTGAATGGTTTGCAGTGATGGTCCCATTTCTGAATGGTTTGCAGTGATGATCACCATTATTGAATGGTTTGCAGTGATAGTCACCATTATTGAATGGTTTGCAGTGATGATCACCATTATTGAATGGTTTGCAGTGATGGTCACCATTATAGAATGGTTTGCAGTGATGGTCACCATTATTGAATGGTTTGAAGTGATGGTCACCATTATTGAATGGTTCACAGTGATACACTCGACTGGTTGCGATGGCTGCCGGCGTGAGCAGTTCAGCGGCCTGCGCTACAAGTGCGACGTTTGTTCTAACTACAACTTGTGCCAGGACTGCTTCTGGCTCGGCAGGGTCTCTGCCCCCCATCTCCTCCAGCATCCTGTTAAAGAATACATGACTCCTGTGAGTTTTAAGTCATGTGAATTAGTTAATGACATTGATGTCGTTGAGGGTCACTTTTCCATTTGTTGCGTAATTTTTTAATTTTGAAAAAATATCCCCTATTCCAATATAATCATAAGTTAGAATTTCAACCATCGAGAGGTCGAATTTGGTCAAAATCTAAATTTTGAACGCATAATGGGATGAAAGTATACTACAGTCGCTGCGAAGTAAAAAAAATAGCCGAATTTGATCAAAATCTAAATTTTCAACGTATAATGGGTTGAAAGTATACTACTCGCTGCAAATTCAATAAAATATAAAGTGGCCAAAGCTGAGCTTGATCTAAATGTTGAACGCACAGAGGAATGAAAGTATACTATAGCAAAAGAATGAATACCAAACTTTATAATATGTTGTTTAATACGAAACTTAATAATATGTTGTGTGGGTGCACGGGCAGCACCCCAGTCGGCCGCTGAGCTCGTCCATGCGCCGCAGTCTGCGCTGTATTCCACTCGCCTCGTCAGACACGCCACGCTTCCCTGAGACACCCGAGCCTACTCTCGACCTGGCGCATATTGTGTGAGGGGTGTGAGGGGTGTGTGAGGGGAGGGTGTAAGGGGTGCGAGAGGGTGTGAGGGGCATGGGAGGCGGGTGAGAGGGGCATGGGAGGCGGGTGTTAGGGGTTTGAGAGGCGGGTGTGAGGGGCGGGTGTGAGGGGGCGTGTGAGGGGTGTGAGGGGTGTGTCTCAGAGGCATGAGGAGCAGGTGTGAGCGACGTAGTAAATGTAAGTGAATTGAAACATTGAAAATGAGAGAAAAAATATAATGTGCGTGAGCATAAGAAGAAACCAAATTGTTGTGCCCACAGGCCGGCAGTGACGCACGGCGTCGCCTCCTCCTTGGATGACAACGCAGGTCCTCACTCCTGCGACTCGTGGTCCTCAAATAGAAGGTGAAGGTCTTCCAATAACATAGAATACATTTTCCTTTCTTTACACTTTCTTTCCGGCAATATACTCTTTCTGTCAATAATACACTTTCTTGCTATAATGCACTTTCTCGCAATAATACACTTTATTTCTATTTAACACTTTCTTTCAATAAAACACTTTCTCTCAAAAATAAACTTTCACAATACACTTTCTATTATAGCAAATCTTTTCGCTGGATAGGACTTAACCTTCCTTCGGCTACTCTCCCGCTGAGAATAATTTGATCATTTGATATACAAGAAAATGCTTTAAAACTTCCGGCGATAGATTTTAAATTTTCTATCTGTTTGGAAGTGTTTTTAGAATTTAAATCTATGTTGGCAGTTAAGATAAAATATTAAAAAATCTATTCCGGAGGATTCCAAGCGTATTTGTTTGAAAATTTGTGTGTGTCAGTTTTTGTTGTAAATGCATCTCAGAAGCTATGTATGCGAATGAGGGGATCTCATAGAAAAAAATGCAAGTAGATTATCTCAAGCATCATTTTCATAGTTTCAATGGAAGAACGTGTTCTTACCACTTAATCTATATTTCTCTGGTCATCTTTCGTATAGATTATCAATTATTTCTTATAGAAATCAATATATGAATGAATTATTTGAGTGAGAAATGCAGCTAAAATGGTTCGCTTGTGTCACAGTTTCCCGGGTAGCAACCACTACCCAGACTGGTCAAGTCTTGACGATGAACATCGTCTCATAGCTCACTACGCTCACTGCCTCGCCCTCCAGCACGTCACCAACACTACCAGCGGGACCGTGAGTGTCTCTGCAACCTGTACACAGAGAAATTAATGGCTCATTGTTCGCATAGCTATGAATTTTTCTTCCTGTTGGGGTCGTCCTGACCCTTTTTGGCTTTGCAAAAAAGCATATAAGTGTTACGTGCCGAAAGTGTGTTATTATTTCAACAATATGTCCCATTCGTATTTCTGCGTGTGAAACTTATTATTATAAGCATTTATGCTTATAATACGTAAGTTTCCCCAGAAATTTTTCAAATAAAGCGGATACTTTTATGTTTCTAAATTTGATCATTCCTGACATTCTTCCTTAAGAATTATCATCCTTTCAAAATCTGAGAAAAACCCTAAGGCTGGGAAATTATAATCAAGCAAACGTATACTGTGTGCGGAAATTTAATTTTGTTCTCTTCCCTATTCTATTCGTTGCGTTTATAAACGATCTGCCAGAAGCTGTGTCTAGCGTTTGCTCGATGTATGCTGACGACACAAAAATTTATAATATGGTGAAGAATACGTCGCAAAAATTACAGTTGCAAGGTGATCTTGACAGGCTGGTTGACTGGGCTGATAAGTGGCAGCTGTATATGTTCAGTCTTAAAATGCCTAGCAAATTACGCAGCAGGCAATAAGTCCAGCAGCTATCTCAATCAATCGTCAGTTATGGAAAGATCGGGTTCCAAAGGCCGGATCCCTTGTGAATCAAGTCACGAAAAGTTCAAGAATCGGCAACAGGCCATGGGCCTATGTCTTCAACGCCGACACTTCTATTCTATTTACACTTGAATACAACTGTGTAAAAACATTGGCGGTTGAAAATGAAATAAACTTATGCTACTTCTGCGTGAGGAAATTCCCTCTAGATCTCTAAATAAATGCAAGGAATTTCAGTGAAAAATTTCCACTTGAATGCAATTGTATTACAATAAAAAGGAGATGCGCCGTTTACAACATTGGACCTTTTCTCAGCCCGGCAGGTAGCGTATGCTATCTTCGTGCGACGAAAGTCTCTTCAGATCTCCTCCTTTTGCCGATTTAGTGAAATTTTATTTATGAAAATAATATCCCTTATGAAAGCATTTTAAATTTTGCTAATTAATTTCCATTGAATTTATGAAAAGGGTATGCAAAATTTGAAAACATTCTCCCTTTTACTAATTAAATTGAATTAAATTTATGAAAAGGGTATGCAAAATTTGAAAACATTCTCCCTTTTGCTAATTAAATTCAATTAAATGTATGGCAAGGGTATGCAAAATTTGAAAACATTCTTCCTTCAGCTAATTAAATTCAATTAAATTTATGAAAAGGGTATACAAAATCTGAAAACATTCTCCGTTTTCTCAGCCCGGGGAGGTGACGGCAGACGCGGCCATAAGTCCCTCTTGCCTGGACTCCTTCAAGGCACAGAAGGAACTCATCCAGGAGCTCGAAACCAAGAACAGGGAAATCACAAAAGAGATCAACAAAATCAAGTGAGTTTGCACTCAGAGAAATTAGTGGCTTATTTTCCAACTTGCGATGAACTTTTTGTTCATATGTGGGTCATCCGGACCCGGCAATAGGGTCCTGATTTGTCACTATTTGGACACCATTGCCAATTTATTTTTCAGAGAGTGCAGAACGCTTCACGTGTTGGACATATCGCATTATCAAAAAATAGCCTTGTAAGCGAACTAATAACTCTAGGTAGGACAAAATTATGTTCATTGCAACAGTGAAAAATTAAGCGGGACCCTGAATACATGAATCCTTTACATTGATCGCAAGAACTATAAAGGATTATTCATCACAATGTGAAAATGAAAAGTTTTGATTTTAAATGGAAAATCCAGATTAATATGCATTTTTGGTTATTAAAATTTACCTTACTCTATTGTTTTAAACAATTAGCTTATATCTTTTGAATCCAGATTAAATCGTATAAAAAAGGCTATGATAGGCTAATAAGATAACTATGTTAATAAGATATGTTAGTAATGTAACTAGGTTATTAAGATAGGTTTGTAATATAACTAGGCTAATACGATAACTAGATTAATGAAATTGGTTTGTAAGATAACTTGGTTAATAATAGATAACTAGGCTAATAAAATAACCAGGTTAATAGGATAGGTTAATATAAGATAGTTTAGTAAAATAGTTTATTATAATAGTTTATTAAGATACGTCAATATGAGTTTAATAAGATGGTGTAATAAGATAGTTCAATAAGATTGTTTAATAAGATAATTTAGTAAGATAGTTTAATAAGATAGTTTAATAAGATAGTTTTATAAGATAGTTTAATAAGAGAGATCAATAAGATAATTTGAAATACGCTGTCGCCGTTGCAGAGAACAGACCATGTCGGGGAGCGGTAACCCCGCGCTGGCGTCGGAGCTGCGGACGCTCAGAAGTCACAAGTCGCAGCTCGAGGCTCAGCTAGGTGGCCTCCAAGACTCCAGGAAACAACTCATGCAGCAGCTTGAGGTCCTCATGAACAGACTCAAGGTATTAATATTACAATTTAACAATCATTTTAATTATAGGTACTACTGTAAGTGTTTAATTTGATAATAATTTTATTATTTATCAGTATTCTAAGTGAGCTAGTATATTTTTTAGCAAAGTGACCGGTTTATAAAATTTGAGCAAATTATGGTCGTTCAACATAAGTTGAATACGCTTTTATTTGTTATATAATTATGGAAACAGTTCTGTCTTTTGCTTCTTTTACCAACTATTATAGTTAATTAGCCACTAAAATTTGCTGCTGAATTTTGGCCAACGCCTGTTTAAAATACTTTGAAATGAAATCTCTAACTAGATTTGTTTGTGTTATTCCGAACACCGCGGATTGCTATTGCTAACCTCTCCGTAATTTTCTAGAGCCAATCTTCAAACAAAGGCCAGACTCGGTCATCTCAGAACCCCGGTCCTAAGCCCTCGCCAAACCCGCACTCCTTATCTTCCACCTGCTCCACGACGGCCTCTAATTTCGGCGGTATTTATTCATTCCATTCGTTGTATCCATGAATATTTGGGAATTTGTGACAGATTTTATTATCGACAAAAATGACCGAACCAACGCTTTTTCCTTATTTTCGTAAGCCCCAGAAGGCTACACTTTTAAACATTCTCTCTAATCTACTGTAAAAACTTCATTACAATAGATTGTATGATACCATTATTCGAATTTAAATTAAATTTTTAAACAACTTTACAATAATTTCTCCAGGAATGACGTCCTCGGTCGGCATGAAGAGCAACTCAATGTCAAGCGCCGGTAGCACTTCAGAGCTCTCGAGCTTCGGCTTGAGCGGCAGCGTGACCGGCCTATCGAGCTACGGGATCGGGGGCAGCCAGACAGGACTATCATCCTTAGGGATCGGTGCAGGAGGCGGCAGTTCTACAGGACTCTCTAGCTTAGGACTCGGTCTTGGCGGCAGTAGCACGGGACTATCAACTATTGGCTTAGGAAGCTCAGGACTTAGTGGGAGTAATTTAGGACTTTCTAATTTAGGGCTTGCAAGTTTAGCAGGTTTCGGGCAAATGAGTGGCAGTTCCACGGGATTGCAGAGCGCTGGGCTGACTCGAACAGGCAGCTTTGGAGGCTCAAGAGAGCACATGACGGCGTTCCAAGGAATGGGGATGCGTAACGTTCCCAGAGCAAAGGACCCTTTTTCTCGCGACGTTCCGGGCTACCCACAAAGGGGTGACTACCCCATGAAGAGGGATGGCGGGCCACCGCCACCACCACCACGTGACATCAGCACCGCCGGCACCATCACCGCCGCTCAGCCCGCCTTGTCATACTCGGCTCCCGCCACACCGTCCCATGGTGCCGGCTTTGGTTACAGCTCCCAGGACACCATGGCTGATCCTCACGGTGAGTACAGGCACATTAACTGACTCTGAAATATATTTAGTGTTCACCGATGTGGAACACGCATTGCTTCCGTCTTCCTTCATTCATCGCACTTTATCGTCTATCCTGAATAACAACGTGAAACATAGCCTCACTGATCAGAGTTTTATCTACTTCTTTCTTTTGATTGTGTACGACAAATGTAATGGTATTATTTATCTTACGCGACCCTGTCTCAACAGAGAGTCGTAAAGAGTCTGGAGGAAACTACTCAGGCTCAGATTCTGGCGGCTCAGATGGCGAGCAGATTCGTTCAGATTTAATTATCGCTGCTGACTCCGTCACTACAGCCATGTCGTCTTTGGTTCGGGAGCTCAACTCAGGTGAGAAATGCAAGGATGTTTTGAATGCGTTGGGTTATATCGTTTATTTTATTTCACCGCATAAAAATAAAAAATATCTTCAAAGTTGGAGGAAACGAATAGTCTATTATTTAATTTCTAAGCTTAAATCCAAGTTCCGATTTTTAGTCCAAAGCGTTTGTACATGTATTTGAACCTATTTCCGACCCTTAATATCCTCTGCATATTTCTTATTCTTGTACTAAAATTAGGATCCTTTATATTAAAAATCCTCGTGATGTCAAATTATAAATCCATTATTTTATTTTCTGTGTAATCTGGAGGTGAATAGCATCCAACCTTGTTTCCACCTTCCCTGGCTGCAGTCTGGGGTGAGTGGAGCTCGACAAGCATCATTTTGAATGCGAATCACAAAATTGAATGCGATGATTATAATACGAGTATTTTATTTGCATGACAAAGCTAAGGTATTACACCCTGGATATTTTTGGCCAACCCTCAAATCAAGCGAATGTGATCCATATATTGCAACTGGTTCACGCCACCGGCGTATTATTATAGAATGAAAGTTGTCATGCAATTGCCGCCATGGATGGACAATTCGAACGTACCCGCTAATGCTTGTAACTAAAAGTGACTTCAAACAGTTGAGTTCGCTGGTTGAATTTCTGTTTATTATAATTGCATATGCTTGAGCTGGTTGATCGATGCATGCATGAGCAAAACTTTCCTCTCCATTGATTTAATGAATTCTCAATTGTTGCATGGTGGCATGGAAATTTTTCAATCGGGGACGACGAACTTCATTTTAAATTGGCTTACAGATCCAAACGATCAACTTCATGATAATTTAGTGAAATTCATTATTTTGGACTTATTGGCGTGGTCATAAGTACGTACATGTAGCATGGTACATTAAAGTCTTCTGCTTGTGCCTGCATTGCTAAAAAAATTTGAATTTCTAGTGCACTTATACAGCGACGATTACTGAGTAACAACAAAGGAAAAACCCTTAATTAAGTGGAGAAAAAATAATTTTCTAACTTGACTGAAGAGTCGCGCTTCGGGCAACAAATTCCCTGATTGTACATCGTATAGCAGCAAAGGATAAATGAAGAAGTAGCGCATCTTTTCCGCTAGTTTCTCAAGTTTAGTGTTTCAACGGACCATGGAGCTTTTAAATTTAAATTTTTTCATGCAGTATTTTCCAGGTATAGAAAATTTCATGAAATAAAAATAATTATTAGTAAAATGATAAATGAGTCTTTGAATTGGCCAAGGCAATAAATAATAGACTGAAGTCGCTATTACCTCAGTCGTCGTAATATAAAAATACGATGTAATCAGGGGTTAGAATTTCCAAAATACGATGTAATGAGAATCCATAATTTCCAAAATATGATGTAATGCGAAGCCGCAATTTCCAAAATATGATGTAATGAGAGGCCGTAATTTCCAAAATACGATGTGATGAGAAGCTGTAATTTCCAAAATATGATGTAATGAGAAGCCGTAATTTCCAAAATACGATGTAATGAGAAGCCGTAATTTTCAAAATATGATGTAGTGAGAAGCCATAGTATCCAAAATACGATGTAGGTAATGAGAGGCCGTAATTTCCAAAATACGATGTAATGATGGGAAGCCGTAATTTCCAATATATGATGTAATGATGTCTGCCAGCATCGGTGACATCTGCTTCTTCGCTGACGTTGTTTCGTCGACGCCTAAAAACAGAACTTTTCCGTAGAGCCTTTGAATCTTAGGCCTAGCCGTTATCTAATTTATCATGGATATTACTGGTTTAGCATAGGTGTTATTTGTTCTAGTATAGACGTCATCAGTCTTGGCATATGTCCTCTGTTTTAGCATAGATGTCATCTGTTTTTATCATCTTGTGTTTTTTAGCCGCTTGTAACGTGCCCTCGAAGTTCGATCTGAACGAGACGCCACGACAATCTCTTCGTGGAATAATAATAATAATAATGACAGGCCGTAATTTCCTAAATACGATGAAGGTAATGAGAGGCCGTAATTTCCAAAATACGATGAAGGTAATGAGAGGCCGTAATTTCAAAAGTACGATGTAATGAGAGGCCGTAATTTCCAAAATTCTATGTAATGCATGATGGGCCCCGTAATTTCCAAAATACGAAAAATATTACACGATAAATAATTTCCCAATTTTCACAGAGAGTTCTGAAGACGAGGATCCTGCCAAAGGACGTCGCCGACACTCGCTGGCCGCCAAGAGAGGTCGGCATTGCAATAGCTTTACAATATTATTTATTATTGATAACCAGTGAGGGTAAGGCTCGATTCACCAAAAAAATAATTTTAATAATCAATTAAATAATAAAATATTTTAATAATCTTATATTTAGGGGGAATTTCTATTTATTAATAAATTCGTTTTGTAACATAATAGTGGGGGTAAGGCGTAAGTCTCAATAAATCGAAAAGACTTTATGATAATATTGTATTGCAGTGAGCAAAGGAGAGGAGCTGGTGTGGCCGGTGCTCGCATCAAGCAAGGTGCGTGCGTCTGGCTTGCATCAACATCCGTGCCTTAAATTTGAAACTTCCGTCATTATTGCTAAGAAAAATTCAAGCGAATTAACGTCACGAAGAATTCAAGTGAATTAACGCGACGAACATGTGTATAGTTTGAATCTCCTAGAAATTATTGAAGCTCTAGCAACTTACGTACTTCATGCCCAAGATTAATGAAAGAAACTCTGGCCTATGATAGGATACTTGCCATATCTGTGTGATTGGCTGGTATGAAAAATTAAAAGTAATTTCAAAAGAAGTTCTAACGCCTAAATTATTTTTCAAGATCTAAATTCTCGTAGTGACTGACATTAACGTTTGCTGTCCAGGGTGAGAAAGGACAGCGCCGATCAGACGGCCGGTGGGGGGAACGCAGCTACAGCGTCGAGGCGTCTCTTGTCGGGAGACAGCCTGGGGCCAGAGACCCGGGCTACGGCGGAGACTCCGGTTACGGTGGAGACTCCGGTTACGGCGGAGACCCAGGTTACGGTGGAGACCATGGCTACGGCGGACCGCCCGGAGCCGGGAGACCCAGGACTGCGTCGGGATCTCATGACACGTCAGCTCAAAACGGCCCAGCGCGTTAACGTTATAAGACTGGTGATGTCTGTTTCATTTCTATCCGGTTTTGTGAAATCTTCTAATAATGTTTACCGTGAATTATAGTTTAAATTCAATAATAGTAGATTTGATTGTCAAACATGAGTGTCGAGAAAACTTTACTATATATTATGTATACCATCAATCAAGTAACCAGAAAATTTATAAGATTTAATATAGGCAGGATTGGAAACTTGTTTTAAAATGTTTCAATCCGATTTGCGTGTTTCCGATTGTTATGAGGCATCTGTTACCAGCATCTAGGTACGAATAGCATTAACGACAGGTTATGAATCAGTAGATACTAGATTACCAATTGGGCTGCTAATGGTAACATAGTTACCTGGTCTTTACACAATAATTGCATTGAAGACGGTTAATGAATAAGTAGAAAAAATATATCAGTACTCACTGTAGTGAGTGACAGAGAGCGCATTTTTTCGTCCATACGTGACGTGCAGTCACGGAAGGACGGCATGACGAGCACAATAGCGCATTTTTTTCATAAATGAGAAAATGCGCTAAAAAGGGTAAAAACAGCGCTGTTACGTGGTGTGAAGTTGCATACATTGGATGCCTCATGATTAAGAATTGTGTTTGTTGTGTGTCTGTGTTGGGAACGTGTTGTGTGAGGATGCTTTTAACTTGAAACTGAGTTGACATTTTTTCAAACTTTATTTTAAACTTTAATAAAATTTTAACACTTGAGATTAAAACTGATTGTAATATTTTGGTTGTGGACAATTGTTGTTTCCCCCTGAGACGACGAGCAGTATAGTAGGATTTTGTTCTCTTGAGGATGACGCGGATGAGATTGTTTTTTAGTCTTGCTTCTCCTTCATGACGACAAATCTCTTCCACAAAGACAATTTATTCAAGCATTAAAACTAATAGTAATCATTAGTATGGTACAAAAAAATCTAAATAAAAATAGAAGTAAACATAACTAAACGTTTGATATAGAAGTGCAATAACAAACTTCAACTATTAGTACTACTTGAGACTTGGTGCAGTTTCGTAATAAATGCGGTTTCAGCGTTATTAGGCCTGTCGCCGATTATTAACAGCTGAGAACATTCACAGAATTTTGTGGTCTCGAACTCGTAAGTCACTGCTACAATTCTGCTGTGCTTAACCACCCGGCTTCCTCGCCGATTCTGACCAGAAACTGGCGCACAGAGCTGGGATCGAACCCGCGGCTCTCTGCTCCAGTCCTGGTACTCTGGAACTGTAACCACTGGGCCACGTACAAATATAAATACTGCATCATTAGTACATGAGTGGAACTAAATTCCTTCGAAACTGATATTTTAGCAAGTCGTTAGTAAATCAAGCGCTTCGTATCCTCAAATAAGCTGTTCAATAATTTAGACTTTAATTCGATGATGTAATCACAAAAGTTTCATTAATTGTGAGTAAGAAAATTTAGACCCTGTATCGTAATATAAGTAAAAACAAGGTTACCTTTGCTAATGTATTTTAATATCGATTGAAATTATATAAAATATCATGGCAACTAATAAATACATGGGTGTATAAGTGTAACACATGCGTACAGTTACGAGTGAATGGTTTTCTAGGAATTTCATGAGAAGAACCTGTATTGTTTGGCGAGGAAAAGCATTGGCATGAACGATTGTAATGACAAATAATTTTTTTCGTTTTATGAAATACAAGTATTGGGCTAAATGTCTTTTGCGTTTTTTTGTTTTTAGGGGTGATAAAAATAGCCATTAAATTGCCCTTAGGTGTACATCTGATTTAACTTGTAAAAATTCAATGGAAAACCTAAATTTAGGTGTAACTGTTCTAAGATAAAATTTAATCTTGACAATGTTTGTAATATGTGTTTACACATAAATTAAGTAATGTAGATCTAGCAAGCAGAGATTCATACGCTGGATATTCAAGATTAAATTTGTTTCAAGACATTAACTAAACATGACGGGAGCCTGCGGGAGAGAAAGAAATCCTGAAGAGAAAGATTACCCGACACTTCGACACTACTTTTGTAGACATTAGATGATTAGATCGAAACGGAGTTATTAAATAGCTTCAGAGCGGCCGTTCCAAGCCTTTACTGAAAAAATGAATGGATCGTGTTGTTCAAATAGTGACACATTTTCTACGCGTTGCGCTGATTAATTCTCTTTGCCTAACCAAAGTGGGTCAGGAATGCCTACACGGGGCAAAACGCGCATCGCTATTAGAAGCAAATCTCACTGATTTTTCTGAGTGTGTGCTCTCTAAACACGTTCAATTAAGTAAGAAATGAGGTTAGACCTTCTCTTCTGGCGCTAAAGTTGCTTGTGCACGAGGGCAATAGAGGCAACCACTAAATACGCTGCTATTTCCCGTACTATTAGCCTTGTGTATGGCGCTACTGTAGGTCACGGATCGAAGGCCCCAGTAAGCTTTTATACGTGGCCATTAGTATGATAATTTATAGCGGTTAGAATATGAAAGTTGTAGGTATTGTCCTCATGTATTAGCATCTCATTATAAAGTAGAGTGTCAACACGTTAGTTGCAGGTATTGGGTATGGTTTTTTGCGCTGTGTTCTTGCTCGTATGATATTATATGAAGCGTGCGGTGTCGGTCAAAAGACGCAGTTTAATTGGACTATAAATAAAATGGGTGAATGTGTTATTAGAGGATGCGTACGGTGACTGTACAGCGATAGTATTGTTTCCGTGCCAAAGTTTTGACCAAAGAATGTTAGTCACTTTTGTTAATGTGGATTATGATCTGTGTGACATTATTTAGCTTATAATTACCACCTTGAGCGCGTCTTAGTAATTTAAGAAGAAGAACAACGGCGAAAATTTGAATGTTTTTGAGAAACTAGTGGAATATATTTTTGACCAGATCTTAAACGCTGTACATTATTTTCGAATCAAGCAAATATCTAGATGAAGCTTCAAACCTATAGGAGTTCACCGATATTTAATGCCAAAAGTTATTCTTCAATTTTAATAATCAAGATCACAAGACTATTTATTGGCTAAACCATTCGTGAAAAACTTAGTTTACAGGTTTATGACTTGGCAGATTTATAAAGACTAATTAGTTTATGTTGTTCCTTGCATCTTCATAATTTTGTTATGTTATGCTCTTGTTTGGTAGATGTGAACCAAACTATATAGGCAATTTTTTCAGGATTAGGAGACATTTTTAGCATTTTTTCTTGGTGCTTCTTATATTTTTCACGTATTTTTCATGGTGCTTTAGTAATATTATAACAAAATGAACCAAGTTTCATGTTTTCGTAGTACATGATTTTTCATTCCAACTGATTTATCATTCCAATCCAAATCTCGAATGTTCGTTACAATAAGCATCTTGATCTTCTTAACATTTCAGCAATACGGCTCTATTTATGTAAATTGTGAGCATAATCTTTAAGTTGACACACGTCTAAAAGTCGCATTAGTTTATGAAACTCAATCATTGTTACCATCACCTGACGATCTCGCTCGGCTTTAGACGAGTCGAATGGGAAGAAGTTCTATTTTCCTCTTCTTCTCTTCCATGTTTTTTATTTTTGTCAGTTGGGACAATAACGTTAGCAGCATACTGACGAAATGTAATTTGATTCCTGTAAATGATGTTTTACCCAATGATTTTTGTACCTTTTCTGGTAGATTTAAAAATAAAATTATTCCGTACTGACGAAGTTTTACTCCTTTGAGCTGCGATGAATCTCAATCCTAACTCAGCCGCAAACTCATTAACTCTGAAGCTTTCTCAGTCGTTACCAAGGTTATTTCTGAGTGAATTCTTCTAGATCCTAAAGTAACAGGAACTTGGGTTTCCTTTACGTCCACTTAGGTTACGTTTCCTTCTTCCAAGGCTATGCTGCAAGCACCACCTCCGACGGCCTGTCGATGACTACAAGCGACACTATAGGATTTTCGCAACTTACCGAGGCTCGAACCCTTAATTCGATAGTCAAATATTGTTTTGCTGGATTACTCGACCACTGCGTAATAAAAATTCACAAGACTCTTCTTGTATATTCCAGGGATTTTTGTTATTGATAATACGCACGTTATACAGAGTGTAATAACGCATTTTCGCCGTAGCTCAAAATTTCTGCATGGAGAAAGAAACATTTTTAAGCACGACTTTTATTCAACAAGTGGAACACATGAAAGACATCAGTGACTAAAACTTTTAAGCTCAATTACGCTGATCACACAATTATAAAATTAAATTCAAAGTAACTATAAAACTAAATGTATCACTCCACCGCTCCATTTCCAAATATGGCCGTGCATGGGTATGTTTTTAAAAAAGATCAAACCAGACCAAATTTTCTTCTTGTTCTTTTTTACTTTAAATATCTTTAACAGCTTGACTCATAAAAGAAGCAGCACTGGAACATGGCCTTCATACATTATATTGACGTGTATGCAATAACATAGTCCGTTTTGTTTATTTCAATCGGCGTGATGCGTAATTAGTATCTACGAATATAACTAGAATAAATAAGATATAAATATTTAAATATAATAATTATAAGCGAAATTTGCAAAACGATATGAGATCATTAGAAGCTATTCCTCACTGAGGCGACGTTATCGTAAATCGGGGACGCTGTGTTCCAATATAATACATAAATTAATTAATATAATCTCATTATAAGCAACGAAATCACTGCTCCTAGTTTTAGTAAAATGAAGCCCTGACCTATGACTCAGTTTCTTCAGACTGACATGGCTACAAGGAGTCTTTATTTCATTTCAGAAATTTTTAGATGCTTGTCGAGTTCAACGAATAAATTTAACTTCTGATGTTTGTTCTATTTCCTCTGCGAGAAGTCGTGTGAATTAAAAAAATTCAGCCGAGGACAGAAAGTTGATTGAATTCTAAACTAATGATAAAACTCGACAGAGGAGCAGTTGGAAATAAAAATATTTAAAATTCGATTGAAAAAGCTTCAAGTTGACTTCATTGATAACGGCTTGAAGATATGACTTCAATTTAAGAGCTCTAAGTTGACTACCATAATGACCCAGCGCCTAGATATTTGCAGAAAAATGTATTCCCGTAAGACTTATCCGCTATTCTTTCACGAAGATGAAACTTGACTGAAGTTTTGCCAGAGCCGAAGTTTTCCTTCAGTTTCTGGGGCAGAGGCAGGACGCGCCGATCTGCTGCCTGAGGAAGTTACTGAAGTTCTCGACGCGCGTGTAGACGCCGGGGTAACCTGGCCTGGCACAGCCTTGTCCCCACGACACCACGCCTGTCACGACAATTGTCATGTAATTAATTCAATATTTTTGTGGTTCATTCGTCTGTAAAGTAGCATTTTCATGAAAATCTTAATTTACAAAGAAATAAATGTATAAAGTAAATTTCACTATCACTCAGTTTATGCCGATGTAGCCGTGCACCTCACGACACGACGCCTGTCACGGCAATTTCCATACGTCTATAATTTGTGTTGTTCATTCGTCGGTAAAATGGCATTTTCCTACAGATTGAAATTTATAAGGAAATAATTGTTGCCCAAGAAATATCTTTAATATACAAGCAGTTTACTAGTTGTGCAATGTTAATGTGCGCAATCAAATGATTAATATTGTTCCTTAATGAGTGTGGCTTCATTGTTATGAAGATTGGGCTTTGAAATTTGAAATGACATGAATTACACCTATTATTTTTATTATATTGTTCCTCCTTCGTCAAGAAGATTAGGGTTATTTTTTGATAAGTTTTCTAAAAATGACTTTAATCTGCAGCAATTCGAAAAGTAATTCAAAATATGCCTGTTCATATTGCTGCATTTATTTAAATTAACTTGTACGTATCCTTGCATCAACCGTACTGATCGGAGACCTGCACGATTTCCTTTTCAATTAGAAAGTAGCATCTGCTTCTAATTGTTCGAAAATAGAATGAAACACAACTTTTACTTTTTGCCCTCATTTGTTTAATTACTACTGGAGCTCGCACATTATAACTTTACACCGATTCCAAGTATATCTGAATTGAGTGAAATATTGGTAAAACAGATGAAAATCTAATTATATGATAGGTAAAAATGAATTTGGGAGCAGCTACAATGTTGGATCCTTATACTGGTCAGATTTAGCTAATGCCACTATTCGCAAAAACCACACAAATGTATGCAGTAGTCACCCACCAATGAGGTCGACCTGTTGTTGTCCGGCGTTGTTTTTGGTCTCAAACATCATGGGTCCTCCGCTGTCTCCCTGAGACAACCAATAGTATTGAGATATTTTTTAAAGCCGAATTGACGATATTGACAGAGAAAATGACAGAATTAGTTTCATGATTTTGGTAGAAACTGTCAGACAAGATTTTCGAGGTTAACGCATGGTAAAATTGTCTTTATTTCAACTAATGGTCAACCTAACGCCGACATATGATATAATCATCGTGGACAATGAATTGAGAACAATAACGATTAAGTTAAGTTCATAAAAAGTATTAATATGTTTCGTGATAATTAGGACACAATTTTCACTCGCTAACCTGGCATGCATCAATCTTGCCCTGATCGTAGCCCGCGCAGACCATGTTGTCGGTGATCTCAGAAGGTCTGTACTTCTTGGTCTTGCACTCGTCGTTGCTCATGATTGGAACTAATTGGAGAAAAAAGTAATAACTGATTTAAAAAACGTTGACTTCAGTTGTGTCTTGCTGATTTGAATTATAATTTAAATCTGAACTGGATCATATTGATTCATAACAGTTAAAATCAAGAAAGCCTCTGTATCCTCATATCCATGACTTGATTGCTGATGAATACGTGCACTCACCAGTAACCTTCCTGAGCACTTCGCTGTTTTGGCCCTTCTCGCTGACTCGGCCCCAGCCTGCGACGATGGCATGCTTGCCTACGTAATCTCCTCCTGAATGTTAGCGAGCGTTAATATCAATATTAAGGATTTACATTTTTCAGATAACATTCTCCCTAGTTTACAGTGAGCTGCAATCATCTTTATTATAGACATCACTTGCAAAAGCTACACGCGCAGAACGGAGTGAATTGGATACACAAATTCGATCACCTATTCACATAAACAATTTCACGAAATTAAAGCTGATAACGAGTCACGGCCCACATTAAAATCGGCCCACCCGACTTCCCTAATACAGACCCGACTCAGGCAGGCAGACAGGCCTGACGTCTGTGCCCAGCACAAGAGGTTCTCCGACAACTCGGTTTGTTCTACCCACCAGGCCGCATTCTGAAAATAAAGAGATATCCACACTTATTTTTTGCCTCGTGTGCCTAAAGGTCGTAAGTATCAGACTCGATTAGAATTTATGGCAAAACACAATATGCAGTCATATAGGATGCTGGCAAATTTGCATAGATATATCAACAACCTTTTTAACATAACGTGTATGAAAAGTTCAACAGAACCATATTCGTTCCTATTTTTCATTGATATAAAAAGTTATCGCACGTCAAGCTGACTCCAATCTTATTATATTTTTTTATGCAGTAACATGCAGCATAATAAATCTTGAATATACCACAGCTAGAATTTACACTCACTGAGGCCTTGGCAGTTGCAGGTGCTGCCGGTTGCTAAGTCGTTGTGTTCCTTCACCGCAATTGACAAGCTCTGTGAAAATAAATTCACGTTTAGCAGCGTTGATATTAGAATCATTCATGCAATATCACAGAAGCTCATATGTATAAATATTGCGACATTGTTTCGATTAGCTTCACCATAGTCATAATTGAACATTTTTTTCTCATTTGATTCCGGAAGTGCGTACTGACTATTCCTAGTAATCTGCCGCCTCTTCCTCCCATATGAAGAATTGCATTCGTTGCAGAATCGCAACAAGTGAATCATCTCAGGAAACGGCTTGCGAAGACTTGCAAAATTGTGCTGCTCCAACATTGTATAACTTTCACTCTCCATAATCTTACAGTATATCGACTTTCATTTTTCATAATCGTACAGTGTATCGATTTTCGCCCTCCGTTATCTAACAGTATATTGACTTTCACAACTCTATGAGTGCGCACTTCGAGCATTAGGCTAATATGAACTATGCAGTTTCACTCTCTTCACACGTGATTGAGTAAAGTGTTCGCTCATTCACGTCATTAACAAGTTGGGTCCAGCCTAAACGAAAATAACATTTGTGGTGCAATAATTGAAAAGGGAGCTGACAGTCTTCATACTCAAATTTAATTAATTTTTGTCTCAAATAGGCGGTCAAAGCGTGACTATATACTACAGTCTACATGAGCTGCATGTTCTCTGTACTAGATACCAAGTAATTGTAGTCATAAATACCAGGTAGAGATTTTCATAATTATTTATTACACATACCTGCTTTTGCAAAAAAATTGCCGAAGAACGTGTAACTAGTCATTAAAATATATGGTAATTTCATGTAAGAAGATCTCACCCCATCTTGCGGGAGAGCGGAGCACAACACTGAGCCCAGGAGGAGCATCACAAGATAGCGCATATTAGAGTGAAGAGGTGGGCGATGAATCGAGGAAATTTTAATGGAGATCTTGAGGAAATTTGCAGGAAAACTTTAAGATTTTCAAAGAGGTGGTGCACGTTTCCAATGCTCTTGAACCTGATAAGAAAATTAGTTCATTCAGTCGAATGTTATCACATTTCCCTTCATAAAATCAAGGAAGTTATAAATGTGGACTAAGAAGTCCGTTTTATTTTTTACAAAAGAAGAGCAAACCACGTACACGTTGATCCGTTTTTTTTTTACGCAGAATGACAGTGGATGCTTGGTTGATGTCCTACTCGTCGCAACGCAAGATGATAACAGATAGCCATAATTAATAAAATTGGAAGCCATACGGAACGGACGCCATACGTACGGAAGTGATAGAAACGCGCGCACTTTCCCTCTCTGCGGCGGCACACTTACGAGACTCAAGCGACCGAGACTCGCTTATTCCCGCCGCTGTTGGTGGAGTGAAATATAACTGTTGCTTCAGATAATGATACTATTGAGACGATCGTGCCTTGCAAAACGAGATTCAATAAATTCGAACTTTCATATACCGAGCGATGCTCAAGTTCCATTTATAAAGTGCTAATTTTACAATCGCAAGTTGCGAGACTGCTAAAAATGTTATTTGATAAATATGCCGAGTGAGTTCTTTTGCACATGAGTTTCAGATACTTTCGCACGTCAAAAGTATCCCTCCACACGCTATATCCCCTGCACGTCAATTTTTATTGATAACATCAAGTCCTATTTCCGCACTTCCCCTCGACATTCAATAATCATTTTGATTATATTGTTTACGCCATTGGAAACGAATCAATTGGATATTGGTATTGAAGAAATTGGACCTGAAGCATATAATGGAGTATAAAGAACGAAGATTTGTTGTCATAGAGGGATGACACACGCATACCGACAATAAATTATATATTTGGAAAGATTTGCGTCCGTTGGATTAACAGAAAAATGTTTCACGGTTAATACTAGTAAAAGTCTCCCATGTTGTGACAGTCGCACAACAGGTGTGTGTTTATGTAAGCTTCCCACTCATTACCTTTGCTGTGACACTGCGGTTGTGAACTGACGGTTGGTCTGACGATGTCACCGGTTATAAAGGCCATCGTCCACTAGGTCGAGGTCACAGTTTGGCGCTGACGGAATGTGATTTGCATGTCGCGCACCGGCCTGCACGAGGAACAGGTTCCTAATTAGCAAGGCTGTCATTAATACACTCCGGCCAAGACTTACCTATCATGAAAAAGGAAGCACAAGGCATGGTCAATGGCATTCTACAACATTTACTTATTCGTAGGAAAAGTGTAAACAAATAAAATAGTTTCTTATTTCCATTTGCAGTCGTTGATCTTATTAAAAATATTGTCAGTGATTAAGGTTGTTAGTCAAAGTGCTGCGAGGTCTGAAAGCGAGGTATTCGCGACCATCCTGTGAAATTCTCGATCAGTCCGAAGCTCGGCCAGTCGCTACCCTCGAGCTTGTAATCTTTGTGATTTGAAATCATATAAGTCAGCCTTTTTTAATAACCGGCGGCTTTCAGGTAGCAAAGGAATGGCCAGCGGTCGGCTAGAACTAATTGGTCTCGGCCGGCCACTGGCCAGGTATTATTCCTCGTCCTTCATTGAGTTCCTCTTGTTCGTACCGTAAGTCATGGACTGCCTTATGCCTTCCACAACGCCTGCATTTGAGTAGTTAGTATACGAGATTGCAACTCCACATGAAAGTATACTAATATATAATTATTTTTTGGTG